TCTCAGTGTGAGGGTCTAGTAATGGTGTAATTCTTATGTGAGTAGGTGAATGTTATGCTTGCATGGGAGGTACTTGGTAGAAGAACTTGTCAGCGGACAGCCTACGACAACGGGAAAGCCGGCTAACAAGATTCTGCATAGTCTGCGGTTTAAACGTTTCATTCAGCAGCGCCCTAGCCGGAAGAAGCTGCACAGCTGTTTTGTCGCACCAGCGCACAGCCAACTAGCGTGGCCAGACGGAAGGAGTATCTACCGGCGGTGCCAGCGGAAGGAGTGCTGCTGCGGTGTCCACGTCTAGTGCGAGTTGCAGCACTAAAGAGACGTGAGCCAGTGCAAGTAACAGCATGCGCGGGATATTGAGTGCCGTGATTTGTTCGAGTAAGAGCGCTGATAAAACTTGACTTGTGCGAGTGCTGGTGCAGGTGCGGTATCTTTTAAAATTGTGTGAGTAGTGACGTTGGAGCATGCAATGCAGGTGACAGCATTGCGAGTGCTTGTGCGAGTGTTGGCATAAGCGAGCGCGTATTCAGTGCAAGTGTTAGCACTGAGAGTGTCCATGCGAGTTGTGGTATGGGCGAGGTGAAGTCCTGTGCGAGTCAGTGCACAGTAGCGTGTGTCCGGCGTGAGTGATGGCGCGGACGAGAGGAGAACCCTGTGCGAATCAGTGTACAGCGGTAGATGTGTCCGGCGTGAGTTATGGCGCGGGCAAGTTGGTTAATGGTGACAGTTGTGACACTGGAAAGTCGATATCCAGTGTGAGCGGTGGTTTTGCGGAGATGATGCCGGTCAGTACAAGTGCCAACACTAGCGAGTGCAATGTTAGTGTGAGTGGCAGTACTGGCGAGGATGGCATCGGAGTGAGCGGCGCAAGTGGTCAGTGTGGTGTCAATGTGAGTGGTGACATTGGCGAGTGTGGTGCCAATGTGAGTGGTGACATTGGCGAGTGCGGTGTCAATGCGAGTGGTGCTATTGGCAGCAGAGTGGTCAGTGCGAGTAGTGGCATTGGCGAGTGTGTGTGCGTGGGAAATACAGATACAGAGAACATCAACAAACATGACGATATGTTGCGGACGTGTCAGGAGTTGTTAACCGGATACGTAGACCGGATGGGAGACTCATTACCATTTCCGGCGGAGTTTGCATGGATGGCGGATGAGTTGGCCCGGATTCGCGTGCAGTTAAGAGCATTAGTCCCACATGGAGCGCGGTTTACCCTGGAGTCACCAACCGACATCTGCTACGGACGCCACGTAGTGTACGATTTGGATAAGTTCATCTATGGACAGTTTCTTTACTACCGTGGAGACGACGGAGCGATGCGTTATGAGAGCAAATACGGCTTTGTGTACAAGGAGTGTGGCGCCCAGAAGGAGCTAGTGTTAGTGGGAGAACATCCACGATTCTTCAATCCATTTAAATGGTTCGTGGAAGAGGCCATTCGCGATACGTACGGACCGCGCTTGTATCACAGTACACTCCCGGAGATGCGCCTTCAACACATCACGCGGGAGGTGACGGAGCGGAGAGCGCAAGTCGCAGCGGATGCGGCGGCAGACTATACTGGCATAATGAAAACGCTGGACTTCGCGGATCTGCTAGTGCGAGGAGGGAGCGCGCCGGAAGTTGTGAGCGAACTAGACGATGATGCCGGTTATCACCAAACGCCGGCTGAGTCAAGTGCGAATGCGGTAACAATGCAGTCTGCACCGGTAGAGGAGATGGGCACAGATTCGGTGGATGCCGTACCGGAAGGGGGCAAGTGCCATCCGAGTTAAGGGATGGTGGTCACCTTCTGGGACGGTCGGACTCGAGTGTCTGGACGGATTTCGGAGCGGGAGTGAGTGTTAAAGCGACCCATGACGAGGACGTCATGATCCATAGGAGAGGCGTGTTGCGCGAGTATATAGCGCAAGCGTGTTCTGTGGGTCATGAGCAGCATGCATCATGAATCACATACATATTCATCATCATAACGGGCGTGCTTAAAATGGATACAGTTGCGGATGCGGTTGAATGCGGTTGGTTGTTGTGGTTGAGTGCAGGATAGTTTGTTATTGTGAGCAAGTCAAAGGTTGTGGTTTGACGATAACAAGCAAATGATTGAGCGTGAAGAAAGGAATGAATCATTGTGTGAACCAATAGTGTGTCTTTGTTGTCTGCAATGTTTTATCTCTCGTAACATGTATTAAGTGCCTGGCTAAAAAAGTAGTGTGCGATGAAGTTGTCAAATGATTTAGTACATCTCCATCCAGCCTCGGAACAACTTCTCTTGGAATATCTGCCTTTATCTTTGCATGCCATTTTGTTAGCATTCGAGTTGTCTGCTAATCTGCATTAAAGGTCATCGGGTCGGATCAGCCGCTGTTGTTTAGCGTTGTAGTTAGTGGTAGATAAAGGTCATATCCACCGAGTCGATCAGAACCTTTAGTTACGCGACAAATGAATACCGACACCGGTTTTTCCGACGGAAGCACCTACACTTATATTAAAAGAATTTGCAAGTTTTGGCTGGTACTTCTGCGTTGCTTTGGATGTGTCAGTAAACCGAAGCAAAAGGAAATTCAGTCAAAAAGTAATTATATCTTGGATCGGGTGTTAACAGTTTGGTCTTCCTTGGTTCTGATGAGAACTGTGCTTCAGTATTTGTATCAGATTAGTACGTACAAGATTGACTACGCACTGCAGTCGCCTTCATTATTGATGAAAGCGTTTATTGCTGTTACGAATACACTATGGCCTCCTTTGATGCATATTGGTATAATTATTGGATTTTGGGATTTCTCGAAATGGCTGGAACAATTTTTAAGAGGTGGCCAAGTGGCGTATTTAAATCCCGCTAATAAAAAACAACTCGTTGCACTGGGAATCACTCTGTTTTTTCTTTTTGTCCATTCGCTGTACCAAACGGTTCGTGAAGTAACACATTCCATGGAGAGTATGAACTTTTATCTATGGAAAGGTTGCATGCTTGGACTGTCGTTTTTATGTACCCGAATCAGCGACAATCTGGCTGTCTAATCGCAGGGTTTTCTGGTGTTTATTTCCATAACACTCAGTGTGACCTTTTCAAGCATGAGCAAGTCTTATCAGAGCGCCACTGAGAAGGATAGTGAAATCGTTTTGCACAACCATGCTGCTCTGAGTGCCATCGTGAAAAGCCTTAGCACAAAAATGAACGCTTTTCTGCTCGCGCAGTACCTAGCGGACTTTTCCTGGGCCATGTCAGCCGTTTCTGTTCTTCGCGAGGGAAAACTAGAAGCCACGTCTCAGTACCACATTATCTTCGCAGTTTATCTGCTTGTCATGGTTGTTATCCAAACTGTTGCTTTCGTGTTGTTGAATAATTCGGTAAGCAAAGGTGGAATACTTGTATTAACAAATTAAACATCGAGAGTATGCTGATTAGTCATACATGTACAGTAAACGAAGCATTCTCCAAGCACGAATTTTTGAGAATCCCAGTCGATTAACTCAAGTTGTCATGTAGGCTACCGCGATGACTGAAGCTATTGCTACACGTATTCTGGAGATGAAACTGGGAGAGTACAAAAGAAACGCTTTTATGCGAGTACAGTTAATGGACAGGGAACACACTGGGATGAGTGTTGGCGGATTGCTGAACATCAACCGGGATTTTGTTATCGGTGTAAGTGGCTCCATATGTACATACCTACGTGTCCCACTTATCCGCTAATGTAGTGCTAATAATTTCTTGCTTTTCAGCTGACGGGATTATTCATCACATATACCCTTTTGACATGGGACAAGGAAAACATAAAAACAAATATTCTTCCCGTGACAAATGCTAGTTCGTCGCTGCGTGTTTGACAATCGCCTTACTTTGTACCGTAATAAAGGAATCGACTTGACCTATCGAAATACGGCTTGAACACTGATAGTCTGTAACAACTTGCAACCAGCATTGCTTGCTGAGCATTAGTTTTTGCTTCCGAGTTCGCTTGTTCTAGTATTTAAACACATGTTACAATTTCAATGGCATCGCAATGGCGATTTCTGCAGCGCGCAATGGAAGGAGAGTAGCCCAAACCCAAATTATCATGGAAAGATACATGTAAAAATTAACGCTGAACTACATCCATTTATTTTTAAATTTTATAAAATTCTTGCATGCCTAACATTTTAGCTCTTTTGCCTCTTTATTCCTATCATGACAGAACACAACTAAATGGGTTTATGTCACTGGTTATTTTTACGAAATTGTACTAGTATTCAGATTATGGTAGACTCTAATTGTATTCAAGTGTTGTGTCACGTTTGTGAAACCAGTGTTTTAAAAAGTTGGGCTATTACAACAGTAGAATGTAAGGACTACGAAAAATGTAACATTCATGATAAAAAACTAGTCTTACAATTAGATGCGAATTGCAGGGAGAACATGTTGTTATCTTTTGATCCACTTTTCATAAGAATCTATCAAGCCGCCTGGTGGAAGGTCAGTTTACATGTTAAGTATACGAACACTTGTCACTAGCCGTTTTCATGTACTCGTATGTAGCGGCAACCGGCATTTCTTAAATTTTGCCGTCCTGGTTTCATAGAGCCTGTCTCACAGAGCAGCAGCCCGTGTAATGCTTCTGACTCGCATATGGGAATTTAATTTTAGAACATGTAAGAAAAACGCTACGGAGCCAAACAGAGAGCAAAGTGTTCAAATCCAGATCAAAATACACACACAGCTTCCTTACCGCGATTGCATATATGCATCCAGCATGCAAGTATAATCAAGCGTGTCATTACAGCGTAATTTTTCCTTACGACTTTCAATCTAAATTTTGCGGTCTGTCGCGATTATCAAAAGCGCCATATCGCTGCCGGGAACCAAATTTTATTGCCCAAATGCATGGCGATAATGTTGAAAAAATTTATTACTTACATGACGCTGGATTATATTAGTGTGTGGAATAATAATTAAATGTGTCGGATTTTCCTGGAGATGGATTGAATTGTTATTTGAAAAACTGCAGTAAACAAACTGGGTCATGGAGCAGGAATTGCAAGTTATCCAGCCGACACCGGAGACGGCGTCGCAGGTTCCGGCCAGTACCATCAGCGTTATTGCGGCACAAGTGGGACGGACCCGAATAGTTGTTGCGGTCCTAACGGTAAATTGCTACATTTCGATGATTTATAAGTGTCACAAAAAACTAAGGCTCTCAATAGTTCAAAGCTGAAATTTCCAAACTGGATTAATTAAACCATACAAGTAGTTTTTTAATTACTTGTATTATGGTAATGATTAATGAATAATCGTATCTACCGTAAGAATGTTGCTCCTGGAGTGCAGAATACTTGCTGATAATTAACTAATGTAAAGTGATATTTGCACGAGACGTGTACGCCGCGACCGGTTACGCAAAGTTTCAACAGAATCTTGCTGTCTCATCAGATATGGATCGCTGAACTGATAAATATAGAATCGATATTTTTATGATTGCGTATCCAACGACGCGTCGTCTTGTATTCACATTTCTTTACAATCGTTATCCACAAAAATCAAGGCTACTGTACTGCAAAGTGGAAAATAGTAGCTCGTAATTGGTAGAGTGTATTTTGCTGAATTTGGTTTTAACTATGACTCTGTTGGCTTTTTATGCTTTCGCTACAAGTATTACTGATAATGAGAATGGCTGCCTTATGCGCCAGCAAAATGCAGAAAAAAACAGAAAATGTAGACAAAATTTTCGACAGTACAAAACCGGCAATTTTCAGTAGGAAAAAACCGGCAATTTTAAGTTGGAAAAAACCGGCAATTTTAACTGTGCATATGAAGATTAATAAATATATGGATTTATTAATGGATTTTCTTTACGACACATGTTCTGCTTTTTTTACCTACTCAGCGACCTAGGGAGAACGTAGATGTAAGTATTTATTAGTAAGCATAATTAATTCGGCCCAGCAAGATCCAGTATGTACTTCGAAAACAAATGTAACGCAAAAAATCTGGACTAACCAGTTAACTGGCAGATAATAGGACTGGTCAAATTATCCAATAAATGTTCTGCCTGCTATCATTGTTTAGCATGGAGACCGACTAGAGCTTCGTCTGCAAGAAATGGAGCCTTCATTGTACGATTTCGGTCGTACATTACGTGACACTCTGGAGCAACAAATCGAACTGAACGAATGTTTAGTAAAACTGCAGGTACATATTTTCTTCCGTTTCACGAAACTACTGTATCGGTTTAGAAATACGCTTTTGCTTAGTGATTACGAATTTACGCTCTTTTAAATTGTCTTTTTCGCCGTAAAGGCGAAGGAAATGGCGGTGGAGGAGGCCCTGGAGCAGAGCGACGATCTGGTGGTGGCCCAAGGTTTACGACCGGAACTGCACCGTGCCATGGCCGACAGTCTGGGCAAAGCGTGGATGCTCTTCTTCGACATGCTCACAGCACGCGCTCACATTCTCGATATTGCCTTCTCATTCCATCAGCAGTATGACTGGGTACGTCAGACGTATGTTTACCCATTTCAACAATAATCAGTCCATAGCAGGGAAACATGTGTGACACATTGTGTTGACTGATATCATTTTTATTTGACAATTAGATGTGCACAAATAGAACTATACTTAATTACTTTTTGAAACAAACATTATGGCACAGTGGTTATACAGAGATGACGAATAATATTAGAATTAAAAGCAAAATTCAAACCTGCAGTAAAATGAGGAAATCGAACAGTTATCGTAACTTTGTTGGATATGGGCTTTGTGATAAAAAAAGCATAAATTTTGTTTTTAACAACGTCCGGCGCTTTTTTAAGTTAATGCTTTGCTTAAATTCATTTACCCATTTGATAATGCTGCATATTATCGTTAACAAGCTATGATAGACTGAACCATTTTCAGTGCATGGAGTATATGGACACTGCCGTGCAAAACTTGGAGAAAGCGAAACATGATCCGGAAGCCCGATCGTTGACTGATATTAGCAAAATTCAAAAAGGTAACTGGAGAGCATAATCATTGTTATCGCGCCATTATCTTCCTACAATGTGCCTTGTTTTAAAAAAAACAGTGTCCTGTTTTTCGCTGACAGAAAATCTGGAAAGCATTAAGGACACCTTAACGTACAGCCAGGAACTGATAACCTTTATGGAGGAGTTTATCGTGCAGTACAATGCAGTGTCATACGGATTAGCGTGCGATCTGTACCCGGCCACCAATCAAATCAATCAAATGCTGGAAAAGCTCAGCGATAAGCGGCGCCGGTTGAAGGCTCTGCTGCATGAAATGAAATCCCTGTCACGCATGCCGGATGCGGATGGCAGCATGCTAATCATGGAATTCGAAGATATCGTCACCATCTACGAGAACGCCAAGGCCCGCGCCGGTCGAATTATGTCAAGGGCAGTTACACCCGAGAAGGGCCCGGTTGTCAAACAAGAACTGCAAAACATATTGGATATCTGCCAAGTAAGCCTACTCGCTTCCATATGTTGTTGCTAAAACTGTTAAACTGTCAAATGGTGTGCCGGTACTTGCCCTTTTTGTCAATGAAGTGGCTTTTGCTAAACAGAATATGTACAGCAAAAAAAATTCAAAAGCTTAATTATCAGTTTACTGACGAAAAAAATTGTGAAAATTTTAATCAGCCGGAATCGAGTCATGGTGCCTTTTTAAATACGAGTAAGTTCTGCTAAGTGTTGACAGTGTCTTTAAACGAGTGACCTTCGTAATTATAGTACCATTATCTGTTTGCAAAAGTCTATCTGTACAATACATGCGCATTTACGATAATTATTAATTATTGCCAAATGAACAAAACGTTGTCAATATTAGAATACAAAGCCTTTATTTTTTACACTTCATCGTTGACGTAAGTTCAAAGTCCACTTCAAGCCGTTGTGGAAATTCTCTATAATTCTGGACCTGCCGGTTTTGCGACACAGCTGCCAAAGGTTGCCAACTGTGTTGCCATATCCGACAGATATAAACTTGCTAAAGCTCTCATAATTGTAAACATTCATAAGTTTAATTTTTTTGTGGTTTGTGTCGGATAAATATTTAACACCGATGGAATGTCTTGAATAACGGAATCGTTGGTTTTCGTAGAACTTGATCGAACGCTGTGCGTTATTATCCCAACAATCCCACACCGCCCTCGTCGGTCATCCCGAACTGAGCCAGCGCATAGCCACGCTCTTTCAGAACCTCTCAACATCTCGTCAACTATGGGAACAACAACTTTTCACCGTTGACATGTGCGTCGACACCTTCCAGTCACTCCAGCGTGGACGGCACGAGCTGAAGACCATCGTCACTGATCTGGACCGTAGTCTCAACAGCTGGAATGTGCGCGACAGTGACATCGGCATGGACGAGCGCATCGAGATGGCTGTGCAGGATATCCTGGGTCTGACCAGCACACCACTCCACCAATCCAACTTCCTAGCGGAGAATCCAGTAGGTGTGGATATCACGGAGTTGCTGGAAGAGGTCAATCGCTTTCAGGATGAGTGTCAAGAAGCGCTGGATGGCTTGTTGAGTGTGCAACCGATGGAAGTGCAAGATGAAACGGGATTCCATGGACTGTTCTCCACCTGCCGTTTGTTGCGATCATGGGTTGCACGACGAATGCATGATTTACGCGAGGTAGGCGTGGTTCATGTGAATGTTATAGCGGTTGCGGGAAATTCTCGTTTATAGGATAACAAGATTGAGACGCAACTGTACGCTGTCGACACATTCCTCTGCAAGCACGATCTGTTTGTGCAAGAGATCGGTGAGCATCAAGAGATGTTGGACACAATGGTAGAGGCCATGCAGGATGTCAGAGAGACATCGCCGGAACGGGAACAAGTCGGTGCACTCTCGGTGGAAGTGGGCATTCTCATGGAAGAGTGGAATGAGCTGATTGCGGCGGTCAATATACGGTTGCTAATTGGTGGACAGTTGCGCAATGTCCTGCTGACCCTGGAGCAGATTCGCGAGATTCCGCGAACGGAGTTACCGTTGCAGTCGGAGGGACTGCCGGAGTTAAGGAAAGCTTGCCATGATTTGTTCGTGTCGGTTAGCGATGTAAGGATACTGTTGTGTTGGGAAATATTGCCGTTAATTTTATTCACTAGGTTGCATTTGAGTTGATTGTGGTTTAGATTCCGGAGGATATTCTACAAACAGCTAATTTAAGGGAAGCAGTGCGTCTTACGTGTGAAGAGCTCGGTTGGGATGTTAACGAGCTTCGTACCATTCCAATGGAAGTCGATGAGCATGACGCTGATGTGGAAATGATGCCTCAAAAGACCGATGAAGAATTTGCAGCCGTAATGAGCCGATCGGTCGTGGACTTTGTGTCGCGCTTAGAGCAGGTAAGAAAGTTCTGCACCGCTTTGCCATTCTGTGTTGAGCAAAGAAGGGGTTGGTATACATGCGGAAATTTTCACCTTGCTGTTTGCAATGTGAAATCCGAGTTTAAAAAAGCGACCTGTTGTACAGTAAACCTTTCTTGAACAGGAAGTTAATCTCAGAATACTGATGTGGTTTTTGATTAACCCTTACACTACATTTTCCGCTTACCTTACACCTTAAACACAGTACATACTACATACATTTTCCCCTGAACGATGATGATGTTTCGTTTGTAATTTTGCAGATGAACGACTCATTGACCAACAAATTAACCGCCGCAGGACCGACGGACGTCTACAATTCTCTAAAGAACACAGAGCAATCGCAGTTTATCCATCGTCTTTCGTCCTCCTTGGACAAGATGCTGTCCACATTTCTCCGCATTGAAGCCGTCGGTGCCGGACTGCTGCCACCCGATGCACGACCTTTGGAGCGAATTACCGAAGAACCGGTCACCAGTGGGACCAACGGCAGCCCACCCTCTTCCGAAGCAGGCATTACTCAAGAAAAGCCCGTAAATCTGGCGCGAGTTTTGAACGTTCTAGCGGATTTCAACTGGCAAAGCCAAGAGGTATGCTATGCAATTGCAAACCCAAACTATGGCTTTGAAATTTACATAATGGCAATTTTCGTTCAACAGGTGCACCGAAAAGTTAATCTCATTCGAAAAGAGCTGAGGAAATTTGAACCTCCAAAAGTGGCAGAACCAGAAACGTTCAGCGAAACATTTGTGGTATGTTGTTGAAAGTATCATTGATCCGGTTGCTTGGAAAGTATTAAATTCCTTCTTTTTAGCTTGTTTCCGGTGAGCTACAAAAGTTCAAGTCTTTATTCCAAGCCTTCATCGAGGACCATTCAGATCGCCTATTTGATTCCCTACCGAATGTACTTTCTTCTGGCTTTACCAGGGCTCCTAGCCAAGGGCTGTATGAGGCAGTGCCGTCCGAGGTGGGCAGTAATACTGTATTACAGTCTGTACACTGAACTAACTGCAGTAGGGTCACTACTCTAGGTACAAGATAATTATGCCATTTTGCATGCAGATTTAATTTTGGAAAGTTTTGCTTTGGACCGTTTTTGTTGTATAAACATCAAGTATAGGTGCGAAAGTTACTTCAGTGAATTCAACTTCGCTTATAATGCGGGTTAAACCTAACCCCGGGCCCTTGTCCTCTGTATTAAGTATCCTTATTCTAGTCGTATTAAAAATTTTAATTTTGAACAACTTTTTCTTTAATACGTTTCCGGGATCACGGCATAACAATAATGGAGTTGTTGAACAGAGGTATATCTGTTGAAGAGTATGCAGTGAATTACCAGATACGTATACTAAAAATTTTTAAAATGCAGTTTCAGTAATAGGCAAAATATTTATCGAGATAGACGTACTTACTTACAGGCTTTGCACGATGAGTAAAATTATGATGATCATTAGATGTACGAGTAAGAACATACTATAATACTGTATGATGACCGGAAGATACAAATATCACACATAAAGTGTTGGCTAGCGTTATTTACTGCATTCATTGCGGTGATCGCTGTGACAATTTAGGTGACAAGTTACAACGGTAACGATGTGGAATCGGCAGCGAGTAAATCGTAATACGATGGTCTAGTTGGCATACTTTCACTACTTTGACCACTGAATTACGCATTAATCATTAAATACACTGTAGTCCAAGCTCTGCACAACAAACGATTTCTTACAAAGTTTCTAAATATATTTTTTTGTTTTCAGAGTGGAGATGACGACTCCATAGGTGCAGTTAAACCGGAATTTCTCAACGTTTTCCACGATATTACCGTCCGCCAGGGTCAGCTGGCCGTCATCGAGTGCCAGGTGCGCGGTGCACCGCCACCGACGATTTCTTGGCTAATCAACGATCTCCCACCCAATCCGTCCAAACACCAAGTCTTGGTTCACAATGCCCAGAATGTTCTGATTGTCCGTATCACCGGCCAGGAAGATGCCGGCAAGATCGTCTGCACCGCCAGTAACGATGTGGGCGTGGCCACGTGGACGTGTCATGTCCATGTGGAGTCATTTGCCGAGATTATCGAGGAAGAGGACAGCGAAGAGACCTTGACAGAAGCCATCGTTGAAGCGAAAACAGCACCGGGATTTGCGGAAGCCTTCGCCAAAGAAATGGAGATGGAACGGATAGCCGGTGTGAAAAGTCCACCGATCATTGGACGGTGCACGATTATCAGCCGTGGAGAAGAAACAGGTCCGTTGCGAATAATTTTGTCTTATATCAAACCACATTTTCAGCTCAGCTGCTTAACTATCTCATGCAAAAATAACGCATTAAAAATATAGCCATTTAATAAGATAAATGTTGGACCTTTCAAGTATCCCAAATGCACAAACTCAGAAGATTTTGGTGCGCAATCTGAAGAAAATAAAATATTTTGGCTATTTTGTGGGGGTTTTCCCACGCCGGGGGTTCCCGGCGTTATCGTGACCGGGTTTTTGGCGTGCACGCCGGCTAGGTCAGTGGCATGCGGGCTGCGCGAGACGGCCGGGAAAAATGTGTGTCAGAGTGGCGCGCGCGTATCCGCCTCCGCAAACCGGCAAAGTGGCCCGCAGAACGCCTACGTGGTTTGTTTGTTGGTGGTGGCAACATCACGTTAAAGCGGCGGAAACACGGCTTCCCCACCAGACAGTAGCGAAAAGTGTTGGTGTTCGCGGACCGTCGATCATCCATTCGCCCTTTCTCTCTCTCTCGTTCTGCGCCAGTGCGACGCGCAACGGCGTTGCACGGTTGTGTATAGCCGATTTAGCCGGAAGATGAATGCTGTGGATTACAACATAACCCGAACGCGTTATTTATAGCCGCCTGTAGTCTGTTTGGAGCCGCGTGCTTGATAGATGAAATGAACTGCTGGCTTTTAACGCAAACGATCGTGTGTCGTGTTTCTTTATAAATATCGCCAAATTTGTCATATGGATGTGCCGATGAATCGACGGCAACATTTTTATGGCAAAGCCTTAATAAAGGCATTCTCATATATACGAGTACAAGACAGCAAATCTAAAATTAATTCAAATAATTAACCACACTAGCTGCCGAACACCCGGCTTTTTTGCAGGAAATTATGGGTTTTGTCATAAACAACATGAAGCACCTGTAGTACCCATTCCTATCACTGAATTGGTTTTATGTAAGCGTCGATTAATATTCTAAGATGAGCAACTCAATATTTTTTAAGTTAGGAATTTCTATGGACGTAATGCAAATTAGATACTCGTATCTGGTGCCAAAGGATGGCATCTTTCGTAATTTAACTGCGTCGTGCAGTAGTACTCTGATGTGACATAGTGCACTTTGCTCCCATACGCCGGTTCGGAATTAAGACGGTCGCGCTGCAGAAGGAGGTTGACATACCGTCGAGTTTGAATTTTCCTAATCCGCGCCATACGGATGGTCATAAAAATAAGTCCGTACAGTGTGGCACAACGCCGTCGACGTCCACAACTGCTATTTTTTTCTTGCCAACGTCCAAGCCTTTTTACGGCGCACAGCACGCGTTCATCAGTCGCCGGTTCTCTCATGCACTACACTTGATGGTGGAATTTTTAGCCACATGGTGTTTCTTATTCATCTCCACAGTTGCAATATGACGGTTACATACACGGGGAACCGGCCATTTCAGCTGGATCTTATTTTTGTTACCGTTTTTGACGAGTTGTTGACTAATAAGCCATCGCTATGCGCCCCACTGCGGGCGCCGCGTCATATTATTATGCGTATATGCAGATGAGACTTGACCGGAAATATCATCGCTGCTGACGCTTAATTACCGCGGATATTCGGAGGGATAACGCTGCGCGCGGTTGTTTCGCGTAAACAGAAGGGGAAAAAGTGTCTCATCATTTTTCGGCTGTAGTGTGCAAGTATTTTGGCGGGGGAAATGTTTGGCCAGTTCGCCGGTAATGCTTTTTCCTCCGATGATTCGCAGAGTAGTGATGACAGCGATACGACGCCGGTGGTGCTGCTGCCGTTCTATGTTGCGCATGGTGCGTTCTTTTGCTATTGTCATGTAACCTTTCCAATTAACAGCTGCTTGCTGCTAAAATGATAATAATGGCGCCCGATGAACGCTTTCGGGGTAAACCATGTGGATGTAAGCGTGATCAGGTCGCTTCCGTTGTAAATAGGCTCTTGGCGGTTTGTTTAACTTACTGTTCGTCTGTTAAACTGAGCAACGTGATTGTGTAATCTTCAAAATACTGACCGCTTCGCTTACTCACATGGTTAAGCTACGCTACGCAAACGGTACAAGCGGTACTATCCATAGAAGCATAAAACTAAGTTTAACTAGGGGCGGATTTCTCATTTTTGTATGCTTAAGTTGACTGGGGAAAACAGCAAAAATGTGTAAACGGAGGGTATTTTACGGTTTTGGTCCTGGATTTGCATTCTGTGATTTGTCAGTTGTCTGCTCGGGCGCACGTAGGCTGTTAGAAGCTTTCCCTACTTACTTTTACAAACTACATAATGCAAATGTCACCTTATGGCTTAATTACTGTACTCCGTTTGTATCCGCATTGTGGGTGCCCCATACATTCAAAATGAGCCAAGCAAAAAAAACTAGTGATGCTTTGTAGGCGCTCTTTAACCTTATTTTACATACACTCGTAGGATAGAACTGCCATTGCGCCGTTGGTTTTACACTGCATCTGCGGCGACTCTGCGCCCTATTGTTACGTAATACTTAACAGTTACTTGACCTAGCAGGAGTTACAAATAAAGCGTTTTTCATTCTTTTATTCAAAATAAGACACTAAAGTTGATAAGGTACCTGTAATTATAGAGGAACGCATGCACTACGTTCACGCCATTAAGTCGACGCTTCCATGGCTTGAACTAAGTACTACCATACTTACCAGTTAGTTAGTCGCTAAAAAAGTGAAAAAAATTAAGGACTTTTTTACTTATTACCAGCCGTGCAAGAGCAGATTTTTATCACTTATAGTTCTGGTCTTTTTGAACATAGATGGTGGATGTGTTGCACACTTGCAGTAAATAATAAACCAACAAGGGTATTTAAACTACTCTAACGAGCCAAACATCAACAACAACTATGCCGTTTTAATTAAGGACGAACGTTCGTGCAAATGAGATTAGGACCGTTGGCATTTGAGATGTTTTCTTTCTGTTGCAACTCTGTTACAAGATGTTTTCAGTTTTATTAAATGCAATGGTATCATTGATTACTCAGGCAACTGCTGTATTGTGTTAATTAATACAACCGTCTAAAGGACTACAATACATGCAGGTAAAATAAGTGAAAAGTTTTGACCAGTAGTACAGGTTTTGCTTAGTTCATGGATCCGAGATTTGGGTTGAGATTTTCACTGGTGTAGCACATTCTCCGTGAGGATGATCGTGTTTGTGATGCGGTATTAGTAGACAATATTAGGCATCCGCATGATTTAATATAAGCACACAAGAGATTAAAGCGGGCCTCGTTTTGGGATGAGTAGTTTAAGAACCGGAAGGTCGACAGGACGGAAATAGTTTCTCCCTTAACCAGTCACCGCGCCGCCGTACATACAGCTGCCGGCCACAACACATTATGCAGTTTTTTTCGACACCGCCATCGATCTCAGCGCGGTTCTTCTTACTCATCTCTTTAGCTGCCAGATTTACTGCGTTCCAAACGCACAACCCATACGTAACACGATATTAGCCCGGACAGGCTCACATCACAGCAGATCCCCAACGCTGTTGCCCTTCATTTTGTTTTGGTCGGATTTTCATAAGCTTCGTGATTGATCGTTGCTTAACCCTGTTCAAGCGGAATATATGATGTTGTTACAGGCTCTGCCCATCCCGGGGAGGAGGCCTCCCTGATCCCCCCGTCGTTCACGCAGAAGCTATTATCGAAGGTTATTCGGGAAGGCGAGAGTGTGTTGTTCGAAGCGCGGGTAGCCGGATCACCGCTCCCGCATATTACGTGGTTTCGGAATAATCAGATTCTGTCCAGCGGAAGTGACCGCTGTCAAATTATTCACACCGGTGATCTGTGCCAGTTGGTGATCAGTTCGGTGAACCGACTGGACGCCGGTGCTGTTAAGATAACGGCAGTCAATGCCGGCGGGGAAGCCATTTGTATTGCGGATCTACTGGTTGCCCCCGCGAGTCCGCGTATTTCGCAAGGAGCCCTGCAGAGGGACTACCGACAGGTTACTCATACCGAGGAAATAACAGCCACAACCAGCAGCATGGTAAGTTATTAAAATTTTATTGCGTTTTGAAAGAATTTTAGGTGGGCGTGTATTCCTTGTATTTTACTCTACATTTTCTCATATATACGGATAATAACATTACAAATATTTTTATAATTTGTTGTGTTTTTTTTGTGGAACTAAATTATCGTTGTTTGCTTTGAAGACCGAATGATATGAATCTGCCATGTAGGAGTGTCCTAAATATAGCTTTATTTGCTTATTACGTGATCTGACATCGAACTTCCTAACCACATTCCGCTATCAGCATCTGTTTCGGCATTTCTAATCAAAAAATTTATGTTGTTCAAATAGTAGCTTGGAGTTGAATTTGAGAAATGCATGAAAAGTTTTCAGTCTTGTAAATCCCAAACTCGTATTTATTGGTCTTGTAACACGAAAACACCGCATGATTTGCAGTCTCATAATTAAAACGGGTCTTATAAGCTGTATGGAAACACTGCCTTTCGGCACTTGCAGAATTTTACTAATATGTGTTGTTTTCGACATACTAATTATTTTGAATTTAAAAGTTTATAAGTGTAGTAGTGAAATCCTGAAAAGTATAAAAAAGTTTGTGCTTTCTATTTTACCAGTGGATTTCACTGACGTCAGTAGTTTCATGTAAGATATTCTGCGTAACTTCAAGCAAGTATTCTGCTACTATGGCAGCCGATCCACTACACTACGAATACGATACGCCACATTAAAAGCGATTTCGTTTGTTTATCACTAGAGTACAGATACTAAGAGTAGCCAATACTGAAATATCCACATTCAGTAATCCACATTCAGCATACCGGTTAGTTTACATTTACTAATGTGCGTTAAAAAAACAGGCGAGCACTCCGTAATAAAATAATCGAATTCATTAGAACCTTTTTTTAAAATTTGGAAAATATTTGTTGATTGGAAAACTAGTGTAGGGAAATAACCGAATTGGCGCTTTTCTACCGTTGTTACCTCGACAGGCTTTACGCCAGCATTCGCCATCCCCTACCCACCAGCCCCTGATGCGGGCCCCGCCGTTTTTCACGCGCACGCTGCATCCCACCACCGTGACGGAGCACGACAGCATTATCCTGGAGTGCAGTGTACAGGCGCATCCCCTGCCAGTTATTCGTTGGTTGCATAACGGCGCGGAGTTAACGGACGCCGACAGTTCAAGAATGCAGATGACCTTCTCCCAAAATGGCACATGCACGCTGATTATCCGCGATGCCCAGATCAGCGATGCCGGACAGTATGTCTGCCATGCCAGTAATGCCGTCGGCAAGCGCCAGACCACGACGTTTGTTGTTGTTGAAGGTTGGTTGCGTAATCAGTGTGTTTCTCTGATTTTCTGTAGTTTCCTTACTAAATTGTCTCGACAATATTGTGGCCACAGGTAACGACAATTTTGAAATAATTTGTATATAAATATATGGGAAACGAAAATCGTAAGGCATTAATATTCTTTAAACCGAGAAGCAAAAGTGAAAGACGTTTTTTGCAGGATTGCTTCAAAAACCGTCTGAGCTAAAACAATAAAGAAAGATTTGACTGGCGTGACAAACTTTTCGGTTACAATAAAAAAGTGTAGAATTGTGGCTATCGCCTAATCATGACGGTTTCCGCTCTGAATTACTCTAGGCAAGGGGTAATTACGGATTTTAAAAAAAAAAACTTGGAATGCTGTTTGCCTCGTGACAAACTGCTACTTTTTTAAATTTCAAAAGAAGACGTGGAAAAGAGGGAGGAAATTTGTAAACGGAAATATATTTTAAATTTCTGTGCTATATGCTACATACAGAAACCTTGCAAAATGGATGGAATTAATACTTACTGCAAACTTCTGCTGTATTATGCAAGTATTGCGACATTTTAATCCGTTTGCTGCGTCAAAACTTCTTGAAGCAGAGCAATAAATTTATCGAAAGCTTTGAGATAAAGGAAGTTATTTGTAGTGATTCTCTGGGTAATGCACGTAGCTGTGTGGTGGTCTGTCGCGTTAATTAGTCGCATCTGACACATTCCTCAACGTTCTAAAGTGTACACATGCGGTAAGCCAGCACATCTTCATATAGCCGCGATTGTTAAAATGCTTGCAATTTTTAGCCACTTCCGATTTGAGTCACGCGGCGGCCGTCGCCGAGCGGCAAGTGGTGACGGTGCCAGCCTATCCGACCAAGCACGTCTCCCTGGCCATGCCCAAAAGCGGCATGAAACCCCGCTTTCTCAACCAATTACGCACAGCCCAGCTGGTGGTCGGCAGTACGGCCTACTTTGAATGCAAGGTCAGCGGTGTTCCGCCGCCGACCGTCGTCTGGAGCCACAACGGCCAACCGGTGTACACGTCGGCCCGACGGACGGTGGGCGTTAATTCCAGTAACGGTGTGCATAGTCTGCAGATTCAGGGGGTGCAGGAGGAGGATGAAGGGGAGTATACGTGTACGGCCTTTAATGAGTTTGGCGAGGATTCCACGTCGGCGTTTCTTCTCAGTGCCGGTAAGTCATTGCGCGGATTGGATTAACTGAATCACATGCTTGCCGGATGCGGTCAGAATTTAAAATTCAAAGAAATTAAAAAATAAAATAGAAAAAAAGTAAACCTTCATTTGGACTGCGATGAATTCAAATCCGATCGGAAATTAAAAAATCTGTACGATAAACTGGAAGAACATATTGAAACGCATATTAATGAAGTGATAGTAGTGGATTGTAGAATATTGGCTTCGCATTTTGGGACTCTTGCGTCATGTCGGTACATGTAGTGATGTAAACAGTAGAAACAGACCGCACGGTGAAATGCAATAATTCAATGTTGAATTTTTTCTAAAAAAAGTGGCCTGTTATGAACAGCCTTTATAGTTTTTGTTGAAAGGTCGGTAGTATTCTACGGATGCTTTGTATATTTCTTTACGTGACTTGATTCAGGATATTGAACCATTACAGAAAAATTTTCCGAGTGGCTACAACAAGAGCGGAAACGCCGGCCTTCCGTACCCCGCGGCCTCTCACCGTCTCCCCAACAGTCCCCCGTCCCTGAGTACCGGACGAAGCGTCTTCGCACCCAACGTCCAGCCAGTTCGGAACGCGGTGTGTCCGAAGAAATGGAGATCGATGTTATGGAAGAACGCAGTTTGCGGGCATTACCACCACGACCTTTTCGACCACAATCTGCACCGCCGACTTCGCGGAAACCACAGCGTGTGCCCACCAATGAATTCGGCCAACTGGATTACAGTCTGACCGGCTTGGATGAATCGTGGCAAGAAGGCCTGGAATCGCCACAGTTTGACTACAGTATGGGTTTTGCCACGCCCGAACCGACGGTGGAAGCATTTTCGGAACAAGCCTCACCGCATCCGCCGCGGTTCACCCAGAGTCTGGCGTCTGTCAGATGTGCTGAGGGGGATCAGGTGCAGCTTAGAGCTAAAGTTTCCGGGCATCCCAAACCAAGGGTGAGTTAAAAGTTTTTTATCTAACTTAACTTTTCCCATTGTTTTCAAAATTTGGTAATATTTACTGGACAGGTCGGATTTTAATTTGAAACTTTTATTGGCTTTATTTTATTAGATTTAACGCGCTTAAGTGAATATACCGGTAACAGCTTACGATTTACTGCAATCAAATGCTTATGTAATAAGTTTTATTGTTTGCTGAATCCTATTTTGATTTTGTTTGCAGATTACATGGTTGAAAAATGGAACAAGATTACAGTCGCCATCGGCGCGATTACAGCTTTTGTATGATGGAGAATTTGTGATTATGAGAATTCGAATGGCCATGCAAGAGGACACCGGTCATTACACCATTGTTGCGGAGAATACCGCTGGACAGCAAACGTGCTCCGCATCGCTGACCGTTGATCCGAGTTTTCGACGGCAGCAGGGAAAGAGGTGGGTTAAAACCGGGCCGCTGTTTTTTTGGCGGTGACTAATAAGAGCGTTGTAGTGTAGTGGCGTAGATCCTGGCAGTTACCAGAGAAATCGTCTGTACAAAGGGTGAAGATATAATGTGGCAAATTAAGCAGCAGCAGCATAAATAACATTTAAATTTTTCAGAATAATGTTAATATAATTTTAAAGAAGAATTCAAGCGGAAACGGGTACTATGTTTGCAGCTCTTCTCAGCCCAATATTTTATCGTCGCCGTCTCACCGTATCAGCTCACCCGTTCGCGCGTACACGCCTTCCCGGGAGCTGGAATCCAGTCAGGGAAGTTTAGGACCGCAGTTTTTGCACTGCCCACCTGATAAAATCATCAAAGAGGGACAATTAGTGCGCTTTGATTGTCGCGTTAGCGGCAGACCCTATCCGGAAGTACTGTGGTATCGGAACGGACAACCAATTTACGACGATTTTACACATAAGGTACTGATTGAACGTAGTCCAACGGCTGTACAGTGAACGATCCATGCTGAACCGCTTCTTAGTTCTTAGACTACAGTCACTACACAGTGAACGATTGCAATCAAAAATACTATTTTCAATGATAAAAATGGGTCATTGTATTATAGTGTTAAAAAATTATTCGTATTATTTTTCATTGCATTTTTCAGTTATTAACTGCAGTACGGATTATCTATATATAATAGCAGCAGGCATGCTTTACGAAATGCAAAAGAATAATGTGTGCAGAGTCTACCGACGCCTGGAGAAATAAATAAAAAACGAAAGTGCTATGCGCCCGGAAATTTTCCGGCCGCATAGTTAATTTGCTATGCGCCCGGAAAGTTCCAGGCTCGTTGTGAAATGGGTGTTTGTTTATGTTTTAATTACACGCACACAGACCTTCCTACAACAAAAAACAAAAACAGAACTGAAACTTCCATATGCAAATGGATTATTATGAATAATAACGTATACACATTATTATTCGTAATAATCCATCCAATATTCATAATTCTTAACCCGCTGTTTATGTCCACCTAGCGTAAATTATTAGTTAGATAAAATTAGAAGCACTACACCTGCACGTTATTTGCGCACAGGCCTGACAGGAATGATTTTTGTATGGTTTTTTCGGCGCCTCGCTGCTAACACTATTAGTAAGGTTACTAATTCAGACATAAATTTTGAAAATCTGTTAATAACAGTTAATGAGCTGTGCGATGGAAAACGTCTGTTATGCACTAATACTGTAATTAAATGCGCTCACAATTGTCGGTGCAACCGGAAGTCCAGAATTGTGATGTTGTACAATATTATATGTTACCAACCTTCTGGAATATTCAACGTACAGCACGGTTCTACGGCAAACAAATTGTTGACCTGCCTTAACAATCGTGGGATCACAACACGCCGTCCTTAAAACGCAAGTTTCAGTGTACAATACTTATGGAGTCCATTTTTAGGTGCATTTTCACGTTTAAAGTACATGGTTACGGAACTATATAAGGGTCTTTAAAGACCAAAATTTTGGTACTTATTGTGCTTAAAAAACACCCATCCTGAAAACATCTTTTGGATGCTGAAAATATGAACTTTTTTTCTGGAATAAAATCGGGTACATCAAAGAAATCAAGATCATGAAAGATTTAAAAAGCCAACGCGAAATTTTTGCTTCCATAGAGCCTCAAAGCTGACAAATCGACTTATCAAGCATATGTAGAAGAAAGCTTCTGTTATACCTGGTTTGCTGGTTCTGAACTTCCGGTGCGCTTCTAAGTGTCACCAAGAAAATCAACCATTTTGCGCAAAACTGCTTGCTATAACGGCCCAGATACGCTTCTGAATTCGAATTCTGAATTCGCTTTTGAGGCTGACGCTTTAGTGACCATAATCGCAAAACGGAATTTTGGCCGGTGCTTAACGGGGTGTTGTGCGTATCTCGATTTCAGGTTATCTTTTGATTTTGCTGCTTGCTTTAAAGTTTGAAAGTGAAAATTAGTAAGCACTAACAATTTCGGAACTTCGTAGTAATCTGCAGTTTCGCAAACAAAACATATGTATTCATCGCACATTACCTTAAAATAAAATAGTAAAATTATAGAATATATTTGCAAGGGCACTGGGTGCTAGAATAACAAATCTGCATTACCTGTAGCAAATTTCGGCGACGGAATTCCGGGCGCGCATAGCACACTGACTACGCGCCAAGAATTTTCCGGGCGCATAGCAAATTAACTATGCGCCCGGAAAGTTTCCGGGCGCATAGAAGTGACCAATAAAAAATTATAAATAAGTAAATAAAATTCCTTTTTAATAGCGCTCTAATTTATCGCTTTCAAGTTTCAATGATTGTCCACAGATAATCGTGAACGAATCGGGGGAGCACTCGCTGATGATCACCCACGCCAGCTTGGACGACACCGGCCAGTATCAGTGTGTCGCCAAAAAACTACACAGCGGAAACGTCGATCGACTTCAGTCTGATTGTCGAGGAAGCTGATAAGCTCATTGCTCCCACGTTCGTGCAACGCTTCTACAATATGACCGCTCAAGAGGAGACCACTGTCCAGTTTTTTGCTCGTGCCGTCGGTGTGCCGATGCCGATTATTAGTTGGTTGAAAGGCGCTACCGAACTGCAGCCTAGTGATCGAATTCACATTGAGACGAAACAAGGAGCTTCCACACTGACCATTCACAACGTAATGATGGAGGATGCCGATTGGTACTTGTGTACCGCCAGGAATTCCGCCGGTGTCGCGTCTGCCAAAGCCAAACTGACTGTTGAACGTAAGGGTCGGACTTTTCATTTAGAACGGCTTTCGTCTTCATAAGTGTCGTAGTACGATGGAAGCGTAGCTGGCCTGCAACTGTGTGCTCTGCATATTGCACTCTGTATTTTAAAAACTTTACCGAAAAAATGCCTAAACCGCACTGATCAAAACAGCTTTTGTTTTTTTTTTATTTTTTATTACTTTTTGATAGGGTAGTAGTTGCTTTTACACGGAAATAACCGAATTACTTCTTTATAGCTAAACCAAGACTAATTCAACAAACTGCATCAGCTGCACATTACACTGGCTCCATTCGCGAAAGCCACAAGCGACGATTTTCTCCAGATCGCTCTCGTTCGACCGAACGAGTGCTAGAACACGAAACAGTGGAATTACGTCATGTAACGAAGCATCCCCGCGCATCCAGTGCAACCGGCATTAGCTCGACCTCATCCCCGTATGTTTCGCGCCGGCAAATAGAACCACAACGACCGGTTTTCACAGCACCGTTGAAAAATGTTGACTGCGATGAGGGTCACCGGGCACATTTTGAATGCTTAGTGAACTTAGTTGCCGATCCTGATTTGGCCATCGAATGGTTTAAGGATGGAGTACCTCTGAAACTCGGTAAGTGTCTTTTTCGATAGAGTATTTATAAATATTTTATGACATTTGTCATCAGTTGATAGCAAACGGTTTTATTCTTGTTATATTTTATTCGCGCACGATATATAAATAGAACATCATGTTTTTATTTGCAAATATTACTTTTTATTTAGGCCCTAGACATCGCGTATACGAAAATTTCGGCATGGCCAAGCTTGTGTTTTTGTATTTGTTTAGAGTACCGACAGGGTATTCAGTTATCATAATTATTTTGTGTTGATAATTGCTAGATTAATGCTTTTCATAGATGATCGAATTCGCGTCGAATATTTAAACGGGCGAGTCACCCTGCGGATTACTAATGCCCAGCCCACCGACGAAGGTGTCTGGGTAATAAAGGTCACAAACCGTTTCGGCGAAAGCCGCAGCGCTACTAGCATCCACATCTCGTCCACGGACCAGCGCCCCAAAGGGCCACCCAGCCCGCCGACCTTTGTCATTCACCCACAAACCGATACACTGGTCGAGCACGAGAATAACACCATCTTCATCGAATTCCGCATCACTCCCCACGACGCGATGGTGGAATTCTTGAAGGATGGACAAGTGGTGCGGGATTCATCCCACATCAAGACCGTCACTTCAGGCGGCTACGGAATCCTGGAGATCAATGTGGCTGGCAGGGAGGATACAGGAGCGTACACATGCCGGGCTACGACGTCGTTGGGCACGGTGGATACGACGTTCAATGTGGATGTCAAAGCCCTGGAGCCGGTGCATCGCGCCACCATTCCCAGTGTGCAAATTGCCCCGCTGGATGCTAGAGTAGACGAAGGCACACCGGCCAGGTTTTACTGTACGGTGGGTGGAGCGCCGAGGCCGAGGGTCAGCTGGAGAATTAACGGACAGTTTGTGACTTCGGTTAGTAAATCGCAAGGCAGTGAAATATTTTGGGCCAAAAAATATTTTGAATTAATTACTCCAATTTATTTTTGTTCTGTAATCTGGCGCAGGAAGCAAATGCTTTGATTACTAGTACTTCTGGGACACAGCCATTCCACTACTCTACGATTTGACTATGTACTGTAGTTAGGATTTTGATGCGGAACAGGAAGAGCATGACATTTAGAACTGGCTGAACTGGTTCACCAATAAAACCAATTTTACTGACCAGCACCTTTTTAGTGGTGGCAAAACAAAGAATTGATCTACTTTTTGGGGAGTGCTTTCACGCATAAATTATGTGGTCTGCAGAAAAAATACGGACATATGTAGACAACTCCTCGTCTCTTTTAATACTTAGCAATAAATTCGAATTATATAGGGCGATCGCTACCGCATAACAACGGACAACTTCACCAGCAGTCTGGAGATTCTCCATACTCGCCAGTACGATACCGGCGAAATCACGGTCATAGCGGAGAATAGCGAAGGCACCAGCACGGCGCGCGCGCGCCTAACAGTAGCGCCACACAAAGAACCACCGCCGCCGCCACGTTCCGTCCCGTCCTCCCCTACCTCTCAACGGCGGGCCCCTCCGGCGCCCCAGCCACCTCCAATATCCCCTCCCACACGGCGTCGTCCCTCCACCAGTGTTCACGACCACCAACCAGTGTTCACGCAGCGACTGCAGCCGTTCCGGACACCATCCGGGCAACCGGCGACATTCTTCTGTGAATTCCAGAGTACGACGGAGACGCGGGTGGAATGGTACCGGGAGCAGACGCTGATTGAGGCGTCCACGGATTTTCATATTGAGACGACGGAACGGTCATCTAGACTGGTTATTCCACAGGCGTTTGTGGAGGATAGTGGTAATTTTACGGTGAAGATTATTAATGAATTTGGAGAGACGGAAAGCACGGCGACACTGATCATAGAAGGTAAGGAAGAAATCTTTATAATTATGATCAGTACAAATACAAAACTGTGGATTACCAACAATGTACGAATGTAGTACTGGCTTTCGGTATTCGCCGAAATTCGTACTCAGTATTATTTGTTTTCTATTTCGATCACTGTGTAATGGAAGGGCAGATAATGAAATCTCGCCAGATACTTCTATCGAATTAGCAGAATGAGCGCGTCTTGTAGTGCAGTGGCATTGACACCCCAACCCAAGCTGTATACGTAGTAGTTGCTGACCTTCCTACAAAAGTTACGACTTCAATTAAAATTAAGTAACTTAAAATTTTTTTTAACGAAAGTGGCAAAAATCACCCCACGGATAACATAATATCTATATACCAGAAACACATGTTAATATCTATATACCAGAAACACATGTACATATTTTGGATTAACTGCTTTAGAGTAGTCAGGCAGGTCAACGGGGGAGTATAACTTCAGTTTGCAGATTTTTTACGTATTTTTGTATACAGCGTTGAGCAAACTATCGGTCATCTTTGCAGAACCTCGGACACCATCTGCTATTGGTCGGCCCATTGCCCCGAGTTTTGTGGACACACTACGCGACACCCGCGTCAAGGGCGGACAACTGGCCCGCTTCGAGGCGAAAATCCACGGCACCGAGCCGATTACGGTTACCTGGCTGCGCAATGGCCAGCCACTGCACGATAGTGACCGCACCAACATCTTCCGCATTGGTGACCAGTGCCGGTTATTGATTCGCGATGCCATCCCGGAAGATACCGGGTCGTACCAGTGCGTCGTGTCCAACGAGACAGGAGAAGCTCGATCGGAAGCTTTTCTCACGGTGGAAGGGATCAGCGCCTTTACCGTGCCACAGGAACCGATCCCGGTCAAGCAGGAAAACAAGCCCCCAAAGGTCATCAAGCCGCCGTCCGATACGACAGCGTTCGAAGGAGAAGCGGTGACCATGCGGTGTACTATTGAAGGCAATCCAAGTAAGTAAAGTTAAATAGACCGAGATTTGCAGAAGATGGTTTTTTTTAAAAGCATGGTGTGGTAAATCCTGTCATTTTATTATCGAAACGATTAAACTGCAAGCGCGGGCACACTACAGTACTTCACAATTAAAATTTATTATCGAAAGCATTTAAGTATCTATCTGTAGTGTCAGTTCGCGCGCACTGAGAACACCAGCTATAAAGTTTAGATAGTTAAATTTTTTTGTGCCATAAATTTAATGTTAAAAAAATAATTTCTATAAATTTATTCTGCATTCTCATAAATTTATTTTAATTAGAAAAATTTAGTTCCTTTTCAATAGTAGCTAATTAAACGGATCATAGTAATTCATTATGCTATTCTGTGGGATATCTCTGGTTCGAGCGAAAGATTTGTCACGATAGTAAGCGTAGTTTAAGGGCAATTACCAAGGTTGCGATTTATCACACATGCTCTGCGTTATAAATTAGTAAAAATGAATATGTGCCTTAAATTCGGTAGCGGTGCCAGTTTTTCGTTAAAGTTATCCATTAGTCCTCACTTTAGTTGATTGGGTGCCCGGTGCATACTCATGTTGTTTTTTTTTTACTTCTCATAGAACCGGAAATGCGCTGGTATAAAGGTCCCCACCTTGTCCGCAATTCCAAATACTACCGCACATTCGTGACGGATAACGTGTGTACACTGGTTATCCGCGAAGCGCTGCACGCTGACGAAGGAGAGTATCGATGTGTGGGGAAGAATCCGTTTGGACAAGCAGAAGATTCTGCATACATTCGAATATTAGGTAATTCTCGGTCTTCAACTTGAAAATGTAATGTTTCAGTGCATGAAATGTTTTATATTTTAGATGTTCCATCAGAAGCGGTGCAGTTAGTCGGGGAAAAACTCGGCGAGCGCCGCGTGGCGATAGGGGAAGATTTACCCTTTGCCGGACCGGAAATCGATGTTCCTTTACCGCCTACAGTGGAAGCTTACCGCGGAGAGGAGATCAAACTGAGTTGCTCGGTTAAACATGTTCTGCCGCATCCATCGTTTGCTTGGTACAAAGGCGATCAAATGATTCATCCAGGTAAAAAGGATCGTACAGTAGCTACGTACCAGTTAACCGATGAATGTTTTACACTTTGTTTGACTTAAAAAAAACCTTAAAAGTTTTTAGTGAGCAAACATTATTTTTTGTGAGCAAGCACTATTTTGCTGTAAATGGTGGACTCTACAACCATTACACCACAGTGGGCACTGAGCCTGTGTTCTACACTTTTGCGCTACCACCTACCGTTTTGCTTAATCTGCACTTCCGACAAACTGTGAAAAGCTGTTCAAGCCATTTTGAACATCGCGACTTCGGCATGCAAACTGTGAAATAATTTTAATAGTACTATTGTTGCACGTATTTCGTATTACTTTTTAATAAATAACGGAAACTTTTTTGCGGGCAGAGTATCGACGCGCTATGATCTGCTGCAAACCACCAATGTTGAGAGCGGTTCAGTATACTGAGCTCGTTCCGTAATGAATTAATTCTGACATGTAATGACCTTTGACAGCGGGAGATTTTACGGTTTTCGGTGACAAATGGACCTACTCACTGACCATCAAAGAAGCCTACCCGGACGACGCCAGCCAGTACACCTGCGTCATTTGGAACGAATTCGGGCTAGTGAAGAGCACAACATCCATCACCGTCACCGAACCCCCACCGCCGCCTCCTAAGGCTCCCAGTCCGGAAGAGCCCGAGTACACGTTTGTCGAAGAGACATACGCCGTCGAAGAGACCAGCAGTCTGATGCAAGAAACCATTCGCCGCTTCCGCAAGAACCTTCCCACGTTCACACAAGCACTGCCGGAGCGGATGAACGTGGTGGAAGGGAAGCAGTATGAACTGCACGCTCAAACCGTCAGTGATCTGCCGACGACGTACGACTGGCAGGTGGATGGACGGGAGATCCGCCATTCACCGGACTACCAGATTCAAGTGGGTCCGGAAGGATCGACGCTGACCGTGACCAGTGCGTCCCGGCTGGATAGTGGGCACTATGTCGTGCGGGCCAGAACGGATCAGGGTGAACAAGTCAGCCGGGTGGACGTGAACGTTAAAACCCGAAGTAAGTGATAATATCAAATCGTTTGAACTGGGATAGCTTCATACACGATTTCACTTTATATAAAAAAATATAATATTTCAATGGTACCGCTCATTGTTAGAAACTTCCTTGACTAGCGTTGTAAATAATTAGGGTTAGCTTTTCACTGTCTGTGTTTCAATTTGTTCAAACAAAAGCGGCAAACTGGACAGTGTAAACAGTTTAAACTAATAAATCTTCTCTAATTGAAGCACAAGAACATTTTGGATAGCGGCAAAGAACAATATGCGGTTACGGAAGCAGAATTGTTAAAACCCGCACTGAGTGGTTTGAATCAGACGCGCCTGCATTAACCAGCGAAATGTAGAATTTTGTAGTGGAAGGGCTGCTTACTGCTTAAGATTGGATATTGTAGAATTCAGAAACGGGCGAGAACCCTAATTTCGAATTGTGAAATATTCGAAACTCGTTTCTTTTTGTCGTTAGAGCTGATTTGTACATGCGGTTCTCACAATCCGTTTGTTCGAGGGTTTGCAATAAAGGTACCAGTAATCGCAATTATGAAACCAATTATTTTTTTAAAACAAAAAAAAACGCTTATTTATTTAAAATTAAATTCCCTTAAATTTCGGAAAAGTGCCATAACCATCCGGTTTTGAGATTGTGAACTTCTGAGCTTGAATTAAATGCATTAACGTTTTTCTAGCTGCGGCAGCGGACACCCAGCAAGCGATCAAACCTCCCAGCCCGGTGCCCACCTTCGAAGTCTACGATACAACGTACGAAGAAGAGCGCTCAGAAAACATCATGAAGGAATCTGTACGCCGCATCCGACCGGTTGTACCTCGCTTCACCAAAGCACTGGCCAGTTCCATGACCGTCTACGAAGGTGAACGGGTGGAAATGGAAGTGGAGGTCCGCTCCAAGGAGCCGGTGGCCTTTGAGTGGGAGCGCGACGGTGTAGCCATTACCCAGTCGACGGATCGACTGTATGTGGTCAGCGGAGAGAAGATCTCGGTGTTGAATATCACCATCACGACGATGGAAGACCAGGGCCGGTACACGTGCTATGCCATCTCCGATGCCGGGGAGAAGTCCACTACCACCAAACTCCATGTGATTCGTAAGTCCCGCTGCGATTGTTGTGTGATCTTCTGGTGGATTGTCTTTCTGGTTGGTCTGGTGCTGTTGTATGGCTGCTTCTAAAAAGCTCTCTTGCCTCTTGTCCTGTCTTTGTGCCTTCTGTCCGAAGCACTGTGAAAGCTTTCTTCGCGTAACAAAACAAATTCATCGTTCGTTACCGGTGGTTTTGTCGGTGTACATACCGGAAACTTGGATTAATTCTTCGGCGTCGTGTACTTATTATCATGGGGATTATTAAGATTAACCCGATGGTTTAAAACATTTCATGGTTTAACATACTGAGCTTAACATTTAACATACTGTACTTCTACTGAATGAATGTCCCACAAAATAGTAATCCAGTTTATGTGCAGCATCGTAGTGGAATGGCTTGTATGCCAAATTCGCAGGCGTCAAATTTAGCTCCCTCGTTAGTACAACATATCCATATGCTTATCAGTTTATGTACGGGGTACAATTTTTGCGATAACTGCAGTTTACATTTTCCTCAAACAAATCATTGGTAACTTTTTAGAGGCTAATAATATTATTACCTTATTATTGCAGCCATTAAAGTACTCTGTGTTACAATTAACTATTTTAACAGCCAAAGAAGCACAAGAAGCCCGGCGTGGCCCGACCGAGCAGCGTCCCATCTACGAGCGTCCCGGCACCGCTCGTGAAATTCTGACCAGTACCAAATCCGAGTCCACGAGCACCCAGTCATTCCTCAATCAACAGCGAATTGACCAGCGTTTCCGTACCCAGCAGAACGTGCGGGTACGCGACGAATTAATCCCCACACCGGAAATCCCGCAACCAGCATATTACGACTACGAGACATCGGAAGACCGCAGTCTTCTCGAACGCCAACTACGTACCCGACAATACCGGCAATCTGCCGGTCCGGAAGAGGTCCCATACCAATACGAAGTGTCTGAAGATAAAAGTCTTTTGGAACAAGATATCCGCAAACGTCGCTTTGAACAACAAGAATATCGGGATTACGAGACATCGGAAGATAGTAAATTCTTGGAGCAGAGCGTGCGGAAGAAACGGTTCGGCCAACCCGAACCGCAACCGCAGCCGGAATACTATGACTACCAAACAGAAGAGGACAAGAATTTATTAGAGCAGCAAGTTCGAAAGCGACAAGTCGAACAGCAGCACTACTACGACTACCAGACGTCGGAAGACCGGAGTATCCTGGAACAACAAGTGCGAAAACGCCGCTTCGGTCCGGAACAACCGGAGAGCATTTTAACCACCCATACCGCGGCGGCCGATCAAGCGGAAGCCATTCTCCATGAGATGGAAAAACTGATCCCGACACAACCGGAATTAGAACGGGAGACGGCGGAACTGGATTACTACCAGCCGAAACCACCGCAGCGGACCGAAGTGGTGCTGGCCCCGCGACCTGAACCAGTGTTCCGGGAAGACACTAGCCAAGCCGATTACCGGCTGGCTGAGCGATCGGTCACGCAAATCCAGGCACTTGTCGAATCGCCAAAACAGCCGCGCAAAGCGCAAGTGGAAACGACCACCACAATGAAGGAAACCGGGGAGTTGCGACACAAAACCCCGTCACCGACGTTGACCCGACGGACGACGGGTGCGGACTACCAGACGGTGGAAAAACGCACAGAGGTCAGTCGCGTGATGCCAGAGTCGCCGAAACCGGCAAGAAAACCGGTGGTCGAAGCACCTAAAATGCAGCCGGAAAAGGCCGAGATTGATTACTACCAGCCGAAGCAGCCTGGTAGGTCGGAAGTGGTGTTGCCGTTTGAGACGCCGGTGTCGCCAACGCTGTCACGGAAGGCCACCACGGCGGATTATGAGCTGGTGGAGCAACAGCAGACGTCCATCCAAGCGGTTGTCAAGTCGCCGAAAATCCCGCGCAAGCCGATGGTCTCAGAAACGACCACCGTGCGGCGAGAGGTCACGGAGCTGGATTTTCAGCCACTTCCTAGAGAAGAGGTCACGGGTGCGGATTACCAGCTGGCCGAACGTCAGCAAACGGTTACGGAGATCCAAGCCATTGTAGAGTCGCCGAAACCGTCAAGAAAGGTCCAAGTAAAGGAGACGACAACGGTCCAACGGGAAGCGGCGGAACTGGACTACTTCCAACCGGCTCCGACGGTGACGGAGACAGCCACCGGTGCGGACTATCGCTTAACCGAAACGACGGCGCAATCTATCCAGGCGCTAGTGGAATCGCCTCAACCGACGCGGAAACCAATGGTGACGGAGACTTTACAGAAAGAAACCGCTGAGATTGACTATTTCCAGCCGGCACCACAACCGGCACCGAAACCTACCTTAACCGACCGTACCACCGGTGCGGATTATCAGTTAGTGGAGCAGACAACGACGTCGATTCAGGCGATCGTTGAATCGCCCAAACCAGCACGCAAACCGATGGTTCAAGAGACGATTCAGAAAGAGACAGCGGAGGTTGATTTCTATCAACCGGCACCACAACCCGCACCGAAACCAACGGTTACCGATCGGACTAGTGGTGCGGATTACCAGTTGGTGGAGCAAATAACGACATCGGTTCAAGCGATAGTGGAATCACCGAAGCCTTCTCGGAAACCAATGGTACAGGAGACTGTTCAAAAGGAAACTGCCGAAATCGATTTTTACCAACCGGCACCGCAACCACAACCAGTAGTGACCGACCGGACAACGGGTGCGGACTACCAATTAACGGAGCAGGTCACCCAGACTATTCAAGCCGTTGTGGAATCACCGAAACCCAGTCGGAAACCGTTGGTGTCGGAAGTGACCACTGTCCAGCGGGAAACCGCTGAAGTCGACTTTTACCAGCCACAGACAACGGAAGTGACCACTTTACAACGTGAAACTGCGGAAGAAGATTTCTATCAACCGCAAGTTACGGATATCATCCAAGCGGTTGTGGAATCCCCGAAACCGACCCGGCGACGCTCCGTCACAACCGAGGTCACCAGTGTCCAGCGAGAAACCGCACAACTGGAACTGCAACCGGCAAAGAAACCGGAGCGAACGGAAATTGTTATGACACCGATGCCGGAACGCGAAAGTCCACAACTGGACTTTTATCAGCCGCAACCCATAACCGTTACCGAAATTGTCTCCACCAAACGCGAGACCGCGGAACTGGACTATTTCCCCATTGAACGAGCGGGAATCACGGAACGCATTGAAGCCGTGGTGGATGTGAAACCGCGCTCCCGAACATCGACCCTGACAAAGCGAACCGAGACGGTGACCACCGTCCAAGAAGCACCGCAACCGGAGCTCCGTTACGAGATCTCCGAGGATTTTAATATTCTTGAGCAGACTGTCCGGAAACGCACGTTTTCACAGTTGCCGGACGGAACACAGGTTGAGGTCACCAGCACCGTGGAGTTTCCCCATATCGTCGAGGCCACGAGCCGCGCGACCGACGAACGGACACTGCGACTGACCGAAGAAGAACGAGAAATGACGGTGGGTGAGCATTTTGCGCCGCAGTCAGAAAAACCAGCGGTCGCTCCGAAACCCCAGATGGAAGTCACCACACTGAAACGCGAAACTGCAGAGCTGGATTTTTACGCTCCGGAGCAAGTCACCAAGGTCACTGAGACCGTCACGGTGACGCAGACGCAACCGCAGCGCGAAGTGACGGAAGTTACAAAGATTACCACGCTGAAACGGGAAGTGGCAGAACTGGATTTCGCGCCGGAAGTCCCGATGAAGCCGGAGCGAGCGGAGCTTGATTTCGCTCCGGAAGTGGCACCCAAACCGGAACGCGCGGAGATTGAATTCGCGCCGGAAGTCTCACCGAAACCCGAAATGGCGGAGGTTGAATTCGCCCCGGAACGGTCACAGTTTGAGATGATTGCCAGTGAACAGAAAGTGGTGTCCCAGTATATTCGGGGAGAGGAACGGAAGGAGGTCACACAGTGGTCAGCAGAAGATGTTGAGGAGATGGAACGGCAAAGGTATAAGTATGAAGTTAGTGAGGATTCCAATATTCTGGAGCAGCGCATTCGCAGGAGAGAATTTTCCAAACAGCCGGAAGAACTGCCGGAAGTTCCGTTTAAGTACGAAATCGAAGAAAGCGTAAACTTACTGGAGCAGACCGTGCGTCGCCGGGAATATTCCAGGTAAGGCAAAATTTTGTGTAATATGTCGACGTTAACGGATTAATTATCTGGCAAAAATTTCTCCCAAAAGGAAATTCCTCGAGATAGATGCTATAAATTAAGGGGCCTTGCACAATCCACAAAAGTATGGAAATAAATAAAAAGTAATCCGCAGAACCAAACGGGATAGTGCTGTCGATGCTGGCCGTACAAACCAGTAATTTCTTGGAGGTTTTTACATCGTGAATGTTTTATTTTTTTAGCAAGTTGGTTAATTCAAGTGGGCTTTCGTATGTAAATGAACGGAACGATTATTTGCCCTCTTGTTACAGCCACTTTACTACGATGCCTCCGTAATCAGCAGCTCCAAAAAACGGATAAAAGTGTTTTAAAATGATTAATCAAAAAACGTAAATTGGAATAAATTGATGCCTGGCATTTAAAAGAACAGAAGCTAGCAGAATAGCACAAAAGGTCTACGAAGTATAGCATATTTTAACAAACTATTTTACACACTGTTTCTGATTTGAATTAAGAGTTACCCAAATAGCAAAAATAAAAATTTCTAACGCAAATGTGGCTCACTTTTATTAAGCAGAACTACATATGTAATGCAGTAACGATAGTAGTCAGATAAAAATTAGTAACAGAATGGTGCACTTCAGTATTTCTATAAGATCTGCAAGTTAATAAGGCGTGATTCAGCGATCGCTGCGATTGCAGACAACCCGACGAGCTTCCCGAGGTGCGCATCAACGAGCGCACCGCCGCCATCGAGCAGGACCAAGCATTCCGCGCCGCCGACCAGATCATTCCCCAACGGAAGGTCTCCGTGCCCATGCCGCAGGTCCCCATCGAAGAGGTCACCCGCTTACAAGGTGAGCAGCCTGTGCCGACTGCCGCCCGCGTGGAACAACAATCGCTGCTTCCGCATGCCCCGCCCCTTCAGCATGAAACGGCCCAGCTTGACTTCGCTGCACCGGCAGCCCCCCAGTCGACGGTTACGGAGGTGACGCATGAGGCGGCGGAACTGGACTTCTACCAGCCGCTGCCGCAGGTTACGGATGTGGTGCATGTGATTGATTATGACAGCAGACAGATGCCGCAACCCGGGCCGAAACCGGTGTTGAAAAATGTCACACGGGAGGTGGCGGAGGTTGAGGTGTACCAGCCGCAACCGACCGTTAGGGATGTCGTTACCGAAAGCACGGTGGTGACGGTTACTAGGGAGGAAGAGGGACCTCAGGTGCCGGAGCAACCGGTGATTGAGGTGGCACGGGAAAGTCCCGAGTTTGATTTCTACCAACCGGAAATTACTGAGGTTTTGCGGGAAACCACCACCACGACGGTTGTGAAGGAAGCGGTCGTTGAGAAACCGAAACCGGTTGCGGAAGTAGTCAGGGAAGTTGCGGAAATCGATTTTTACCAGCCAGCACCGGAGGTTACTGAGATAACTAGAGTAACGGAAACTCGTGCCGTTGTGACTGAGGAAGAGAAAGTAGCTTCCGAAATCCCGGCGAGACCTCGTGTTACTGAGTTAACCAAAGAAATAGCCGAGGTTGATTTCTATCAACCCGCTCCAGAGGTTACAGAAACAACAAGAGTAACAGAAACGCGTAGGGTGGTAACCGAAGAAGAGCAGATAATGCCTGAGGAAAAGCCTTTAGAAATTAAGGAACTAACTCGAGAAATGGCGAAAATTGAGTTCTATCAGCCGGAAATAAAAGAAGAGAAGAAACAACCGGAAGTTCCAATGAAACCCAGACTCACTGAATTAACGCGGGAAGTAGCGGAGGTAGACTTTTATCAGCCGCAGCCGGAGATTAGGGACGTTACTGCTGCTGTTACTATCGAAGAGCGAAAGGTCATGCCTGAAAAACCGACAGTACGCGAGTTGACGAAAGAAATAGCCGACGTGGAGTTTTATCAGCCGCAACCAGAAATTAGGGACGTCACGGCTAGCGTAACGATCGAAGAGCGTAAACTGCAACCAGAAATTCCACAGAAACCGAAATTAACTGAGCTGACTAAAGAAATAGCCGAGGTCGAGTTTTATCAGCCGCAGCCAAAAGTTATGGAACGTGATACGTTTACTGTGATAACGGAAGAAGAGGTCGCACCCGCAGTGCTCGAAAAGCCGGTGCCGCAAGTTCGAGAATTGACGACTGAGACAGAGAGAATTACCGTTGTAACCGAGGAAACCCCAGTGGTTACCACCTTAGTCCGCGAAGTAGCGGAAGAAGAGTACTTTCGGCCGCAGCCGACGATAACAGAAAAGGTCACAATAACTGAATACCAGCAGGTTCAGAAAGGTCGGGACGAGATCGAGCTGCAGCCGTTGCCAGAACGAGAAATCGCAACGGAAGAGTACTATCAGCCGATAACTGAGGTCACTCGCGAAACCGGTAGATTTGAGACGGTGGTTAAGCAACCGGAAATACCGGAAAAACCGAAGTTCACCAGTTTGACACAAGAAGCAGCTGAGTTCGAGATCTATCAGCCGCAACCGGTACTGTCGGAAATAACGAAGTCCGTTGAAACGTTTGAAACGATCGGTAAAGTGCCGGACGTTGCACCGAAACCTAAGGTTACAGAGACAGTTACCACAGTCGTTTACGAAGAGGCAGTTGGGCCTCAGCGTGAGTCGCCAGAATTTGATTTTTACGAGCCGCAACCAGAGATAACGACAAAGGTCACGGAAACGGTGACAGTTATAAAGGAGACAGCGCCGGAAACGATACAGCAGGTCGAAATAACGTTCCCTGAGAGAGAATCTCCCGAGTTTGACTATTACGCCCCGCAACCGGTTTCGGTGGTTACAACTGCGCCCGAAAAGCAAGAAGAGTTTGTCGAAACCGTAACGATTACTAAGACGACACGAGAAGAGATGCCAGAGCAGGAAACGGTTGAGCTAAAGCGCGGACGCGCAGAACTTACTATTGAAAAGAAAGTGGCACCTGAGGTACCGGTAAAGCCGCAACCCAAACGGGAAGTGGCGGAGTTAGAGCTCTTTCAGCCGCAGCAAACGGTAACCGAAGTTACTCTGGAAACGCGCATTGAAAGCACGGCGCCTGTGACTGAGCGTGTTGAATCGGTTGAAACTGTTGAGCTTAAGCGCGAAATGGCTGAGCTGGACTTTTACCAGCCACAACCAGCATCTTTGCCTGAAGTACCAAAATCAGAGTATGTAGAAATTACGCCGAAACCGGTACCCATAGTCGCACCACGCAAAGCGCAACCAGTGCGAGAGCAAGAAGAAATCGTACTGCACGAAGCACCGCATGAAGCCACGGTGGTGGAACGCACGATGGAGACGCGAGTGACGATAGAGGCACCACAACCGCGCTTTGAGGAAACCTTGATCACGGTCACCCGGCACGAAACACTGCGCCCTGAGTATCCACAGGAAGATATTACTCTGACCAGCGTTACGCCGGTAGATTTTGTTGTCGCCCCCGAGAGACCGTTTACCGAGGAGACAGTGACCACGCTAATCGAAGCGGTCACTACGCGCCAGTTCCCCGGCGCACCCGAACGGGTGACTCACGAACGGGTCACGGTAACCACCACCGAAGAGTACCCGGTAACGCCCCGGGGACCGCAGATGGCGCGGGAGATTCCCGAAGAATACCTGTTCCAACCGGAAGTCACACGCGGTCCCCTTGTCACCGAGGCCACGGAAACCCCGGCCCGCGAGCTCCCCGCGGAGTACGCCGAGAGCGAGATCTCCGAAGACATCTTCTTCGACGCGCATTCTGAAATCTACACCTCGGATACGGATAAGTTCTACACGCCGTCGCGCGGCAGCCTGGCTAGTTTGGCCGCGTTTAGCTTCCACAGTCTGGAAGAGCGCGAGGAAGACGTCGTCTCCCCGGTGAATCTCTCACCGATGCCGGAAGAAGATATTCGGGAAGAAACGGTCGAGGAGCTAGAAATCCAGATGGGAATTCGAGAGCGGCCGGTGACCTTTACCCAGGAACGACCGTCGGAACAGGCGATGGTCACAGAAGGTAAGGAAATTGTTAGTGAATACCTACCCTCACAGGAAGCCGTCCCCAGCGAACTGGAGACCTTCGGCCAAGCGGCGCCGAAAGAGCAGCCGCTCACGGGGCTGGTGGCCACTTTCCGCACCTCCGTTTCCGGTGAGGAGGTGCCGGTGACGGGTGAAGAAGAGCAACTAGCGCCGGAACAGCCGGTGCTGGAGGTAAGTCAGTTGAGTGAGTTTGGTCTAGACAGCGCCCAAAGGGGACCCGGCGTCCCGGTGGACACCAGCTACCTCATCTCCAAAACCACGGAGACCAAGTACGAAGAAGAAGGCGGACCGTTCCAGCTGGAGAAACTGCTGGATCAGGCAGAAGCAATGATTGAACAGGGACTCATCACCGACCAGGGTGTGGCGCCAAAGGTCAGCACCGACCAGGGTGTGGCTTTTCCCGGCTACCCGGAGGCCGTCACCCATGTCTTCGAAGCTCAGGAAGTAGCCGGCGAATACGAAGAGAATAAGTTCGCTCAGATCATGGAGGAATGGGAGGAGAAGAAAGCGGAAATGGCACCGGAAAAGGAGTACCACGAGACGGTCACCAAAACCATCACCACGGTGGAAAAAACTGCGCCGTTTCAGGAAGAAATCACATCAGTCACGGAAACGATTACAACGGTAACGGAAGTGGTGGAGCGACCGTCGAAGGAAGCAGTAAACGACGTTACTGAAGAAGAACGAGAAACTGAACACGTAACCACGGAAGTGACCATGGAACAGGCGCAACCGTACGACACGGAAGAACTGATTACGGCCGTACCGTCAAAGTTACCTAGTGACATCAGCGCCGCGATCCCCAAAGAAACGCCCACGGTGGTTGCGGAGTTTGAAGAAGGGCAGGTGGTAGCTCCCACCGAAGTACCGTCTCAACCGAAAGAGTTTATCGAAGAGCTCCCACAAGAGTTGAAAACCATTGAAATCGGACCGACTCAAGTGACCGATATCGGTGCCGCCGTGGTACCTTCGCACGAAGCCCCGGAAACGGAAAAGATGGAAGCCGAAGAGTATGTTCCCGTTCAGCCGGCGACTGAGTCCGCACAGATCCCGGGGGCGGTGCCACAGGTGGCGGAAGCGCTGCCGGAAGTCCCTCGTGAGACCAGTGTCGCCAGAGTGCTGCCAACGGACACCAGACCGGTGGAAACACACGAGGTCACGGAAGGTGCCACCATTGTGACGATCTCCCAGCAAGCGGAGATGGAGGAAATCACCACAATGATCGCACAACCGGAGCGACCGGTTACAGATGTTAGCCACGCGTTGGTGGCACCGGAGACGGCTGCCATTGATATACTACACGTTGCCCAAGCGGATAAGGAAGAAGCCACGTTTGTCCCTGCAGAGGAAGAAATTACCGAGGAGATCATTACGGAAACCGTCGTCACGGCAGCGGAGGTGCCGTTTCAGGCGGAGGTGGTGACCAAGCCGGCGCCACGCGACGAAATGGTAGTGGAAGAAGTAACCACAGTGACTGAAGTAAAAGAAGTGAATCAACCAGAAAAACCGGTGTACCAACCGGAAGGCGAAGAACTGATCCATGAAGAAGAGGAAATCACCGTGGTGACGGACGTCACACGAGAGGAAACTCGCGAAGAGGAAATTACACATGAACTGCTAGCCGCGGAAAAATTACCGGTAGCGACGGATTTCAGTACAGCGATGCCTAGTGCTCCGACCGCGCCGGTTCCGTTTCCCGGCGAAATGGAAGAACTCCCAGGTTTCCAGTACGACGTGTCCAAAGAGTTCACCGAAGGCGTCAAAGGCGAATTGGTCAGCGCGGAAATTACTCCCACGGTTCCCAAGGATGTCGGTGCAGCGGTTATCGCGCCGTCACTGGCACCGGAAGTCCCGACAACCGATATTGAGGAGCTGACGAAAGAGACCGCTCCCAGCGAACAACTGATCCCAACGGAGACGGGACTGGCAACAGCGGAAATCGGACCCGGTGTCCCAACTCAACCGAGTTTCACACACGTCCCCGCGAAGCCAACGGAACACCCGGAACTGATCGAGGTCGTCGAGGGGGCGACGATCGAGACCATCTCCGAGCAGACGACCGTGACGGAGATCGAGGAAACCGTGGCGGAACGCAGACCGACACTGGAAACCGAAACCAGTGTGGCGCTGATCAAACCGAAGACAGAACTCCCGGTGGAAGAGCACGAAACCGGAACGGAGGTAGTAACGGACACCGCCATGACCACCACAATGGAAGAGTACGAAGAGATCACCGGACAGACGGTAACCGTGGTGAAACCGGAAGAAACACTCGAAGCGGAAGCGGTGCGCAAACAAGTAACAGAAGTTATGGAGGAATCGTTCGAAATTGTCCCGGAAGTTCCGGTCACCGAGACCGTGGTAACGAAAGAAGGCGAGACGGAAACCGTGGAGGAGAGTTACGAAATAATCGATGTGGAGATGGTGGCGCCCACCGAGGAGAAGATGGTTGCGGAGGCGGAGCTGGAGCAGCTACAAGCAGCGGAAATTGGTCCGCTGATGGCAATGGACGTTAGCGCCGTGGTGCCGTCAGCCAAAGAAACCGGCGTGACAACGTTGGAGGAAGTGGAGACGACGACCGTTACCACTGTGACGGAAGAGACGCAACCGGAAGATATCACGCACGCTATCGACCAGCAAGCGGTGGCCGCGTTACCGGCGGAATCGTTTGAAGCCGTGAGAGAAACCGCCCCCGGGAAAGAAGTTATGCAAGTGGAAATTCCGGAACAGTTACTGCGGACGCTGCAAGAGAAAATCAGCGAAGAGCAGCTGGATGAGCGGCAACTGATGGAGCTCGTCATGCAGATTGACCGGGAAATGGCCGCGGCGCAAGAACGACAAGTGTCGGAGGCGCCGGAAACAAAGGTCACGGTGACCGAAGAGAAAGTCATGGAAACCGCGACGGTAACTGAAGAAATCACAAAGACCGAAGAAATAACAAAAGTAACCGAAGAAGTGACGGTCGCGCAAGTCGCCACAAAGGAAGCCCCGGAAGGGACGACGGTCGCACCGGAAGTGTCCGCGTTTCAAGAAATGGAAGATTTTAAGATGGAAATCACACAAGCGACGGAGAAACTGGTTCCATCCGAAGAAGGCGTCGTCCAAATCACTCCAAAACCCGAACAGTTCGTCAGCGCGGTGGACACGGGTGTCGCTCCCTTGGCCGATGTAACCCACGAGAAACCGACACTACCGTCCGAAACCGTCACGGAGAGCGTGGTGGAAATGGAGATTAGCCAAGGTCAACCGGTGCCGGTGGAAGTCTCCGAGCTGGAAGTGATCAAAGCGCCGGTGTCCGATATGGAATCGGTCAGCTCGGAGGAATTCGAGATGGTCCAGGAGACGACCGAACTGGAGACGTACGACGTCATCACCGAAACGGAGAAGACCGAGGTGACCACGGTGGAAGAATCCTTCGAGATTGTCCCCACCCAGAAGGAAGAAACCGTGGTGCGACCGGAAGAGATGTTGGTCGAAGAAGTAACCACCGTCCGGGAGGATGTTACCGCGCCGGTGCAGGAGGTGGAAGCGCCCGAGGAGATCGTCCCGAAGCGGATAAAAACGGAGACGCTGGTGGCGTCCACGGACCGCAAGGAGACATACGAGGAAAAGGTCACGGAAGAAGTGGCGCTGGAACAGCCGCGTCCCGAACAACCGTCCGTTACCGAAGAAGTGCAAGAGCAGCCCGTGGTAACGACGACGTCGGAAGTCACAAGCGAAGCGGTTACAGTTGAAGGAGAAAAAGTGCGGGAACGGGAACACCTGGAAATAACGAAAACTGTCACGGAAGTCGTGGAAATCCCGCAAGAAGTTATTACAGAAACGGTTGTCAAAGAAGAAATCGAAATCGTTCCCAGAGCGGTTTCGGAAATCGGTATTGACGTTGTCAAGGAAATTAAGCCGATCGAGATTGTGGCTACAGTACCCCAAGAGATTGTGGAAGAAAAGGAGATTAAAACCGTTGTCACGGAGGAAAAGACCGAGCTGACGATTACGGCGCAAGAAGCTCTCGTTGCCCAAGAGACCATCGTAGAAATGTTGATCAAACAACCGGAAATCGAAGTGGAAACCATCACCGAGACGGTGACCACGGTGACTGAGGTGCGGGAAGAAGTGCCGGCTAAACAACCGGAAGAAGTCGCTGAAAAACCGGTTACGGAAGACATTATTATTGAAGAAGTGGTCACCGAGGAAAAGAAAACCGCACCGGTGGAAACCTTCGAAGGACCGGAAGAAATCGTCCCTAAACGACTGGAAGTGGAGACTTTTGTCGCTTTGACGGATAAGAAAGAAACGCGCGAAGAGCACGTACCGGAAGAAAAGGTCACTGAAAAACCTGCGGAAGAGCAAGGTGTTCCATCGGAAGAAACAGTCGAAGAAGGAACCGCGGTGATCACGGAAGGTGTCACCAGCGAAGCCGTTACAATTGAAGCGACTAAACCTACGAAAACGGAGATGGTCGAAACCGAGACCATCGTCGAAACCGTTACACAAGTGGTTACAAAGACGGAAGAAGAAGGCGTCTCCGTCGCTCCAACAGAGGAGAAAGTAATCGAAGAAATTGTTGTAGAAGAAGGTGTCACTGCTCCGGTTCACGAAGTGGAGGGACCGGAAGAAATCGTACCAAAACCGGTGACCACGGAAACGCTCGTGTCCACTACGGAACGCCAAGAAACGTTCGAACAAAAGACAACAGAAACGCTGGAAGTGGAGAAACCGGTTGAGGAAAAACCAGCGGAAACAATGGAAGTGGAGGAGCGCCTAGAAATAACCTTTACGGAGCAACCATCCACTGAGACAGTAACGGTCAAGAAGGAAGAGATCACCGTTGTCGAAGAGAGACCCAAAGAAATAATAACGGAAACGGTAAAAGGGATCACCACCTTCCAACCGACTGAAGCCGAACGCCAGCCAATGGAAGAGGAAATTTTGACAGAAGAAACTGTTGTTCGAGAAGACGTCACGGCACCAGTGGAGGAAGTCACTGGTCCCGAGGAGATCGTCCCGACCCGGCTGCAACCGGAGACACAGGTGGCGGTGGTGGACCGTAAAGAGGAGCGTGAAGAAAAGGTGATCCACGAATTGGACGTGCCGAAACCGGAGACCGAACAGACCATTGTTACCGAAGAAATCGTTGAAGAGTTCACGGCAACGGTTACCGAAGAGACACCGAAAGAGACGGAAATCATTACGAGGGAACAATTTATTGCGGACGTCACCGTGGTGAAGCCGGTTACTGCCGAGGAAACGGTAGAGACACTAGCAGAAATGGTGATTAAGAAGGAAGAGAAGCCAATGGAAGTGGTATTTACTGTACCGGAAGAGAAGCCGGAAGAAGTCACAGAGGAAAAGAAATTTCACGTGAAGGAGATTACGGAATTGACAGTCACTACCCAAACCCAGGCAAGTGAATGCGTTTTTACCTTTTAATTTTAACGCAGAACTGCATAAACCTACTCGCAAATAGATAGCAGTTATCAGGCATCTGCCCCGCGCGAAGCCAGTTTTAAACAACGAATGAGTGCTAAACGTAGAGTAATGGCATTTGAGAAAAAGTATCCTTTTAATGGGTGCTGCGGTTTGTTAAATACGTGAGGGTTTTCATTTCGTCTTTAATAACTTTTTATAGTTTTTTATTGACGATGTATTTTTTATCTACGCCTCATGCAACTATTACTGTTTTACTAACAGTATTGTACTCCTGCAATATGTAATAAAGCGCAGCGCAGTTCTGGTCTTTATGATTTATTACATTTTATAAAAATGATCGGTGGAGTTTGTAAAATTTTCTCGCTAATCTAAGAATCAGGATCTAACAGAAGCAACGGTAGGGACGGTTTGAAAAATTGATTATTGTTGACTTAAGAGTGTGGTGGAATCAAACATTTACGCTTGGGCAGATCGAGAAAGCTGGTGTCGTAATTGAAGTCCTACCGGAAGTGGTAGAAGAGAAGGTCACCACGGAAGAACGCCACGAAGAGAAGCTGGACCTTTCTCTGGAATTCATCCCGATCGAGCAGATCAGGGAAACCATTGAGACGACCGCCATCACCGTGCAGGCTACGGAGCTGCAGCCAGAGGAAGCGGAGGTCATCACCGAAATCACGGAGGCTGTCGCCGAGTATACGCCGGTGGTGGTTAAGCCACTGGCCCCGGTGGTCCGGGTCATGGACGGGCAGTCCATGCTGCTGCAGTGCCAGTTCTCCATGCGGGAGATCCAGGAGGCCATCTGGCTGCACGAGGACCAGGTGGTCCAGGAGAACGAGGATATCACTATTTATCAGGACGAGACGGGCTTGTGTGAACTGCGCGTAGCGGAAGTCTTTCCCACGGATGCCGGGCTGTATGTCTGCCGGTTGGAGACGGAATATGGCGTCGTGGAGACACGATCCATGGTTGTTGTGGAAGGTAAGGGCTCAACTTAACTATGAGGGAAAACAGCTGTTTTATTAATTTTTGTAATATACGGACCGAAATAAGGATGTAGCTCTTAATAAATGTAGGTCCGTCTTGACTGGCTTGTGCTAATAAATTAGCATTGTGGTCGACGGTTGAACTCTTAATCTTTTTACGCATGACACACAATATTACGCTTTGTCTGCACAATGGAGATGAATTTGTGTGATTTTAAGCGTACGATGAATCGTAGAGCCAGGGCTCACTTTCGAAATCCTGTCCGTCATATAAGACAAGTGATGCAGCGGTATTCGTTAATTGCCGATGCAAATGCTTCGATTTGTAAAGATGATAATTTTTCCTAACCTAAATTAGCAACGCTTTTGTTCAGCTTTTATTTTCTATAAAATAAATGCTAACAGAAAAGGCCTTGACAGCTCACTGTAATTACGAAATCACTGTAGTAACATCAGTGGCTTGATAATTTCGGTTTGTTTCGGTATTTCTGAAAACGGATAGAATTCTGCTGATCGAAATTCGTAACAATAATGATGATGCGGTAAAGTACAGTCATTCGGCCCAAAAACCTGGAAGCAGTCTGTGTAAACTGCGACTGCGAAGGATAGTGCCAAAAATTGGTAGTGCGGAGGTAATGCGTATCTTGCTTTTATTAACAGAGTACGAGTACACTCCCGACAGCGAGGAGGCGTCACTCAGCCAGATCCACACCACCGGACGCTCGGAGCTGGTGGTGGAGCGCACCGTCTCCAAGGAATGGGACTCCACCATGCCGGACATCTCGGAGACACCGCTGGAGGAGGAAGAGATGATGCCCATCGTGGAGCTCATGGAGGAGGAAGTGGAAACCAGCGAGCAAGGTCAGATTGAACGCCCTGAACTGTTTGCAGTGCGGCCTGATATTCCTGCGTATGAGACGCATGAGACACTCGAGCATGTCACACCACTGCAGCATGAACAGATGCTCGTCGAGCAGGTAGTCGAATCCGCACCACGTGTGCCGGACAGTATGGGCGAGGTAGCGGCACCGGTTACTATTGCGTTCGATCTGGCGTCCGTGGCCTCCACCGAAGACATGTCGGTCATGGAGAGCCGGCCGTCGTACTCTAATCTGGCTAGTCTAACCGAGTATCTACCGGTACAAGAAGGCTCGGTGACGATGAGTGATGTGTCAGATATTGACGTGGGTGATCACCTTCTGGGTGATCAGGTGTTTTTAGAGCATGTCGAACAGGCAGAGGCTCTATTATCCCCGACGTCGTCAGTCACCTTTGAAGCGTTAAAAGCTCCCATAGATCGGGAAGAAATTCTGGTACAAGTAGTTAAACCGGAAACACAAACGGTGGTAGCGGAAATAAGACCAGAAGAGAAAGGTCACGCTGAGATTTTGGTGAAAGAAATTGTCGAACTGACGGAGCAAGTGACAGCGCTAACTGCCGATGAAGTCGTAACAAAATTGGAAGAATTAGTTGAGGAAGTTAAGACCGAAAAAGCGCCGGAAGAAGTAATAACAAAATTGGTTGAGCTGAAGAACCAAGTGCCTGAACTGGCGCCTGAGGAAATTCAGTTTAAATTGAAAGAGATTTCTGATGCAGTTGAAAGTGTCTCGAAAGTGACTGTCACAGAAACCGTAGTTCGTCCGCAGGATAATCTAACGTATGTTGAACAAATTATTTCGCGGATTTACGACATTGCTGCGGAAGTACGAACGTTGAGTGTAGAAGAGATTGAAGCGAAACTGGAAGAAATAGTCGCCACCATGAAACCGCAAGACATTGTCGAAGCAGAAATGTTGCCGGTTGACCAAACGGCAGTTCCACATAAACCTGATGTGGGAACGGCCGAACAGGTGTACATGAAGGTTTTTGAATTGAACGAAAAGGTCAAGGAGTTATCGATAGAGGAAATCGAAACAAGGTTAACAGAAACAGTACGAGAAATTGCAGAAATTGTGTCCGAAGAAGCGAAAGAAACCATTGAGCATATTGCTTCCGAACTAAACGAGCTGACCGAACATTTGAGCGAACTGCCGGTGCAAACCGTCCAGGCAAAACTGAAGGAAATCGCTGAAGAAGTAATTTATGCTACTGCGGTGGCTAAGCGTCCGGGCACGGAAGAAAAGGCTTTCACGATTGTTCTTGATTATGGTCATGCGGAACAGCTGTCGTCAAAGATTATCGATTTAGGCGAACACGTTGCCGAATTTAGTATCGAGGAACTGAAGTTGAAACTTACGGACATTCTTAACGAAATTACGGAAGAAATAGTAGTCGCACCACAAGAACTAGTTGAGACTGTTGCTGAGGTAAGGAAAGTGAAACCGAGCGTGGTAGAAAAAGCACCAAAAGAGAAACGAGTATCTGAGCATCCCCTTGTCGTTGAAACTCCGGAAATTGTCAGAGTAAAAGAAGAACGCGGTACGGCGGAGCTTGTCGCTTCTAGAATTTATGAGCTATCGGAAATTGTGAGAACTTTGTCAGCGGAAGAAGTCGAGACCAAGCTCACTGAGTTATTTAATGAGATAGCCGAAGAAAAGGTCATCCAGCAGCCAGTCGAAGAAAGCAGTAAAATTCAGGATACGGTGATGAAAATGGCCGAAGCGAAAATTGTAGCTTCCAAAGTCTTCAACTTGATTGAAGAAGTGAAAGAACTGCATACTGAGGAACTGGTGAAGAAATTAAAAGAAAGTGCAGGAGAAATTTATCAGCTGTCGAAACCGGAAGTAGCTGCTGTGCAGACGCTTGAAACTTTGGCAGAAAAAATTCCGGAGATTCAGGTTGAGGAGATACAGGTTACGTTGTCGGAAATAGCACAGGTTCTTGAAAGGGCATCAGTATTAAAACCGGTACCAGCGGAAACCGCGGAACTTAGGCAGCAGGTCGTAACTCGCTTGAGGAAGCTTTCCGAGGTCGTTCAGACGATGCCAGCGGAAGAAACCGCAACTCTAGTTCGAGAAATGGCAGAGCAGGTTTCTGAAGTAATCAGTGTTACCTCAGAGAAGCCGTATGGGATAGCTGAATTAACAGTGCAACCAGTGGCGCCGGCCGAAGTCACCTTCGAAACACACGCTGAAGTGAAAGTAGAACAAGAGAAAAAGCCGTTTGAGGTGATCATGACTGTGCCGGAACAAGTCAGTGTCTCGTTCCCGGATTCTCAAAAAGCGGAACGAATTGTAACCGAGGAGATTACGGAAATAGCTGTCGAACGAAGAGAGCAGGTGCCGGTCACCGAAACCGTAGTTCGCTTAGAAAAAACCGTGCCACAGCTAGAATCCCTGGAGTCGGTAGTCAGTGTGGAAGAATTAGTATCAAAATCCGAAGAGGAAGAAGAAGAAACCCAGATAATGGAATTGGTGTCTGAGTCAGTTGAACTTCCAGTGGAAGAAGTTCCCAGTGGCACGGCTGAGATCGTAGCGTCCAAGATTTACCAGCTTTCTGAAAGCGTACGGACGTTAACGACAGAAGAAATGCAGGCGAAACTAACTGAGGTGGTCAATGAGCTGGTTGCTGAGAAAATACGGGAACAGCCAGAAGAGCTGCCCACTGCTTTAATTTCCGAAGAAAGGCCAGAAGTTGAAGTCGTTGCGTCTAAAATATTCAGCTTAATTGAGGAAGTGAAAAGACTGTCTACCGAGGAAGCTGAGCTGAAACTTAAGGAGGCCGCTAAAGAACTTTATAACTTATCGCAGCCCGAGGAAAATGTTGTCGAAACTCTCCAAACCCTAGCAGACCAGGTGACAGAGATGAAGGTTGAGGAAGTACAAGCGTCGCTGTCTGAAGTGGCGAAATATCTAGAAAAATCAACCGCTTTCAAACCAGCTCCCTTGGAAACTACTGAAGTTTTAGATCGTATCGTGAAGCTCGTTGAAAACGCTCAACAATTACCGGTAGAAGAAACAGCGTCCATCATCCGAGAGATCGCTCAGGAGATTGAAGATGTCGAAAGGTCTTACGAGGCACAACTGAAAGTCAAACCGAAAGTGCTGGCCGCGCAGACTTTCGAAACGTATGCGGAAGTGAAGGTTGTCAAAGAAAAGAAACCGTACGAAGTGGTCTTGAGTGTACCTGAAGAGGTCAGCGTTTCGATAGCGGAATCTCAAAAGCCAGAGCGCACTGTTACGGAGCACGTTACAGAAATCACGGTTAAGCGAACCGAGCAAGTTCCAGTCACTGATACGATTGTTCATTTAGGCAGAACTATCCCAGAGTTAGAATCCGTCGAAAGAGTGACTAGCGTTGGAGAAGAGGCGCCGCAACCCGGCAAACTCGAAGCAGAGGTGACTGAGTTAGTATCGGAAACAGTGGTCGTGACACCGCGCGCTGTCGTGGAACTCATTTCATCTAAAGTGTATGAATTATCAGAAAGTGCACCAGAGTTGACGACCGAAGAGATTCAGGTGAAGTTAGCAGAAGTTGTCAAGGAGCTCACGGCCGAACGTTTGATCGCGCAACCGGAAGAGGAAGTGCCGGTTATTTTGCTCGCAGAAGAGAGGGCTGAAGCCGAGGTCGTCGCATCGAAATTAATCAGCCTCGTTGAGGAAATGACGAGCTTAACCGTTGAGGAAGCTGAAGTAAGGCTCAAAGAAGTGGCAAAGGAAATTTATCGTTTGTCGAAACCGGAAGAAAATGTGGTGCAGATTCTTGAAACACTGGCAGATAGAGCTCCGGAGATTAAGGTTAAGGAGGTGCAAGCCACGCTGTATGAAGTGACCCGTGTCCTCGAGAAGGCAGATGTACTTATCCCGGTACCGACAAAAATTGCTGAAATCAGGAGGCAGATTATTGATCGCTTGGTTGAACTGGGGGAAGTTGTCGAAGAGATACCGGTAGAAGAAACCGTTACCGTAATCAGGGAAATTTCTAGAGCGATCGAAGACGTTGTTGCGAAAACGTACGAAGCAGAGCTACTGGTGAAACCTACGGTACCGGCTGAAGAGACCTTTAAAACTAAGGCGGAAACTAAGGTTGTTGCAGAAAGTAAGCCTTTCGAAGTGGTCATGACTGTGCCGGAAGAGGTTGGCGTTTCAGTAGCTCAGCCAGAAAAGGCGGAGCGCGTTGTAACGGATCATGTAACGGAGGTTGTAATCGAGCGACGACAGCAAATTCCCAGTAGTACCACATTGGTTCAGCTAGAAAGCGTAATGCCGGAGTTAGAATCGATTAAATCTGTCGTGAGTGTTGAGGAAGTTACGCCTAAAGTTATGGAAATTAAAGAGACAGAAACGAAAGTAATGTCCAAGAAAGTCGAAGTATTCCCAGAAAGCAAAACCGTTGAGACCATTGAACAGGTTGCGACCAAGGTCTATGACATCTCGGAAAGTGTTCGAACGCTCACAGCTGAAGAGGTTAGCACGAAATTGACTGAACTTGTGAGTGAACTCGTGGCGGAGGGAATTATGCAAGCACCGGTAGAAGAGGTCTCGCCCCTGATCCCAAAAGAAACCGCACAAGCGGAAATCGTGGCTGCAAAGGTGCTTAGTTTAGTCGAGCAAGTAAAGAGTCTGACCAGTGAAGAAGCGGAACTAAAATTAAAAGAAACTGCAAAAGAGATAGCGTCTCTCTCAAAACCCGAAGAGGTCAATGTGGTCACTTTACTGCAAGATCTAGTCGAGGACGTAAAGCTCAAGGTCACTGAAGAATTTCAGCCGCAGCTCACCGAAATGGCTGACATAATGGTCAAAGCGGAAGTACTGAAGAGCGTGCCTACTGAATCGGCGGAAGTATGCCTTAGTATTTCGTACGCTAAGCAGATTGCTGAGGAAATACTTGATGTGGAGAAAAGGGTTCCACAGAAGACCAGAGAAGAAACTGCTGAAGCACTACAGGAAATAATCACAGAAATTATTGATCTCAGCAAACAGGTCTCCGAGGCGGTTATTGTCAAGCCGGAGAGGGTACCGGAAAGGGTTGAGGAAGCGGTAACGTTACTTGAAGAACTTGTTGAAGAGCTGCCCAGATTAACACCGGAAGTGGTCGAGTCGAAGCTGATTGAAGCAGTCAAAACGCTTGTGTCAGAAGAGGTACCAGAAACCTCGATGGACACTGGTCAGGTGGAGTTAATTGCGCGGCACATAATGGAGTTAGCGGAGAAAGTGGAGGTCCTAGCAGTAGAGGAGACAGCTGTGGCAGTTAGGGAGATCATTCGAGAAGTGGCGGAAGCACGAGTTTTTACGCAGCCGGTAATTGCGGAAACAGAGCAGATCGGAAAGGAAGTTCCTGAAGAAAAGCCTATCGGTACCACGACCCAAGTAGAGGAGGCGCCGGTTTCTGAGCAGCCCAGAATTGTACCGGTAGAAGTGCGAATAACGGAAACGGTCGAAGAACTCGGTACAGCGGAACTTGTAGCCTCCAGAATTTACGATTTATCGGAAAGTGTGACAGATCTGTCGGCGGAGGAAATCGAAGTTAAGTTAGTAGAGCTTATCAACGAATTGTCGGAGGAAAAGGTCTTTGAACACCCAGTTGAAGAGGTCGGCGAAATTGGGCAGGTACCGGAAGCGAAAGCTAAAGCGCAGATCGTAGCGTCCAAGATGCTTAGTTTGATTGAGGAAGTAAAGGAACTAAGTACCGAGGAAGTGGTCAAAAAGCTCAAGGAAACAGCGGAAGAAATTTACCAGCTGTCAAAGCCAGAGGAAACTGCTGTACAGGCGCTTGAGACATTGGCAGAGAAAATCCCAGATTTACCGGTGGAAGATGTTCAGGTGACGTTGTCAGAAGTGGCGCATGTTTTAGAGCGAGCTGTTTTGTTGAAACCGGTACCAGCAGAAACCGCGGAACTTCGGCGACAGGTTGTTGAGCGCTTGTTGAAACTGGCTGAACGCGTTGAAACGATACCGACCGAAGAAACTGCAACGACCATTCGAGACATCGTGCAAGACCTTGCCCAGGTGACGACTACTAGTGACAGATTTCAGGAGCTTGTAACAGCAGGTAGACCGCAAATCGAGGAAATTACAAGGCAAACGGTTGCACCGGCAGAACATGCTCAAGCGGTTGAAAGCGTGGAGCAACCGCAAGAAACAGAACTAGTAGAAACTGTGCATTTGGAGCAGTTGGCGTCAGCGGTTCTTGACTTAGCTGAAGAATTTCGAACGGTTTCAGTTGAGGAAGTGGAAAGCAGGTTAACGGAAATCGCCGATAAAATTTTAGAACAGTCGGTTACGGAAGAAACCAGCGAAGGTTTCGCTGAGCAAGTGTATACCAAAGTGTTCGCTTTAATCGAAGATGTACGTACATTAAATGTGGAAGAAGTCGAAACCAGACTGCGGGAAGTGGCAAGCGAGATTTCAGTTGAAGCTACGGAGGTCAAAGAAAAAGTTGAAAAACCAAAGGAAACTGAGGTCACTGAAACTGCGACGGAAAAGCCTGAGCATGGCATCAGCGAAATTACTTTCAGAAAACCGGCTAAAGCTAAGAAAACCGAAATCTCGGAAACGAGTTTTGCTGTCGTAAAAGAACAAAAGCCATACGAACTTACCGTAACAGTACCAACGAAACCGGAAGATAAAAGAGAAGTAGAGCGGGTGACGACAGAGGTGACGACGGAGGTGACACTTACTCAGCCTGTTCGACAAATGCAGACTGTCAAGTATGAAGAGTTTATTCCGGAAACCAGCGAAATAATTGAGACCACGGAAACTGTGGTTAGAAAAGTTAGCACCGTAACGCCACAAGTACCGGTTGAGACTCAAGAAGAACAGGAAACCGTTACAACGGTAACGGTTAATGTAACAAAACCGAAAGCGATGGAAGAGGTTATAAGTGAAGGCGAGATGGAACTTGTGCAAAAGTTACTTGAATCGGTAGAATACATTACAATGACTGAGACGCCGCTTGAAGAAACTAAGGTCACAGAGGTGACAACAATGGTAACCGGTGTAACGCCCTCGCCGCTCGAAGTTCTGGAAGCGCTACCAGTAGAGCGCGGTGTTGCGGAACAACTTGCAACGAAGCTCTTCGAAGTTGCGGAAAACGTGAAAAGCATGACGACCGACGAGGTCACCGTGAAGTTGAAAGAAGTCATGCGAGAAGTCGGTACCGAAAGCGTTCGAGAGGTTCCGCAAATCGAAGAAATTGTTGAAAAGGTCGGTAAAATTGCGGATGAAGCGGTGATGACCTTACCGTCTGAGACGGAAGAAAAGTTGAAAGAAGTTGCGAGAGAGACTGTTAAGTTCGCCATAATGCAGCCTGAGACATCTGAAGAAAAGGTCACGGTGGTCGTCGGACCGAAAACGGCTGTGGCGCAGTTAAAAAAGCTGTACGAATATCTACAGACTTTAAAACCGAGTGATGTCGAAGACGTGCTGCATGATATCATCGAGGAAATGAAAGTTTTCGAAGCAGAATACAGGGAAGTTCCTGTAAAAGGGGAATTGTTCACAGCCGGGGTTTCTGCTGTGCAGCTGCATATAGCAGAGCACATCATCGCTAGTCTCGAAGAAATCGTTGAAAAAGTGGAAGTAGCACCGCTCGATCAGATTAAAAGTGAAATCGGCAAAGTTTCCGAAGAAATTCTTGAGGAACTGGTACGAGCAAAAGCCGTTGAAAAATTGACAGAGCAGACAGAACTTAAAGCGCTTCCTGTCCAGAAACCGGTAACGTTGGTCGAACGAGTGTTTGAACTATCTGAAGAAATCAGAGAATTAGCAGTCGAAGAAGCGGAAGTCAAGTTGAAAGAAATTTATGAGCAGATACAGGAAGCCGTTGCTACGGAACAAATCAACGAAGAAGTCAAAGGTCACGCTGAAATAACGGCTTCACAGATATTTGACTTATCGGAACAAATTAAAACGCTGACTGTCGAGGAAGTGGAAACGCGGTTAAAAGAAATCGCTAGTGAAATCAGCGAAGACGTCAGCTTAATATTACCGAAAAAACCAGTGGAAGAGGTCAGTGCCGAAATGCAACCGATGGTCGAGGAAGTAATGGTAACTGATATAATTGTAAGGAAATCGGAAACAGTTTCAGTGAGCGAAACCATCGTCGAAGAGTTAAATGAAATCATTAAGAAATTACCGGTGTCGAGTCCACAGGAAGTAGAAACGGTATTGCAGAAAGTTGTGGAAGAATTGAGCGTCTTAGAAGAAACGGTTTCGCTTCCGGAAGGTCACGTTGAGCTGGTACAGTCTAAGATTTTTGAGTTCATTGAACGGATAGCGGAAGCGTCCGCTGAAGAGACCGAAATGCGGCTGCGAGAAATAATTCACGAAGCGGAAACGTTGGTAACTGAACAGAAAGAAGCGGTACCGTTGTTACCATTAGAACAAGTAACAGAAACGGTAACGGGCGTGCAGGAAGTCGTAAAGCCGGTAAACCAAAAAGAATATTTAACGGTAACGCAAGAAGATACGGTAACGGTAAGGCCGGTAGACGAAAAACCGGCGGCACTGCATGAGCATGTTGATCTATCGTTTCCTCTTTCCACTCTGATTTCCCCTGGTGAGACACTTCCGGATTGGCATGAACGTGAGCAGCTCCTCGCGCATGCGGTGCGACCGTTGGAGACGTCAACCGTTTCTGTGCCTTCAGGTCTAGTACAGCCGGCCGAGGTGGTAGTCTCCGCGGAGCTACCACAGGAAAGACCCCCACCGAACGGGTCGAAGTGACCGTGACGGAAGGTAAGGAAGTGACGTCATTTGTTAGTCAACCAACCCCAGCATGGCCTGCTGCCGACGAGGAGCTCCTGGATGTGGCACGACCGACGGAGCAGCTTGAGTCGGTCACCGAGACCACGACCTGGGTGGTGCATGAACAGGCGCAATCGGTAACCGAGACGGTCACCCGAGTGACCGAAGAAATACGCGCGGTACCCGAGTTTGCGCCGTTTGAGGAGATGGTGACGCTCGGTCGTCCCGAGTTCGCTAGCGTAGAAGTGGTGCCGTTTGAGGAAAGACCCGAGTTTGCGAGTATCGAAGTGGCACCCTTCGAGGAGACGGTCACACTGCGACCGGAGTTCGCCCCGGTGGAGTATGCACCCATACAGACAACGGTAACGGTACAGAAACCTGAGGAAGTAGAGGAAACTATAACCGAGACGGTAGTCGTAACCGAGACCATTGAGCAGCCTGAGTATATCATGGAGGTCACCGAGCAGCGTGAGGTGGTAGTGGAGTCACGCGGTCAGCCGCAGGTACCCGAGTACGAGGAAGAGACTATTATTGAGACGGTAGTTAGGCGTACCAGTATAGAGAGACCGCGGCCAGTGGAACCTCAGCCGGTAGAGTTTGTCACGCAAGTTCGTCAGGCAGTGGAACAGGTCACCATGGAGGTTGCGCCTAAAGAAGAACGAGTGGAAGTCTACTTTGAACGGCAACCGGTGCTGGAGGGACCGGAGTTCCCGGAGATTGAAATGGTCCAAGTCACTAAAGAGACGTTTTTGAACGAAGTCGAGATGCCGCAGAAACCGCAATACGAAGAGGTAAGTACATTGTACATGTGTAAACGAGAACGCGCATATACCAAAAGTAAAAAATTCAAACGTATAAATAATTGCGAAAATAATTTAGACCTTCAATTTAAGCAGCAAGCTGTAAATTGTAGCACTGTATTTATTTTTTTATATCGTACTTTTACCGTAAAAATGTGCTAATACTTAATATTACATTTGTATATCCATGGTATTAGTGGCACATGTATGTAATATGCAACTAGATATAAGTCTATTTAATCAACTAATGTTTTTATTCTTTTTATTAATAATATTTGCCTTAATTGAACGGAACGGAAACAATATGGACCAGGACGAGTACTGTGTTCTCCAGTTACTGTGCGTTATGCAGGTTAAATTAACGTTCGAACGTCCCGAGATCGAATACCATATCCAGCCCAGCCAACCGGAAGTGGAAGAGGAAACCGTTACCGAAGTGACGACGGTTACCCGTCGCTACTCCACCGAATACGCCGTCATGCCGCAACTGCACCCGCAACCCGTGGTTACCCAGCGCGATGAGGTCATCTTCGAACTCTCAACGGCACCAGTCCATGAAACCATCGAAGAGACCCGCGTCACCTACGAAGAGCGCATCATGCCCCAGGAGATCCCGGCGATCGAACACGACATCCGCGAACTACAGACCACGGAGGAGGTCATCCGGTTGCAACGCCCGGAGTATGCGCAGTTCGAAGGACAGGTCACCATTCGACGCCGGCCGTCGGAGACCGTGACCCAGGAGGTGGTCATCCGTCCGGAATTCGCCGAGTTCGACATTGCGCTCGGCCAACCGGAACTGGCCGAAATCGAGTTCGCGCCGGTGAAGAAACCGGAAGCGCCCAAGCCGGAGATGGCCGAGATCGAGGTGTCACCGGTGACCGTCGAGGAAACCGTAGTCGAAGTGATCACCGAAACTATCGTCAAGCCGGAGTCCCCGAAACCTGAGTTCGCCGAGGTGGAATTCGCTCCAAAACCAGAGTCGCCCAAACCCGAGTTTGCTGAAATTGAGTTTGCTAAACCGGAGTCGCCTAAACCGGAAAAAGCCGAGATTGAAATCTCACCGGTAATCGTTGAAGAAACCGTGGTCGAAGTAACCACCGACACCATCGTCAAGCCAGAATCTCCAAAACCCGAGTTTGCCGAAATCGAGATCGCTCCGAAACCGGAATCGCCGAAACCAGAAATGGCAGTGATTGAGATCTCCCCGGTGGAAGTGAAAGAAACCACGGTGGAAGTTGTCACTGAAACCGTCGTTAAACCGGAATCTCCGAAGCCGGAATTCGCCGAGATCGATGTGTCTCTCGGTCGGCCGGAATTCGCACCCACGGAAGTGGTAGAAATCATTAAGAAACCCGAGTTTGCCCAGCTGGACATCGTGCAACCGGAAATCGCTCCAATTGAGATCGCGACCGTCGTCAAACCGAAACCGAAACCAACGGTCGAAGAAGAACAGACCGTGACGACGGTGGTGATGGAGACCGTTAAGCGAGAGTCTCCGAAACCGGAATTCGCGGAGTTTGACGTATCGCTCGGTCAGCCGGAATACGCGCCGTATGAAGTGGTACAGGTACCCCGAGAGCACGAAATCACCGAGGTCGAAACGATTGTATCTACGGTGACGCAGACCGTTACCAAGCCCGAAGAAGAAAAACCAATGGTTACCGAGGAGAAAGAGACAATTGTCACTGCTAAGAAAATCACGGAACAAGTAGAGCAGCCAAAACCGGAATTCGCCGAGATTGATGTCGCTCTGGGTCGACCGGAATTCGCTCCGGTGGAAGTGGCGGAAGTGCCGCAACCTGTTGAGGAGATAACAGAAACCAAGACCATTGTGACCACGGTAACGGAAACCGTGCAGGAAGTGATCAAACCAGAATACGCCGAAATCGACATCTCGCTTGGTCAGCCGGAAAAGGCACCACTGGAGGTCATCGAAATACCGCACATCGAGGAGAGAATTGAAAGCATTGAAACCATGGTAACAGTTACAAAGCCAGAATCGCCGAAGCCGGAGTTTGCAGAAATCGACATTTCGCTCGGTAAACCTGAGTACGCACCGGTCGAGTTCGTGGAAGCTCCGAAACCAATTGAAGAACCAGTGACAAAGGTCACGGAAATTGTCGAACAACCGATGACTGAAATCATTGAGGTCACACAAACCAGCAAACCAGTCGAGGAAGTGGAAATCACAGAGACCGTAGTATCTGTCATTGAAGAGGTCAAGAAACCCGAGTGGCCGAAACCGGAATTGGCGGAGATCGATTTCTCCTTGGGAAAACCGGAAATGGCGCAAATCGAGTTTGCCCCGGAAGATAAATCGGAAACGGAGGAAATCATCGAAACCGTGACCACTGTGACGACCGTTACGGAGCAGCGGGAACAACCCGTGCAACCTGTGGAAATTGTCACGGTACCGAAACCGTTCCAAGAGACGGAAGCGCTGAAAACCACGGTTACCATAGTCGAAGGGAAAAAACCCGAGTCACCCAAGCCGGAGTTTGCGGAGATTGACATTTCACTGGGTCAACCGGAAATGGCGCAGATTGAGTTTGCACCGGAGGAGAAAGAATTCGTGGAAGAAACGATAGAAGTTATTACGACAGTCAAAACGGTGAAAGAAGAAGTCGAGCAACCCCAGCCCGTGGAGATCGTCACTTTCACGAAGCCGGTTGAAGAAACTGAGGTCATTGAAAAGGTCACCACGGGTACTGAGATAATCAGGGAGCAAGAATTTCCCAAACCCGAATTTGCCGAGATCGACATTTCCTTGGGCAAACCGGAAATCGCTGAAATCGAGTTCGCACCGGAAGAACAACCGGAAGTGGAAGAAATCACGGAAATTGTAACCATAACTAAGGTTACAACTGAAGAAGAGGAAGAAATTATTGAGACTCCGAAACCATCGGAAGAGACCCAAATAACGGAGACCGTTGTAACCGTGACGAAAACCGGAAAACCGGAGTCCCCGAAACCGGAATTTGCCGAAATGGACATTTCCCTGGGCAAACCGGAAATGGCGGAAATAGAATTTGCTCCCCAACAGCAACCGGAAATTGAAGAGATAATCGAAACGGTTACCAGGGTGACGACAGTCACCCAAGAAACTGAGGAGGTGGAGCAGCCGGTAGAAATTGTCGAGATCCGCAAACCGGTTGAGGAAACCAAGATAACCGAGCAGATTGTCACCGTAATCGAAACCAAGAAACCAGAGTCACCGAAACCCGAATTTGCGGAGATCGATATCTCGCTGGGTCAACCGGAACGAGCGGAAATCGAGTTCGCTCCTGAACGGCAATCGGAAGTGGAAGAAATCATTGAAACTGTTACCACGGTTACCACTATTACCCGAGAAACGGAAGAAGTCAAACCGGAAATAGCGGAAATTGAATTTGCACCGGTCTTCAAGGAAACCGTAGGAGAAAGGGTTACGGAAGAAGTAATCAAACCGGAGTCTCCGAAACCCGAGTTCGCAGAGATTGAAATGTCGAAACCGGAAATCGCTCAACTGGAAATAGCCCCCAAACAGCCGGAAGAGGTCGTAACAACGGTAATTGAGACCGTTACGAAAGAGATTATCCGACAACCGGAATTCGCCGAGATCGACGTCAGCCGACCGGAACTTGCACCTCTGGAGGTCACCAAACCGGAATACGCCGAAATCGACATCTCCCTCGGGAAACCCGAGTTCGCGCCGGTTGAAATGATTACCGTGGAGATCCCGTCGGCACCGGAAACGTTCGAAACCGTCACCGAGCAAGTGGTGACGACGGTTACGGAAACTGTACCGGAAACCGAGGAGATCACGGAGACCGTTACCATAACGGAGACTGTGACCCGAGAAGTGGTCATGGAGGAAGAGCGGCCGGAAGTGACCGAGGTGGTACTTCGGAAACCCTCTCTGCCGGAGAAGGAGTTTGCAGAATTCGATGTTTCGTTGGGACAGCCGGAATTCGCGCCATTGGAAGCGGCCGTGGTACTTCAACGGCGACCGAAAGAGGAAGAAACGGTGACGGAAGTGGTAACGGTCACGAAAGAGACCATTCAACCGGAGGAATTGGTGACGGAAGAGACCATTGTCGAGCGAATCGTGGAATATGTGCAGCCGGAACAAATGCCGGTGGTAGAGAAGACAGTGGAGGTTGTGCCAACCGTTGTTACTGAAATCTCGCAAACCGTCACTTCTGAGGTACGAAATTTTTTACTAAACTTAATTTTTATTTTTAGGAAATTATTATTAACTTAAATTTTTCCGTTTTTTAGAAATCGAAAACGTTTTATTTCGGCCAGTTAATATGTGTATTAACCACGGTATTAAAGAAATTAATCGAAATTCGAACTTATTCAATAAGTTTTTATTAATAAGTTACAAATACTTAATATATATGACTTTCTGTTCAGGAAGTAATTGATTCAATAGATTATTACGAGTATGCATTGTTGTTTAGAATACTAATAATTTTTATAGACATATATACATTTTTATATAAATATCCACATTTATAGTAATTATTGTATTTGCTACTTTAAAGGTTGTGCCTGAAGAACGGTTGCAACCGGAGTTTGCCCAGATCGAATACCAACCGGCAGCACCGGAAACCACTGTTATCGAAGAAATCACCGTCACGTCCGTCATCACCGAAGAAGAGAAACCAGAATTCGCTGAAATCGCATTTCAACCGCAGCCGCAACCCAAACACGAAGAAATCGTCGTTGAAGAAGTTACCATTACCAAAGAAGTGAAGGAACAGCCGGAGTTTGCGGAAATCGCATTCCAACCTGAGACCACTGAAACTATTGTGGAAACCGTGGTTACCGAAGTAGCACCGGAAGAGGAGAAACCGGAATATGCGGAAATATCGTTCCAACCGGAAACGAAACCGCAAATCGAGACGGTGGTCACCGAAGAGGTCACCATTGTCCGAAAAGAAGAAAGACCGGAATTTGCGGAAGTGGAATTCCAGCCTGTTGCGCCCACGTTGCTGGAAGCGACCGTAGTCGAAGAGCGGCCGCAACCGGTGGTACCGATGGAGGAAAAACCGGAACTGGCAGAAATTGTCATCCCGCTGTCGGTGACCACTGTTACTGAAGAAATTACCGTCACGGAGATCGTTACGGAACAAAAACCCTCGACGGAGGTAACGGTTACCGAGCAAACTTTGGAAGAAACCGTGCCACAGGAAGAAAGACCGGAATTTGCGGAGATTGCGTTCCAACCAGCGGAACAGCCGGTTGTCGTGGAAGAAACGGTGATTACTAAGGTGACCGAAGAAAAGCCGGAGTTTGCAGAGATGGACTTCCAGCCGCAACCGGAGGCCGTTGCCGTGGAAGAGCTCACGGTTACCATCGTAACGGAAACACGACCGGAAACGGAAACCATTGTCACTGAGGAAATAATGGTGGTCCCACGCGAAGAAAAACCGGAGTTCGCTGAAATCGCGTATCAGCCGGCCGAGACGACCGTGGCCACGGAAGAAACTGTGGTGACAACGGTAACCACAACTGAAGAGATACCAAAAGAAACGGTTCCGGAAGAGGCTGTCATTCCGAAAAAAGAAAAGCCAGAATTTGCAGAAATCGAGTTTCAGCCGGCCGAACAAGTTCAGCTGGTGGCCACGATCACGGAAGAAATTACGGTGACCGAAGCGAAGCCCCAAGAAGAGACAGTGCTGATAACGGAAACCATCGTTACCGAAGTAAAACGGGAAGTTCGGCCGTCCGTACCGGAAGAAGCTGTGCCGGTGGAAGAAAAGCCGGAGTTTGCGGAAATCGCATTCCAACCGGCTGAAGTACCAACGGAAACGGTCGTCTCCGAAGAAGTCATAACAGAGGTTACCAAGGAAGAACTGCAACCTGAGTTCGCCGAAATCGCATATCAACCAGTCCCTCAAGCTGAAACCACGGTTACCGAAGAGATAACTGTCACTACTGTTACGTACGAGCAGCCACGCCAAGAAGAAGTTGTTATTGAAGAAGTGACCTTTACCGAAGAAAAACCGGAAGAGACAGTAACCATCCAAAAGGAAGTCTCCGAAGTGACCTTGCCACGCCCAGAGTTCGCGCCACTGGAAACCGACGTCCTCATAACGCGACCGGAAAATAAAGAAGAAATATTTGAAGAAGTGGTTACCGTGGTGAGGAAACCAGAGAGTGAAATAACGGTTGAAGAAACCATCACCGAGGAGGTGACAATGACCGCGGAGCGGCCGCGTCGACGGTCGGAAGCGGAAATCACCTTGGAGATCGAACAGCCGCTCCTGGATTTCCAGCCAGTGGAGTACCATGTCAAGTACCATGACACCGAAGAAGTCGGACCGGAAAAGACAACAACGGTGACAATCGGCGAAACCGAGACCGTGGAAGAATTCACACCGGTCGCTGGAACGGTGATCATCGAAGAGGCCAAGACGATGGTCGGAACCAAGCCACTGGAGCTTGAAACGTTCGAAGTGGTCTCCGTGGAGAAGTTTGTCGCGGGACTGATACCGGCAGTGACTATTGAAACCACGGAAGAAACACAGGTGCAGATCGTTACCAAAGAGGTCAGGGAGCAGAAACCAACGGAAACCGAGACGTTGGTGGAGAGCGTGGTGGTGGAAGAACTGCCCAGTGAAAAGGTCCCGGAAGTGACCCCGGTGGTGGAGGAAACTAAGGAAACGCTGGTCACCGCCTTTAGCAGTGAGGTCGTATCGGAAGTGACCGCTCCAGTGCACGTTCCGGGTGAAACCGTCACCACTGTCTCCGAAGAACACCCCGAAGAATATGTGAAACCGGAACAAGCCGTGGAGACCGTTAGCGAAACGGTTGAAACCGTGTCACTTGAAACGGCTACAAAGGAGGAAATTCCCATAGCTGAAACCACAGAAACCAAAGTGCAACCATTAGAAAAAGTGGAAATTATTTTGGAGAAACCGGCCGAAACTGAGGTCACACAAACCGCTGAGGTAACACTGGAAGTTAAGAAAGAGCAACCGGTCGAAGTGACCATGACCCTTCCGGAAGAGGAAGTAACCGCCAAAGAAACGGTTACCATTGTAACTGAAGAAATTGTGGAGACCACGATAGAAAAGCCGAAACCGGTGACGGAAAAAAAGGTTGAAACCGTAGTGGAAACAATCATAGAAGAAGTCGTTCCAACAACTGTGATTACGGAACATGAAGAGCTGGAATTAGTCCCGACAGTTCCGCTTGAAGAAAAGAAACCGGAAACAGAAGAGGCGGTATTGGACGTAACCGTTACGGAGGGTCTGGAGACGGTGCCCACAGTAACTGAAGAGGTTACAGGTGAAACGGTGGTAACTGAATTGACCACAGCGGTTCCTTTGGACACTATGGAAATCCGCGAGGCCAAGAAAGCAACCGTACCCAAACAAACCGTTGAAGAGACGGAAGAAAAGGTCACTGAGGAGTTTCCGGTTGCACCCAGTATGAGGGAACAACCGACGGAAACCGAAACAACGGAGGTTACAGAAAAAGCAACAGAAGTGTCGGCGCCGGTTCCTGCGACAAGTGAAACCATTCAGAGAGAGCTCATGGAAATTACTATGCAAGAAACCATTCCAGCAGAAACTACTGAAATTTATGAAGCCGGCTTGGAAGTTGTTAAAGAAGAGAAACCGGTGGAATTCTCCGTAACGTTACCAGAAGAAAAAGAAGAAAAAATAATGGAAGTAGAGAAAACGGTAACGGAGACTATTGTGGAATTGGTTACCGAGACACAACCGGAAACGATAGCTGAAACCATCACGGAAGTTGTTGTTGAAAAGCCGGTAGAAATTGAAGAAACCGTCGTTACACGGCAAGAAGTGGCGACCGTGACACTAGAGGCGCCGAAGTCGGAGATGGAAGAAGTGGTCACCGAAGAAACCATCACACGTACGGTTATCCAAGAAACGGTTCCAGAAACCGTGGAAGAAACGGAAATCACTGCCATGCTGAAACGGCCAAAGAAACCAGAAGAGGTAACGGAAACTGCAATCATCCAGAGTGAAGAAGCCGTTACCGAGGCGATTGTCCGGGAAACCATTGAAGAGGTCACCACGACCATAGAAAAACCGAAACCGGAAAAAGTCTTCGAAAAGCAGATGCCGGAAGAAGCCGAAGAGAAACCAAAGCAATCTTTGATCGAAGAGATCGAAATCATTACCGAAACGGTAACAACTGCCATGGAAGAAGAGCGGAAACCGTTGGACATGGCTCATATTGAAACACCGGTGACAGAAGAGATTGAAACAGTTGTCCGCGAAGTTACGGAAGTGGCACCGAAAGAGCAGCTGAAACCTATGGAAAGCGAAGAAACGGTTACCAAAGCGGAAACTGAAATCGCCGTTACCGAAATGCCAGAACTAGAAAAGGTCACCGAAGAGGAAACTCCGCAAGAGGTCACCGCTGTGTCGACTGCCCCGGAACGCCTCATGGAAGGCGTCACCGTAACGGTCCCGCAGCCGGAAGAGACAACGGTTCCATCGAAAGAAGACGTCAGTGAATACGTTCCCTCGTCTGTGGTGACGGAGACCGTCATGGTTACCATGGAAGAAACAGAACTGTTGAACTCTGTACCACAGGAAACCACTACAGAAGAAACGGTTACGGAGGTTATTGCCAAGCCTCAAGAAGTTGTAACGAAACCGGAAGAAACGGTCCTAGAGAAGCCGGTAATCGAGGAAAAAGAAGCGCTACCGTCCGAAACCACAACAGTCGTCGAAACTATTGAGGAAACCGTTTCGGAACGACCAGAAGCCGTTGCGGTAGAACACGCACCGGAACAACCGGTCGCTACTGTCCAGGAAACAATCACCGAGACGCTGTTCGAGGTAACCGTGCCCCAACCGAAACCAACGGAAGAAGTGCCGGAAAAGGTTGTCGAAGAAGTCACACTTCCGGAGGTAACTACAGATAAATTAGAAGAGCAGCCGGTGCCGGAAATTACGATGGAAAAAGCCACAGTTCCAGCGCAACCGGAAGTCCTGGAAACAGTGACCGAACAAGTGCTGCTTGAAGAAACCGTTAAACGTGTCACCGTTAAACCAAAAGAAGAAGTGGTAATCGAAGAAGTGGTAACCAAGGAGGTCATCAAACGAAAACCCAAAGAAGAGGAAAAAGTTGAAACGGAATTTGTTGTTGAAGAGGTCACCACGGTTTCTTTTGAACAACCGAAGAAACAGGAGATAACGGAAGAAACGGTTACCATTACTCAGGTAAAACCGGAAAAAGAGGACATCAGCGAAATTGTGATGCCGGCGGCTATTGAAGTACCTGAAAAAGAAATAATCGAAACGGTCACTGAAGCCGTCGTTACGAGTGAAACGGAAGAACTGCCGCTAGACAAAGCGGACATCAGCGAAGTGGAAACGCTAAAGAGTACAACAGTCGTCAAAGAAAAACCAGAAAAAGAGGTGCCCTTAGAACAACCGGAAGAATTCATTACCGAAACGGTTACGGACACCGCGGTAACCAAAGAAATTCAGGAGGTCATTATGGAAATGGCCAAACCGACGGAGATCGAGACCGCGCAACCGGAAGTCAAAGAACTCAAGCAGCCGACCAAAGAAGAGGTAACCATGCTGATTGAGAAACTGGAAGAGGTCATGGAGCAAGAGGGACCAGTGGAAATCGTCCTGGTGGAGACGGACGAAACCGTCAAACTGCGCAAGAAACCAACGACCACGGAGGTCAGCGAGACGGAATTCGTGGTCAGCAAACCGGTGCCGGAAGAAACCACCGAGATTGTCTGGAAACCGGAAATTCCCACCATTGAAACGACCTTCGAGGTCACTGGAAAGGAAACGCTGACCATTGAAACGCTGACGGTGCCGGAACGTCCCGTGACTCCGGCGCTGTTTGAAGAAATCGAGACGGTGGCCCATGTAACGCAACCGTTGCTTATCGAGACGCCCCTGGACACGCGGACCGCGTCACCGCTTCCCGTGGAACACGCGGAAGCAGAGTTCGTCCCGCTGCGAGAAACCACCATGACCACCTCGGACACCACCCACATTACCAAGGAGACCACCGCCACCGCGGTTCTGGTGGAAGTCCCGTTGAAATTCGGCGCGTTACCGGAACATGCGGTGGAAGAAACGCGGTATGAGAAGCCCCAGGAAGCGGTGGGGGCGCCGCTGTTCACCACGGAAGTGGAGTACAAAGCACCGGAGATTGCCGTGGCCACTACCGAGTTCACCGTTCCCATCGACATCGAAGAGCGCACCGCGCAGGCCACGGTGAAACGGCGAGTGTCGTACACGGCCGACCTGACCACGGATGTGACCTTTCAACCGGAGCGACCGGTGCCACAGGGTCCGACCATCACCGAGATCCCCGTAGAACAGGTGGAGCATGAAGAGCTCATTCGGCAGAAGTACCGGGTGGACTTCCCACCGGAGGTCCACGAGGTCCCCATTCTCATCGAGGAGCACAGCATCGTCGAGGTGTTCTCCACGGAGGAAGACCGCTCGGAGATTCTGGATTTCGTCGTCAGTGAAATGGACACCAGTATCGTCGAGGATATCTTGGAGAAACTGGAAGAATTCCCTGAAGAGATCGTCGAAGAGCAGGTGACAACCGTTGTAATGGAAGAAAAGCCGACGGTGACAACAGTAACGGAAGAAGTTACGGTGGTAACCGAAGAACAAGCGGTCGTAACGGAAGAAGAAACCGTTGTAACCGAGGAGGAGCAGCTGGTGAAACTAAAGAAACGCGTCAAAGAGGAGGTGGCGGAGGGTGTACTGCGTCCGAGAAAGGATGGTGAGAGGAAGTTGACCGTTTAAATGTGACCGCTGCACACCGTGTCCGCTGCTGCTGCTGCTTCTACTAAAACCAAAAAAACGTCCAAGCGTGCGCGGTTGAGGGTGCTTCATGTGCTGGCTAAAAACACGTTGTCTTACACAATTATGCCGTGACTCAATGTTGACAGCGTCCCACTGTGTTACATGTCACCTGGTGGATTCACCGTTTTGCGGGTGGTTACGTCGTCGTTAGCGAGTGTGGGGGTGCGGTTACATGTTGGTACTCGGCGTTTATACGTTCCTGTAGCATTCCGTGGTCACTAAACGTGGGGATCTTAACCGGCTTGTGTTTGTTTAACCAGTTTGCTTTGCAGATCTAACAGCGCCACGAAATCCCTTAATCACATTTTGTGTCTGCATGCTTCTCTGTTTATAATCGATTTATTTATTATCTTCGTATTATATATTAATCGGATTTTATATTATTTTTCAGAAGTTACGGAAGAAGCTGTTGTGCAGCAGGTAATTATTAAAGTTTACGAAATAATTTCACGTAATGTTTAAATTAAAAAGTTATGTGATATACGAGTATATAAATAAGTTTTATTTACTTTGCAACGCGGTTTCGGTACAATCAAAAACCAAACATTTCTAAAAATATGACAAATGTGCAAATGTTTTGTGTAGATCCGCCCAAAGAAGCCGGTTAAGGAAGCAGAAGGTAAGTGGTATACAGTTTTTTCTCAGTCACTAATTCCGCTTGGTTTTGCATGAAGTTTCATGATGTATTTACAGTAGAGTACATACAGTATGTACTTGATATATATAACTGATATTATTTGTTTTATTGTATATGTATTACTGTATTCATGTACTTGTTGCTGCAGCCTTCATGTCTGTCCCAATGGTCATTCCAACGTTCGAAGAAAGCGGGCCGCCCGTCTTCACTGTTCCAGTGGAAAATGTGGTATGGTGGCCTTTAACATTTTATTCGTTATATCGCTCTATTGTACATTATATTCAATTGGCTGATGACAGGAAACAGCGGAAATGGATGTGGTGAAGTTCACCGCGGAGGTCAAGGGCATTCCGCGTCCCGTGGTGACGTGGAGTTTGGATGACCATATACTGCACGAATCGCAGATCATCGAGATTACGCACATTCGCGATCTGACGACGTTGACCATCCGTGATGTGCACGGCGATTTCACTGGTCAGCAAATTAAACTAAACCGAATTTATTACAAATAAAATTCTGCCAATACATTAATAATAAAAACTTGATAATAAAATACTTAATGAATTCGGCCAGTAAAATTTCAAATAAGAATATTGTTGCTATGAAAAGATATTCAAACAAAATTAATATTGTATAAAGTTTAGTAAATAACTATATCTTGAGTATGAAAACGTTTCTGGTATTTCAAATTATTATTATACAGTCATAATACCAAGCAATATATATATTATTAGTTTTAAAGTTAATTTAACAGACATTTTAATTTCATATTTTTGAGTGCTTTTCTTGCTTCTCCATCGAACATTGCCCGGCCTTTCAAGCCGACTTGTTCTCGTTTCAGGCGTGGTAACATGCACCGCCCGAAACGACCTGGGTATGGCCATGTCCAGCGCGCAAGTGGAGATCCTGCAGTTACCGGAAGAAACCGAAACCGAATTCAGCCAAGCCACCACCATCACCGAGGAGGAAATCATCATCACCGAGGAATTCGAACTCTCCGAAGCCGTACCGACCCAGACACCTTTCGAAGGAACTGAGACCGTTGTCAAACCAGCGGAAACTGTTCCCACCGTTCCGCAAGAAGCGCCGAAAGAAGCTGTTCCCACCGTTACCGAAGAAACACCCACCGTGGAAACCATTACCGAGACCGTAACCGAGACGGTGGTAACGGAGACCTTTACCGAGGAAGAAGTGCCGGAGAAGTTCACCGCTGAAATGGTGCCGGCGGTCAGTGTCATGGAGACGGTAACCGCCGTCATCGAACAGCCGGTACCGATTGAAGAAAAACATATCATAGCGACACACGACATTACCGAGGATAAACTGGAAGTGACCGTCCCGGACGTGGATATCATCGTTCCACGCGATGAGGATGTCGCCAAGATCTCCGAAGTAGAGGTCCCCGTGGAGGTCACCCAGGTGGTCGTGGCGGAACAGCCGAAAGAGGAAGTACCGGAAGAAAAGGTCATTGAGACCTTACCGGAAACGGCGCCAGTGGAGAAGATTACTACGGAGATCACCGAAACGGTCACCGAGACGGTCGTGGAAGAATCTCAAGAAAAACCGGTGGAGAAGGTCGAAGAGATTGTTACCGTCACGGAAGTGGAGCAGCTACTGGAAACCGTCGTCCGGGAAGAAGTACCGGAGAAACCGGTGGAAGAAGTGGTGGCGCCGAAGGAAATCGCACCCACCGAGACAACCGTCGTCGAGGAAGTGGCGCCGACAGAGATTGTTACCGAGCAGCCCGTCCCGGTCGAACAACCGGAACTGGTGACGCACGAGAAAGGTGTCACTCCAGCGCTGTTACCAGAAATGATTACAAAATTAGAAACCGAAGAAACGCGCAAGAAATCGGTGCCGGCTGTGGAAACGGAAACCGCCACGGGGGTGCAGCTCCCGGAAATGGTTACAGTGGAAGTCGGTCCCGAAGTAACCGAACAAGGAACCGAGACCGTGACCAAGGAAGAGATCACCGAAGTGGTGACAAAGGTGAAACCGAAGCCCAAGACGATTGTCACCGAAGAAGAAGTGACGGAACAGTTGGTCATCCCGACAAAACCGGAGACGGTAGAGTTTCAAATTACCACCGAAGAGAAGGTGGATGAAGTGGTTACACTGAAACCAGAATCGGAGGAGAAGGTACCGGGTGAAGAAGAGACGACCGTAACAACGGTGGACGTCACCGAAGTGGTGCCGGCGCCTGTGCACGCCGATGTCGCCGCCCCGGTGGAGTCGCTGCCGTTGGAGAAGGCCGAGATCATTGCGCCGATGGAGTTTGCCGATACCGTCCAGGTTACGGTGGAAGAGGCACCGGAAGTCCCGGTTCCGGTTGAGGAAGAAGTAGAAAGCGTGAAGATCGCGCGTAAACCGAAACCAGTGGAAGAGGTGGTAACGCTGCAGCCGAAGGTTACCGAAGAGGTCACTACAGTTACTTTGGAACAGAAAGTCGAAGAGCAAGTGGTGACGGAGCGATTCGAATTGAAGCCGGAAGTTGTGGAAGAGATTATTACGCTAGAAAAGAAAGTCCAACCAACCGAAGGTAAGAAACCGAATTCAACCAAAATAAATTGTTAAAATAAAATCACTTATATAATATGAGTTTTAGTTTAACATCTTTATCTGCGTACTCGTTTTCTAAACTTTCAAAAAATCAGTTTTTTCAAGAACAAATACCGGTATTTCAGATTTATTTTAAATGTTTTTGGGAAAAATTAAATTTTTTAATCAAATTTTTATTTAAATTTGTGACTAAATTTACCGTTCTTATTTTTTCTAAATAATTTGCTTAATTTTATAAATTAATTTTTTTAAATTGAAGTCTGACTAAATTGGAATATTTGTTTCAGAAACTGCTACTACAGAGGAAGTTACCGTCGTGACTAGCGCAGCCGAAGACGTAATTGCACCGGTGCCGGAAATTTTGACGGTTGTCGAACGCCGCGACGAGGACCTGCCGACAGCCGAAGCGATAGAAGCGCGTCGCGTTAGCACCGCCCCAAGGGTGCCGGAACAATCAGCAGTACCCGAAATGTCCAAAGAAACTCCAGAAGAAGTGACCGGTGAGCAGCCGGCTCTGGAGAAGGTCACGGAGGAAACCCTTCCGGAACTGGCACAACCAGCCGTCCCAATCGTGCCCATCATCAACGAAACCTTCCGCATCGAAATCCCGGAAACACCCGAAAAGGTAACCGAGTCGACCGAGACCGTTACCACTGTGGAAGAAGTGGCCGAAGAGCAGGTAAAGCTGAAGAAGAAACCAAAGGTCGTGGAGGAAGTCCAGGAGGAAATGGTGTTCGTTGCTCCGAAACCGGAAGAGGTCACGCAGGCGGAGATCACCGTAACGGAAACGGTTGAAGAGACCACGTTTGTGCATACGGTACCGAAGGAAGAAGCGCCGAAAGAGGAAATTCCGGAAGAGCGTGAGGAAATTATAGAAAAACCGGTTGTGGAAGAAATTACCCCGGTGGTTACAGAAGAAACGACCGTTACAGAAGTCGAAGAGATTATGGAAACGGTGGCACCAGTACCGGTGGAAGTCGCTGAGACCGAAACCGTCGAGCTACCGGTCAGTGAAACCGAAGAAGTTGTGCCACTGAAGAAACCCCGGAAAAAGGAAATCATGGAAGAGACCGTGGTAACTGTTCAGAAACTGAAGGAGACCGTGGAAGAGATCAGCGTGGAACTGTCGAAGCCGAGCATGGACATTGAAGAGCAGGTGGTGATGCGCGCCGTAGAGCGCAAGCCATCAGAGATCCCGGTTGAGAAGCCCGAAGAGACGGTGACGGAAGTGACACAAGAGGAGATGACAACAACGGTTACGGCGCCGTTACCAGAAACAGAAACCATCGCCGAAAAGGTCACGGAAGAATTTGGCATGTCCACTGCAGAGACCGTTACAACCGCACAGACGACGGTTGTTACCGTGCCGAAACCCGAAACGAAGGAAGAAACCGAAACAATAACCGTTGAAGAGTATGAAGTAAAGCCGGTGGCACCCTCTAAAACCACTGTGACTGAGATTGCTGAGGAGATTGAGCACGGTGTGCCAACAGAGACAAAAACCATGGAGACCGAGACAGTCGTTGTGGAAGTCCCGAAAGTACCACTCGAAACGCAAAAGCCAGAAGAAAAAGAAACCACAGTTACAACTTCAATAACGGAAGAATACGAGACCACACCGATGGCACCAACGGAAGCGACATTGACCGAAGTAACAGAAGAAACTGGACAAGGTGTACCTGCCGAAACCGAGACACTGGAGACTGAAACCGTTGTAACAGAAGTTCCGAAAGTGACCGAAGTCGTGGAGACGACCGAAGAGATCAAAGAGGAAGTGATGTTGAAGAAAAAGAAACCAAAGGTTATCGAAGAAGCACCGGAGGCGGCTTTTGAAATACCCCGGAAACCGGAAACAGTCGAACTGGAAATGCCGCAACCGACAGAAGGAGAAATTACACTGAAACCAAAGAAGAAGCCGGTCGAAGAAGAAGCTGAAGTTGTAGTTCCGCTGGAAACTAAGAAACCCGAGGAAGTGTCGGAAACGGTCACCGAGACCAGCGTCACGGAAGCCGAAACACCGAGTGTCCAGCCCGCCGAAACCGTGATTACAGAAGTAACGGAAGAAATCGGAGTTGGTATTCCAAGCGAAACTTCAACACTTGAAACAGAAACTGTAGTGGTACCGGTCAAAGAAATAATCGAAGAGACAACGGAAGCCGAAGAGGTGACGGCAGTTCGGCGCAAGAAACCGCTCAAACCACAGGAAACACCGGAAGAAGTGACCTTTGAAGTGCAGCGCAAACCGGAAGTTTCCGAGTTTGAAATCACAGAAACGGTAACGGAAGAAAAAGTCTCTATGAAACCGAAAGAGAAGCCGGTGGAAGTGATAACAGTGGAAAATTTAATGAAGCAACCGGAAGAAACTGAGGAGAAAATCACGGAAACCACAGTAAGAGAAGTCACTACCAAAGAAACAAAACCGGAACAAGTGGAAATACAAGAAACTGTTGAAGAAATTCAACGCGGCGTTCCCACGACGACTGAGGCTTTAGAAACGGAAACTATTACCGTTGAGACGGAGACCACTGTGACCGAAGACGTTGAAACCGTTGAGGAAACCGCGGTAGCAATTAAGAAAAAGAAACCGCTGAAGCCGGTTGAAGCGCCGACGGAGGCCGCGTTTGAAATTTCAAAGAAACCGGAAACCGTAGAATTCGAAGTCCAGCCGAGTGAAGTGGAGGAAGAAATTATGTTTAAGCCCAAACCGAAGCCGGTTGAAGAAGTTGAAGCGGAGACCGTTGTACCGCTCGAAACCAAGAAATCGGAAGAAGAAACTGAAACGATCACTGAGACGGTCGTTAAAGAAATTGTGATGCCGGAGCAGCCGGAAGCGACTACCACCACCGAAGTTATCGAGGAAACTGTAACGGCAACACCATCGGTAACGGAAGCAGCCGAGACGGAAACTATCGTGCAACCAGTAACCGAAGAGAAAGTGGAAATCGAAGAAGTCAAGAAAGCGAAACTTAAGCCACGAATGAAGGTAACGGAAGAAGAGGAGGTGGTAACGGAAACCGCATTAATGAAACGGAAAGCTACCGAGGTCACTGAAGAAACAACGGTAACTGAGACTTTCGGCGTAGAAGAACAAATAAAGATAGCTAAAAAGAAACCGGTAAAAGAGGAGATTCCCGAAAAGACTGCGGAAATGTTGGTAACGGAAGCGGAAGAAGCACCAACGGTGGACGAAGTCGTACCAGAAAAGCCAGTCGAAGAACAAATTCAGCGGTTGGAAATTCCGGAGCGACTGCAACCAGCGGTGCCGGTAGCACCGACAGTTCTGGAAACGACGACGATAACCGCTCCCGAAAAGCCGGTTACATTGGAAGAAAAGACTGCCGAACTTGACGTAACCGAGGCACCGGAATTGCCGTCGGTAACCGAAGTATCATCTGATGTAGCGGAAACCGAAGAAGCGGTTCCATCCGAAACGCCGGAGATGCTGCAACCAGCGGTGCCCATCGTTCCGGTCGTCCACGAAAGTGAAAAGGTCACCGCACCGGAAATACCGAAAGTGGAGAAGCCGGTCGAGGAAGTCCCAGAAAAGAGCGCCGAGAGTGAAACCGTGGTACCCGAAACAGTAACCACGGAAGAAATCACACAGGAAGCAGTAACCAAAGAAATCGCGCAGCCTTCAGAAATCCCTGACGTTATGCAACCGGCCGTTCCCATAGCCGCCATCGTCCATGAAGGCGAGACGCGGGAAGTACCAACAGTTCCGGAAGTACCCCAACTACCACAGCAGACTGCCGAGACGCGTATAACCGAAGCGGAGACTACAACGGTCGAAGAGGTGGTAGTGGAGGAAGATAAACCAGAGACTGTGGAGGTAACCGAAACGCCGGAAGCGCTGCAACCAGCAGTGCCGGTTGCGCCGTTGGTGCTGGAATCGACGAGCGTTGTCGCGCCGGAGAAACCCAGTGTTACCGTGGAGGAAGTGACCGAAGAGGAGAAAGTGGCGATTCGCCGCAAGAAGCCGAAGGCACAGGAGGAAGCGGCGCCAGAAGCGGAATTCGCCATCACCAAACCGAAAGAACGGGTGGAGGAAATTACTGAAGAAACTGCTGAATTTAAGGTAATCATTAATCTCAGCATAATACTCTAATTAATAATACTATTTTTATCAATTTTTTTCAATAAGAGAGTTTAAATTATTTATAAAATAGTGTTATTAAAGGTCACCGGTTTTTATAATCACGGGCGCAAAAGAGTTTTTGTCGCCATTTAATTTAAAAGAAATTGATATTTTTATCAATCTAAAATAAATTTAAATTTTAATGTTTTTGATTAGGTTGAGAAGACGATTGAAACCGAAGAAGAATTCGTATTCAAACCAAAGAAACCCGAAGAAGAACACATAGAGAAAACGGTAACCACGGTCGAGCTATCAAAACCGGAAACAGCAACGGAAGAAACACCATCTGTCAGTGCCGGCGAAATCACCGCTCCCGAAAAGCCCGAGGTAACCGCCGAAGAAACGCGAATCGAGGAGACTCTGGTAACCGCGCAGCCTACTGAAACCGTTACCGAAGAGACGTCGACAGTCGTCGTTCCGGTCAAAGAAGAAATCGTAGAGGAACAGATCGAAGAAACCGTTGTAAAAGAGGAAATCGAAGAAAAGGTCAAGCTGAAACCCAAGAAGAAGATCACGGTGGAGGAAGAAGTACCGGAAGCGGAATTCGCCGTCAAACCCAAACCCGAGAAACCGGTAGAAATCGAGCTTGAACAACCGGAGGCGGAAGCGTTGTTTATTCGGCCGAAGAAACCGGTGGTCGAAGAGGAGACTGCGGAGATTGAATTAAAGGAAACCACGGAGACGTATGTGACCACCGCCGAGGAAGGAGTGCCGGTTACGGAAACGGAGGCAACCACTGTAATCGAGACGGAGGGGTTCGGTCGGCCGGTAACGACGGTGACGAGTGAGGAGCAACCGTTCACCGTTACGGTCCCGAAGGAACAGGTGACAGCAACCGAGACGGAAGTGACTACCGCTTATGAGAAAGAAACGCCGGTTGAAGAAACCGCAACCGTCGAAGTTACGGAGAAAGCACCGCTTGACCAGTCCGTTTCAACGGTTACGACGGAAGAAAAGTCTGTCAAGGTTACCGTTCCGAGAGAAGCGTTCACCACAACCGAGACAGATGTTACCACGGTTTACGAGAAAGAGCAACCGGTTACCGAAGAGGTCGCGGTGGAAACAGTTCCGCAGAAACCACTGACGGAAGCGACGGAAGAAAAGAAGCCCGTAGAAGAAGTGCCAGAAACAGTCGAAATCGATGTGGAGGAATTGATTGAGAAAATTACCAAAGGGGAAATTGAAGAGATCCCGTTCGAAATTCCCACCGAAGAAACCGTAAAGCGGCCGAAGCCGAAACTCAGGATGAAGGAAGAAGTACCGGAAGACACCACAGCCGAAGCCTTCTTCAAGAAGCCGGTAGAGACGACGGAAATCGAGACGGCCTTTGATGTGTCGATTGAGAAGACCGGTGTACCGGCGGTTACCGAGGAACATGTTGAGACCGTCGGTTTTGTCCAAGTGGAACAGCCCGAAAAGGAAAAAGTTGCTCCTGAAACCGTCGAAGTACCGGAAACGAAAATCTCCTTGGAGAAGAAACCGGCAGAAACCCCGATAACGTCGTTAGTTACTGAGGAAGAGACAATTGCGGATATTATTACCAAGAAAGAAGAGGTGAAACCGGAAGTAACGGAGGAAGAGCTCCCCACCGCTGTTACCGAAACGATACCGGCGGAGACACCAGGAATGACCATGGTGACGGAAGAAACAACAGTGACAGAAGTTCGGTCTGAAGAAAAAGAAGAAATTACACCAAAGGGCACTACCGAACAACTGGGCGAAGCGGTTGCTGAAAAGCAGGTGGTGCAGTCACCGGAATCCACCGTGGTACCAGAAGAAACGACGATTAACGAAATTATTACGGAAAAATTGAGGAAAAGGCAATGCCCGAGGTTACGGAAGAAATCATGCCGATAGTGACCACTGTACAACCGGAAGAAACGAAGGTTGTTAAGAAACCGCAGCGACCGAAGGATTTAGCCGTTGAACTGGAAATTTTGGAGCTTCCCTCGAGAGAAGTACCAGAGGAAGAGCTTTTGGAAGAATCTATTCAAGAAACAAAAATATCGTTGGCCAAAAACCCAGAAGAAGTCATTGAAGAAGAAGCGGTCTTCAAACCTAAAAAGCCTGTGAAAGAGGAGATCACAGAAGAAATTGTTGAAGAACACGCTGTTTTCAAGCCCAAGAAGCCGGTAACCGAAGAGGTCACGGAAGAAACTGTGGTAGAAGAAGCGGTATTCAAGCCGAAAAAGCCAGTAAAGGAAGAGGTCACTGAAGAGATTGTTGAAGAGGAGGTTGTTTTTAAACCGAAGAAACCGGTAACCGAAGAAACAACGGAAGAAACCGTTGAAGAAGCCGTGTTTAAACCGAAAAAACCACTAAAAGAAGAGGTCACCGAGGAGACTGTTGAAGAACACGCTATTTTCAAGCCCAAGAAACCGGTAGCCGAAGAGGTAGCAGAGGAAACTGTCGAAGAAGAAGCCGTGTTAAAACCCAAGAAGCCGGTCAAGAAAGAGGTACTCGAAGAAACTGTTCAAGAGGAAGTCGTAATCAAACCGAAAAAAGAGGTGACAGAGGAGACCATCGAAGAGGTCACTGAAGAAGTGGTGTTCAAGCCTCAAAAACCGGTGACGGAGGAAATCACAGAGGAAGTCGTTGAAGAGGCAGTGTTTAAGCCCAAGAAGGAAGTGAAAGAAGAGATCACGGAGGAGATTGTGGAAGAAGAAGCGGTCTTTAAACGGAAGAAACCTGTAAAAGAAGAGGTCACCGAAGAAGTAGTGGAAGAGCAAGTTGTGCTTAAGCCGAAAGCTCCCAAGGAAGAAGTTGAAGAAACGGTCGTCGAAGAAGCAGTCTTTAAACCGAAAAAGCCGGTAACCGAAGAGGTTGTTGAGGAAATCGTAGAAGAAAAAGCCGTTTTCAAACCGAAAAAGGAAGGGAAAACCGAGCTCACCGAAGAGATCGTTGAAGAAACGGCCCTCTTTAAGCCTAAGAAAACGGTTGAAGAAACCGTAACGGAAGAAATTGTCGAAGAAGAGGTTATTCTGAAACCAAAGAAACCGGCAGAAGAGGAAATCACGCCTGAAGTTATCGAAGAAGAAGCCGTCTTTAAGCCAAGGAAACCTGTTAAAGAAGAAGTGGTCGAAGAAGTTGTGGGAGAAAAAGCGGTGTTAAAGCCGAAAAAGAAGGTGACCGAAGAAGTAACCGAGGAGACGGTGGAAGAAGAAGCCGTTTTTAAGCCGGTTAAACGAGTACCGGAAGAGATGGTCGAAGAAACCGTCACAGAAGAGGCGGTATTCAAACCGAAGAAACCGATTGAAGAAGAGGTCACAGACGAAGTAGCTGAAGAAACGGCGGTTTTCAAACCAAAGACGGTTACGAAAGAAGAAGTCACCGAAGAGATAACGGAAGAAGAAACAGTATTTAAACCGAAAAGGCCGGTTAAAAAAGAGACAGTGGAGGAGACGGTTGAAGAGCAGGCCATCTTGAAACCCAAGAAACCGGTCAAAGAAGAAACAGAAACGGTTTCGGAGGAGGCTGTTTTTAAGCCAAAAATGACTGTTACAGAAGAAGTGACCGAGAAGACAGTTGAAGAAGAAGCGGTGTTCAAGCAGAAGAAGACAACTAAGGAGGAAGTGGTGCAGGAGTCCGTCGAAGAAGTCGCTGTGTTCAAACCAAAGAAGCTGCCACAAGAAGTTACTGAAGAAACGGTGGAAGAGGAGGTCACTTTTGCACGGTCAAAAGTCACAGAAGAAGCAGTCATGCGGGAAGATAAGCCGGTTAAGGAAGCCGTAACGGAAGAGACAGTGGAAGAACGGGAAAGCGTGACTATTGAAGAGGTCACGCAGGAAACGGCCGAGATTTCTGCAGAAACCACTACGGCGATTACGGAGACGGTCGTAGAAGAACAGTTTACGGTCGAAGAACAAAAGCCGGCTTACAAGGAATCTGTCACCGAATCTGCAACCAGCGAGTTAGCTCAACCGGTTACGGAAGAAGTTACGGTGCAGAAGCCAACTGAGACCGTGGTTCAGGAGGAAAAACCGGAAATTGTGGAAGAACAAAAGGTCAAGCTTCGCAAACGCAAACCATCTGTGCCGGAAGAAAAGACCACGGAGGCCGTTATGGAAATCCCCACGAAACCTGAGGAAACTGTCCCGGAAATTGTAGAAGAAGCGGCGGTCAGTTTGGGTCGGAAGCCAAAACCGGCACCCAAACCGCAAGAAGAAGAGGAAGCTGAAGAGAAGTTATTCTTAGCCGCACCGAAGACCCCGGCGCCAGAAGTCTCCACCAGCATTGAAGCCGCTATTGAACTTGACTCGAAAGTCGGTGAAGAAGAAGAAATCGAGTACGAACGCGAAGAAGATAGTCTGGCAGAGATCGAGGACAACATTTGGGAGACCACTTCCGCCGCTGAAGATCTGCGCCGTGTTTCTCAGGACACGTTGGTCGGTGTGGACATACCTGAAGAACAACGTGCCCGACGCCGGGTGCGCATCGAAGAAGTGCCGGTGATCATTGAAGACTACCAACAGTTTTCTGTCTCCGAGTCGAAATTTGACACCGAAGATGTGTCGATGACGGAGGAAATCGTTGAGATCCCGGAAGACGAAGCCCCACAGATCGACCTGAATTTCTACGAATCGTTTGCGGCGGGAACGGAAAAAGAGCAGCTGGCCAGCACCGAAGAGCTCCCGTCACCGGAAGAGGAAGCGAGACCGACGGAGAAACCAGTCAAGGAACTGGAAACCACCACCGGGAAACCGTTGCCTTCTGAAACCACTGAAAAAGTTGAAGTCCCCGAAAAAGAGTCAGTTGAGCAGGTTCCAGAGACACTGTCCGTTAGTGCCACCGAACGAAAGGTGTCGTTACGCCAAGAACATGAAGTCGAAGAAGCCACGGTAGAGGAAACGGAGATGGTCACGGTACCGGCAAAGCCCGAAACACCCGTTGAGGAGACGTCGGAATCCGCGGAAGAAGAGTCCGTTAAACTGAAACCCCGACCGAAACCGGAAGAGAAACCGGAAGAAGTGGAAACCGTGCAGGTACTTCAAAAGCTCACTGTTCCGGAAGAGAAACCGGAGGAGGAAGTGGAAGAGTTCTTCGAGGCGAAAGAGGAACTGCCGACTAAACCAGAGGTCGCGGAAGAAGCGGCCGTTATTAAGAAGCGCAAACCGAAACCAGTTGCCGAAGAAGAGGAACAGCCAATTGCGGCAATGGTGTTGAAACCAAAAATACCGGTTAAGGAAGAAATCGAAGAAGTCGAAGTTTCCGCTGAATTAGAGCAACAACAGGTACCGGAAACTAAAGAGGTCGAAGCGGTATTTGAAAAACCGAAACCCACGAAAGAAGAAGAAACCATCGAGGAAGTGAAGGAAGAAGTGACAGTGAAAAAAGAGAAGCCGGAAAAGCCGGTTCCAAAAATTCCAGTAGTGGAAGAAATCATTGTTCCTGAGGTGATATCAACGGTGGTTGAAGAAACCGTGGAAGAAAAAGAGGAAGAATTCCGGTGGCCAGAGGAGGAAGCTCCCAAACCGGTTCGAAAGCCGACGTTACCGGAAGAAAAAGCCCCCGAAGTCAAACCGGTGGAGGAAACGGTGGAAAAGATCGCTAAGAAGCCAAAACCCAAAATCGTCACCGAAGAACAGCCAGCCGCCGAGGTGCAGCTGAAACCAGCGAAACCGAAAGAAAAGGAAGCTGTAACCGAGGACGTGACTACAGAGGTCGCATTTGCACCTGTCAAGGAAACCGGAAAAGAAGTTGCTCCTGAGGAAGCAGCCTTTACGTTGCCAAAAGATGCTCCGAAACGTGAAGCTGCACCTGCCCCGGAAGAAGTAGCTGAAGAGGTGTCGATTGTCACGAAACCGAAAGAGACGCCCACAACGGTTGTCGAATCCCCCGAGGAGAAACCGATCGAGGAAACCGAAGCAGAGCGCTTGAAACGTGAGCGGGTAACAAAACGAACCCGAACTGAAAAGACAGAAGAAGTGGAAACAAAGGTCACGGAAGAAGAACTGAAACCAGCTAAAAAGCCGGAAGAGGTCAAACCCGTCGAAGAAAAACCCGCAGAAGAGGAAGAGTTTGCGTGGCCTGAAGAGGAGAAACCGGTTACGTTCAAACCAAAACCGAAACCGGTAGAAGAAACGCCAACCGCCGTGTTCGAGGTTCCAAAGGAGAAGGAAGCGGTACCGGAGACCGTAGTGGAGCTGCCTAAAGAGAAGCCAAAAGAAGAAGTGATCGAGGAAGTTGCGACCGTGGCCAAGAAACCCAAACCGAAAGCTAAAGTGGAAGAAGAGAAGCCCACCGCCCGAGGCCAAATTCCAACCGAAGAAACCGGCTGAAAAGGTCATCGAAGCCCCTGAAGCAGAAGTTATCATACCGGCACCGGTTGACAAAGAGGAAATCGTGATGCCGGAAGAAGCGGGACTGGCGCTAAAGAAGAAACCGAAACCGCGTGAGGTCACCGAATCACCGGACACTTCGGAAGCGCTAAGTATCTCGTTAGCGAAAGAAATTCCGAAGCCGGTCGAAGAGGCACCCGTTACGGTAGAAGCCGAAATTCAGCCGGTTGTGGAAGAGGCAACCGAAACCGAGGAAGAACGCTTGCGGAAAGAGCGTGACCTGCGAGAAACAATTCGACGCCGAACGGACAAAACCGAAGAAGAAGAGACCATCGTAACCGAAGAAGAGTTACGCGCGCAAAAACGCAAAATAACGGAAAAGGTGGAAGAAGCCAAGCCGGTTGAGAAGGTCGAAGAAATCAAGCCGGAAGAACTGCCTGAGTACATCGAACTGGTACAGCCGGAAGAGAAGCCTGAAGTAATTAAACCGGTCGAAGAAGAGGAAGTCAAGAAATTTAAACCAAAGAAAAAGGAAACGCCGGTCGAAGACAAAGCTCAGATGCCACTGAAAAAGCCCGTGGAAAAACTGAAAGAAGAAGCGCCAGTGTCTGAAGCGGAATTTAAGATCCCGGAAAAACCGGTCGCGGAAACCGCACCCGAAGAGGCCGAAAAAGCTGCAACAATTCGTAAACCAGTAAAGAAGCCGGTTGTCGAAAGTGAAGCGCCGGAAGAGCTAACTGCCGAATTTGCGTTAAAGAAAAAGCCTGTTCCCGTAAAGGAAGAGGCCAAGCCCGTCGAGACCGAGTTTGTGATTCCCACGGCAGCCGAAACAGAAGAGGAAGAAGTCTCCGAAAAGAGCATCATCAAACGTCCGAAACGACGATCACTGGACGAAGAGATGAAGGAAGCTGTGGCTGCCGAAACGTTGGAACTGGTTCCGGCACCGAAACCCGCAGAGGAAGAAATGCCGACAGTTGAAGAAACCGTCTTCACCCGCGGCATTACCGAACGCATGGTATTCGAAGAAGAGGAAGACGTCGAGATCCTGGTGATCACCAACACGGAGAAACCGGTGCAGTGGATCTTCGCTAATTTCACGATAACCGAATCCACCGATCGGTACGAAGTTATCAACGACGGCATGGTGCACAAACTGATCATTCGAAAGGTCAAGAAAACGGATGCCGGGAAGTACACGTGCAGAGTGGACACAGTGGAAACGACCGGAACATTGGTGATCAAAGAAACACCGGTGAAGTTCACGGAAGTGTTGGAAGATCAAAAGGTCATCGTGGGGCAAGATATTGTCCTGCAGACGGTGTTAACCCGCAAAGGCGTCAAAGTTACGTGGAAAAAGCTGCGCAAAACGCTCACCGCGTCCAGCAAATATGTTATGACCGAGAGCGAGGACACCGAGACGCACACACTGACCGTTAAAGACGCGACGGTGGAAGACAGTGGTGTGTACACGTGCCAGGTGGAAGAGGAGACGACTACCTGCAAGGTGGCAGTTCAGGCCCCGGCTAAGTTGTTCCCTGAAGGACTGCCAACGGAGATTTCGTTAGATCAGGGACAGATCCACCGTTTCCAGATCCCGTTTGTTGGCTCGCCGGAGCCGGTGGCGGAATTGACGGTTAATGAGCAGCCGGTAAAGCCGTCCGAGCGCGTGACATACCGCATTGAGGAGACCAATGTGATGATCGTACTTAAGAAAACGGAGAAGAAGGATGAAGGAACGTACCGGCTGCGCATTTATAATGAGCTGGGAGAGGATACATTCGATTTTAAAGTTACAGTATTGGGTAAGCGGCATAAGTTAACTTTATCGATTAATCTAAATTTTGTAATAATTATATTGAGATGAACTTCTGTTTTACAGTACTTTCTCTTGACGCATTTAAAGTAAATCAGTAATACTAAAATTAACTAAAAATAAGTAATACGTAAATGATTTACTGTACTTGGAACAATAATTGCATGTTTGCGCTGTACAGATAAGCCATTCCCGCCAACTAATCTACAAATAACGGAAGTAACAGCCGACAGCGTAACCTTAAACTGGTCGCCACCTGAAGACGACGGCGGCTCTCCCATAACCGGTTACGTTGTCGAGCGCTTGGACATGCAACGCCGCAACTGGAAACGTTCCGCTACCACCATTGAAACACGCAGTACCGTCATCAATTTAATCGAGGGTCAAGCGTACAAATTCCGCGTCTTCGCTGAGAACAAGGTGGGATTGAGTGAGCCGCTGGAAACCCCGAAAGAAGTCGTTGCCAAGAAACCCTTCGACGTACCCGGCGCGCCCTCCAAACCGACCATTGACAAAGTGGCTGGTCCCGAAGTAACGCTCTCCTGGACCCCGCCAACCTCCGACGGTGGGGCCCCCATCACCGGCTACTACGTGGAACGCCGGCAGCTGCCGAATAAGAAATGGGTACGGGATAGTGACACGATGGTCACCGAGACCACCACCACCGTGACGTCGTTGCTGGAACACCAAGAGTACGAATTCCGGGTGGTGGCGGAAAATAAAGCCGGCTTGGGACCGCCCAGTGTCGGCACCAGTCCCATCAAGATTAAGCCGTTGTACGAGAAACCGTCTCCACCGCAAAACGTCGCTATGGAAGTGAACAGTCCGAATTCGGTGATCCTTACGTGGACGCCACCTGTTAACGACGGCGGCACGCCGATCACGCATTATCTTGTGGAACGGAAGAACAGCGTGGACCTCACCTGGAAACCGGTACCAACTGACGTCACGGAGACGACCTACACCTTTGAAGATCTGAAACCAAAGAACGAGTATATATTTCGCGTGCAGGCTGTCAACAAAATGGGTCCTAGCGATAAAGCCGCATCACAGCCGGTGACACTGGAAGAGCCAAAACCGCCGGGTGAGCCACCGAAGATCACTCCCAAACAAGATAAAACCGTACCGGCTGTGGAAGGCGACGAAGTCGTGGTCCGCTTCGAAATAACCGGAATACCGGTGCCGGACATTTTCTGGAGAAAAGCTGGTAAAATAATCAAGACAAACGGAGACCGGGTAATGGCGGTGGAAGATAATGTCGCTACGTTGACCTTACCGAAAGCGGAACCGACCCACACCGCAACTTACACAGTCGAAGCGGTGAACGATCTGGGTAAAGACACCGCGGAATTCGTTATTAATGTCAAATCTCCACCGAAACTGGACGTTGATCAACCGGTGGTCCGGGTGCACAAGGGCGATTCCACTACGCTCAAAGCAAAATTCACCGGTACCCCAACGCCGACGATCACATGGACGAAGAACGACCAACCAGTGACACCGACAAAAGACGCAGTGCTCGACACGAACGGTGCCGCGACAAAATTAACCATTCGCAAACCAACATCCAGTGATTCCGGTGTATACACCGTAACGGCGACCAACGAAGTGGCCGAGGTATCCAAGACAGTGGAGTTGACCGTGGTCTCGCAACCCGACCAACCCACCGGTCCGATTCAAGTCACCAATATCCAACAATCATCGTGCCAGATCAGTTGGATCCCTCCGAAATTTGACGGGGGCGAACCCATAACCGAGTATCTTATTGAACGACGCGATGTCAAGAAATCGACGTGGGTCCGCGCTACCACCGTTAAGAGTGACGTGACCACCGCTACCGTGGAGGGATTAGTGGAAGGCAATGACTATATGGTGCGCGTCAGTGCGGTCAATAAGATCGGGCCCAGTGAGCCGCTGGAGACCGATAAACCGGTCTCACCCAAGAGCCCGTTCAGTGTTCCTTCGGCACCGCAAGGCCCCTTGGAAGCCACCGAGGTCAAACCCGATTCCATCACAATCCAGTGGCAGCCACCCGAAAACGACGGTGGCCAGCCTTTATTATCGTACAGTATCGAAAAGAAGGAGTATTTGAAACGTGCATGGACAAAGGTCACCGTGATCGATGCCACTAATACCACCACAACCGTGACGAAATTGACGGAAGACACGGAATATGAATTCCGCGTATATGCCATCAATCCGCGTGGAACGAGTGAGCCGTTGCAGACGGAGAAACCGATCAAGACTGGCCGATTGATCAATCCACCCAGTCAGCCGCAGGAAGTGACTGTCAGCAAGGTCACGTCCAGCATCATATCCTTCGAATGGCTGCCACCCAAAGACAATGGTGGCGCACCGCTGACGGAATACCGGTTAACGCTGATCGATACAACGAGTAATACGAAGAAGACCCGGACATCGAAACCGTACGAGACCAGCTACGAGACGACCGATGTCACCGTGGATCACGAGTATGTGCTGGAAGTGTGTGCGGTCAATAAAATCGATGCTGGTCCAACGAATTCCTCGACACCGACCAAAATCCCACCAAAAACCGGTATGAGTAAAAAAACGGGATATATCGCGTACCTAGGTAAAAAAAATTAAATATCTTTAGGTCCACCATCGTCACCAGTTGGACCGCTTCGTGCCGAACCCGGTACACCGGTTGACTCTACTCTGACGGTCTCCTGGCAGCCACCACTGGATGACGGCGGTGTGCCGCTGACCAACTACGTCCTGGAGATGCACGATAGCGTTACAAAGAAATGGCGTATGCTGTCAGAGCCGCAACCAGATACTCCGCAACATGATGCCAAATCTCTCCAGCCTGACCGCGACTACCTCTTCCGAGTGTCGGCACAAAATCCTGTTGGTATTAGCAAGCCATTAGAAAGTGAAGAGCCGGTCCGAATGGGCAAGCCAAAACCAGAGGGTAATTACTCCATACCATTTCTTCGCTTTTTTAACAAACAATGTTAGTCAGATCTAAATTAAAAATTTATTCTTTTGAAAATGTTGTTGAGATTCGTAAAAACTATGCTTTGCTAAAACAGCTTCATTATTTTTATTTTTATTTTCGCTAAAAATTAACACTCGTTTGTACGGGAATCATAATTTTATGATTCCGAAAAGTGGTTTCGCTGTCGAAAAATGAGTATTCTACGTTATATACTCGTAAAAGTATTTTTTTTAAGTTTATGGTTTGCTGATTGCTCTGCTTGCTTTACTTTTCACAAAGGTGTTATTACAGCGCCACCAGGTGATCTTCTGCATGTCGTGGACACCACCACTGACTCGGTGACCTTAGAATGGGAAGAATATGAGACGGACCAGGAGCCCACGTACTGCGTATATAAACGCAACACCGGTCGATCCACGTGGACAAAGGTCACAGAAACCAGGGCAAGGAAGGTCAAGGTAAAGGAGCTAACAAAGAATACGGATTATGACTTCAAGATCGCTTCCATCGTCGAAGAGAAGGAGTCTCCGCTGTTCGAAGTCACCGAAGTCCATACTAAGGATACGTGTAAGTTGTGCAAAAAATACTTACTCGTAGCTTGTGAAATTACGGTGCGTAATTCAATTTTATTTGTTTAAAATTAGCTGTTCCATCTGAACCACAACAAGCCACATTAACCGTTGACGAAAGCGGCTTCCCGGCCTTAACCTGGGTGGAACCCGCGACGGACGGTGGCGCCGAGGTTATCGGCTACCATGTCGAACTACGTAAAAAGGGTCACACGTCCTGGACACGTATCACCAAGGAAATCGTGCGAAAATGCCGTTATGTCCTGAAAGAACTGAAACCGGGCGATCATTTCGACGCCCACGTTGTGGCCATTAACGAGAAGGGCGAGAGTGAGCCCAGTAAACCACCAGTACCGGTATCGCTTCCCGAGAAGCCTGAGGAAAAACCAGAGAAGAAGGAAGAAAAACCGGTGAAGACTGAAAAAGGCACACCCCCCACGGTGACCGTCACGAAGCCCTTGGTCGAAAGCCCAGTGGGCAGTCCAGCCAAATTGGAAGCCACATTCACCGGCGAACCGTACCCGAAAGTCGAATGGTTTATCCAAGAGACCAAAGTGACGGAAGATCGTCGTATTAAGATCGAAGAACGAAAAACTACTAAGACAACGACTTTATCATTCTCGAAAACCGAAACGAAGGATACGCAAACGTACACGGTAAAAGTGACGAATCCGGCCGGTGAGGCGACCGCGGATGTTAAACTGCAGGTATTGACGAAGCCCGAGCCACCAACGGAAGTCAAGGTTGAAGAAGTGACCAAGGAAGCGGTGACGGTTGCGTGGGAGGAACCAACCGAGACCGGCGGACATCCGGTCAAGCATTACGTCATCGAGAAACGAATCGTCGGTAAGACGGCGTGGGCCAAGGTTACCACCACCACCGACACCAGGGTGGTGATTAGTGATCTGACAAAAGGCACGAAATATGATGTCCGCGTCCGGGCAGTGACCGATCAGGGTGACAGCACCAACGTGGAAGTGGGGCCAGTTGGACTGGAGGAGAAGCCCAAAGAGGAAGAAAAACCCAAGGAGAAAGAGAAGCCAAAACCGGAGGTGAAAGTGGAGAAAGCGCCTTCTCCGGAAGTGGTAGTCAAGAAGCCGGAAGTGGTCGAGTCGGTGCCGGAAAAGATGAAGCCGAAGGAGGAAAAGCCGGGAGTGGCGCCGACCCTCAAGGTTGACAAACCGAAGATCGAAAGTCAGCCGAATAAAAAGGTGGAATTATCCGCTAAATTCACCGGTGAACCGAAGCCTACAATCACATGGACGGTTAATAATACGACCGTGGAAAGCATGAAACGAGTGAAGGTCGTAACAGATGAGAAGACTTCGACGACCACAGTCACCATTTCATCGGTCGAAGCAACAGATGCCGGTGTTTACACCGTGACTGCCGAGAACCCGCTGGGCGTGACCGATGCGGAAGTCAGTCTTGTTGTTTTAACTAAGCCAGGTGCGCCCAAAGACGCCATGATCGAGGAAGTTACTCCGACATCACAAACGATCAGTTGGGAAGAACCAGAGGACACCGGTGGACATCCGGTTAAACAGTATGTTATTGAAAAGCGGTTGAAAGGAAAGACAAACTGGACGCGTGTGACCACCACAAAGGAGACGAAAGTCAAGCTGAAAGAACCGAAAGGCTCCGAGTTCGATGTCCGCATCAAAGCCGAGACAGACCAGGGTGAAGGTGCACCGGTGGAAGTTGGACCTATCAAAGTTGAAGAGCCGAAGAAACCGGTAGAGGAACCGCAGAGCACAAAGCCCCGCCCACGCCACCCACTGTCAAACTTGATCAAGAAACTGTGGAAATGCCGACAAACCAACCAATACAACTCGTCGCTAAGGTCACCGGGACACCGTTCCCCAGCGTAACATGGTCCGTGAACGATACACCCATTACGCCGTCTCGCCACGTTCGCATTGAGGAAGTACCAAAAGATGGAAAGGTCACGCTAACTATCCCGAAACCAGAGAAGAGCGACAGCGGAACTTACGCGGTTACAGTGAAAAACCCATCCGGTGAAGAATCGGTTATGGCTGAAGTCAAGGTGTTGGGTACAGCGGGACCACCAACCGCTGTAGAAGTGACGGAAGTTACGCCAACCCAGGCAACGATCGAATGGAAGAAGCCAACTGACGACGGTGGCGCCCCCATTAAACGTTACATCGTGGAGAAACGCCCAGTGACACGCACTGTCTGGCAAAAAGTTACCACGGTCACCGAGGAGACCTGTACCGTGGCTGAGCTGATACCCGGAACAAAGTATTACTTCCGTGTGCGACCGGAAACGTCGCAAGGAGAAGGTGATAATGCGGAGATTGGTCCGATCACCATCCCTGAAGAAAAACGAGAGCCCACGCCTGAAAAGCCAGCAGAACGAAAACCATCGAAGGTGTCGCCAGAAAAGGTCACGAAGCCTGTGGAAGAAAAGAAAGAACTACTCATGGAAGCGCCGACAGTGAAAGTGACCAAGCCGAAAGTGGAGACCCAGCCAACCAAGAAAGTTGAATTATCAGCGACTCTTACTGGACAGCCGAAACCAACCGTAGCGTGGAGCCACAACAGCGTCACTGTGACGGAAACTCGACGAACGAAAATCACAGTGGACGACAAGACTAAAACAACCACTCTGACCATTACGTCGGCAGAGACTACAGATGCCGGTACCTACACGGTAACTGTGGAGAATCCGGCTGGTGTGGCCGATGCCGAAGTCTCATTAGTTATACTAACAAAGCCCAGCGCACCACGAGATGCCATGATCGAGGAAGTAACGCCGACTTCCCAGACAATTAGCTGGGATGCACCGGAAGACACCGGTGGCCATCCCATTCAACAGTACATTGTGGAGAAGCGATTGAAGGGTAAAACCGTTTGGACCAGGGTAACCACAACCAAAGAAACAAAGGTCAAGCTCAAGGAGCCGAAGGGAACGGAGTTCGACGTCAGGATCAAAGCGGAAACCGACCAAGGCGAAGGCGCCCCGGTCGAAGTGGGACCCATCAAAGTGGAGGAGCCCAAGAAACCGGCGCCTGAAGAACCACAGAAGGCCCCAGCGAAAGCGCCAACGGTTACGCTACAGGAAGAAAGCGTCGAGGTACCGGTTGGTCAGCCCATTAAACTGGTTGCCAATGTTAGCGGGACGCCGTTCCCTACCGTGTTATGGTCCGTGAATGACACACCCATCACTCCGTCTCGGCATGTCCGAATCGAAGAAGTTCCGAAAGAGGGTAAGGTCATCTTGACCATCCCGAAACCAGAGAAAACCGATACCGGCGAATATGCGGTGACGGTGAAGAATCCAGCGGGTGAGGAAACCGCCAAAGTCAGCGTGAAAGTCCTCGGTCCGGCTAGCTCGCCAACCGATGTCCAAGTGATTGAAGTTCTGCCAAAGCAGGCGACGATCGAGTGGAAGAAGCCGAAGGATGATGGAGGATCGCCAGTGAAACGGTATATTGTGGAGAAACGACCGGTGACGAGGACGGTGTGGCAGAAGGTCACGACGGTGACCGAAGAGAGTTGCACTGTGGAGGAACTGATACCTGGTACAAAATACTACTTCCGGATTCGTCCCGAAACGACGCAGGGCGAAGGAGAGAATGCGGAAATTGGTCCGATAAGTATTCCCGACGAAAAAGGTAATACACGCGAAATATTTAATGTAAACGTGCAAATTTTCTCACCTATTAAAATATTTGGGAATGCAGTTACAATTCGAGTTTTGATGAATTAGTGCCATCCCGAAAACCATCTGTAATTGAAGAGAAGGTTAGGAAGCCGACGCCAGAAGAAAAGAAGCCGTCGCCCGAAAAAGCTGCCACTGCACCCACTCTCACAGTTGACAAGCCCAAGGTCGAAACCCCACCGGCAAAGAAAGTGGAGCTTTCCGCCAAATTCACCGGCGAACCCAAGCCCACGATCACGTGGACTTTCAACAACACCACAGTAACGGAGACCCGTCGCACCAAGATTACCGTCGATGATCGATCCAAAACCACTACGCTGACCCTTACATCCGCGGAAACCACCGACACCGGAGTCTACACCGTTACCGCGGAAAACCCAGCCGGTGTTACTGACGCGGAGGTCACTGTGGTCATCCTAACAAAACCGGGAGCACCACGGGACGCCATGATTGAAGAAGTGAAGCCGACATCGCAGACCATCAGTTGGGATGCACCCGAGGATACCGGAGGCCATCCAATCAAACAGTATGTCATCGAAAAACGACTCAAGGGCAAAACCATCTGGACGAAAGTGACAACAACCAAAGAAACCCGAGTCACTCTCAAAGAGACGAAAGGAACGGAATTTGATGTCCGTATTAAGGCGGAAACTGATCAGGGTGAAGGTCCGCCGGCGGAAGTTGGCCCGATTAAAGTCGAAGAGCCACCGAAGCCCAAACCGGTAGAACAGAAGGAGAAACCCGTTGCACCTTCTGTAACACTGGATCAGACACCTGTTGAAACCCCAGCCGGACAACCAATTAAACTCGTGGCGAAAGTTACCGGAACGCCTTTCCCGACGGTTACCTGGTCAATCAACGGCACTCCGGTTACACCATCACGACATGTTCGTATCGAGGAAATTCCCAAAGAAGAAAAGGTCATTCTTACTATCCCGAAACCGGAAAAGGAAGACACTGGCGAATACACTGTGACCGTCACGAACCCATCGGGAACGGAAACCGCGAGTGTCCCGGTGACCGTGATCGGGAAAGCCGGTCCACCGGAAGAAGTCACAGTTACAGAAGTTACTCCAACATCCGCAACGCTCGAATGGAAGAAACCGAAAGATAACGGCGGTGCAGCGGTCAAACGGTATATCGTCGAGAAGAAGCCGGTTACCAGGACCGTATGGCAGAAAGTGACAACGGTTACCGAGGAGACGTGCACGGTGGAAGATCTGCAACCGGGAACCAAGTATCATTTCCGTGTGCGGCCGGAAACATCGCAAGGCGAAGGGGACAACGCGGAAGTCGGACCCGTCTCCATTCCTGAACGCGAAGAACGAAAGCCCTCGTTGAAAGAACCGGAAAAGGTCAAAGAGACGCTCGAAGAGAAGCCGGTCGCCAAGAAACCGGTTGAAGAAAAACCGAAGACAGTGCCATCGGTTACCGTTGACAAACAGTCCATTACATTACCCGATGGGCAGAGCGTGACCTTCACTGCCAAGTTTTCCGGTGAACCGAAACCCGAAGTCACCTGGTTGCTTAACGGCAAGCCGCTGCCGACCAACGCCCGAATTCGAACCGACGTCAACACCCGAACTAACACGGCAACACTAACAATTACTAACACTAACCCTGACGATTCAGGAACGTATACAGTAGTTGTTAGAAATGAAGCTGGGGAAGAAACGGCAGATTGTAGTTTGAAGATCGTTACCAAACCCGGTGCACCACAGAACTGCACCGTCACCGATGTCACCACCACCGGCGCCACCATCAAATGGGACGCTCCTACCAACGACGGAGGCTCACCGATTAAACACTACGTTATTCGCAAGAAGCAGTCAAATCGCACAACCTGGACCAAAGTGACTACCACCACCGACACAACCGTGGTTGTCAAAGATTTGGAGAGAGGTGTGACCTACGATTTCCGTGTATCAGCGGAAACCGACCAAGGAGAAGGCGCGCCGGTCGAAGTGGGACCGGTCACTACCGGCAAGGAGAAGGAACAGCCGGTAACCGCTAAGACTGTCGCGTTACCAACAGTTACCATCAAGAAGCCAGTACAGGAGATACCGGTTGGACAGCCTGTTGAGGTTGAAGTAACTTTCACAGGTGAGCCTCGTCCGACGCTGACCTTTGCCGTGGATGGACAAGCGATTGTTCCATCACGTCGCATTAAAGTGGACGAATCGCGACGGGAGCCCAAAGCGACCTTTATCATCACGAAGACCGAGCCGACGGATTCCGGGACCTATACGGTGACAGCGAAGAACGAAACCGGAACCGTATCGGCAGAGTTCACGCTGAAGGTTCTACGAAAAGCCGGCCCACCACAAGACGTAACGGTGACGGAAGTGACGGATACCAGCGCGACGATTACATGGGGCGAGCCAAAAGACGACGGTGGCAGTCCTGTTAAACACTATTTAATACAAAAGCAGGTTATCGGACGATCGTGGACAAAAGTCACCACAATTACGGACAAGACAGTGACGATCACTGACTTGTTGCAAAATACGAAGTACAACGTTAGAGTGATACCGATAACGGAGCAAGGTGAGGGTGAAGCGGCTGAAGTTGGTCCAGTAACTCCAAAAGGTAAGCTGCAATGCAGAACAATTGATGTCGCAAAATATATCTTACTAATTTCGTTTCGGACAAATACTTTTCAGAACAAAAACGCGAAGAACGTAAACCCAGTTTGAAACCTGAAGTAACCAAACCTGAAGTGAAACCGACCATCAAAATCCGCAAACCTCAGCAAGAAATCCCAGTGGGTCAATCCGTCGATGTGGAGGTGACGTTCACCGGTGAGCCACGTCCCACGGTGACCTTTAGCGTCAACGGCACCGTAATTGAGCCATCGCGTCACGTGAAAATCGAGGAAGCCCGGCGAGATATGAAGGTGACCTTTACCATCCCTAAAACGGAAATATCTGATTCGGGAACGTACACCGTGACCGCGACTAATCCAGCCGGCACCGTCAGTGAAGAATTCACGCTGAAAGTTTTGACCAAGGCAACCGCTCCACAAAACCTCGAAGTTACGGAGGTGACCAACACTTCGGCGACCATTACATGGGATGCGCCGGAGAGTGATGGTGGTACGCCAGTGACGCACTATATCATTCACAAGCAGGTGGTAGGTCGCACGTGGACCAGGGTTACAACGACGCGAGAAACCACGTTCACTTTTACGGATTTCATGAAAGATACGAAATATAACGTTAAGGTTACACCGGTGACGGACCAAGGGGAAGGCGAAGCGGCCGAAGTGGGCCCAGTAACATTGCAAGGTAAAACTAAAATAGGTATCGCATTTTTAAAATGATTTTATGCTGCCAGAATATAAATGCGGCCTAACTTGAAGGCAATAAATAAAATTAGAAATGCTGAGATATAACTAAACAAAATAAATAAATTAAAATGCACAAATAACATTTAGTAAATTAAATTACAAATTAATAAAATTAAATATATTGGCTTTTCTTGTAGTGCCAGAAGCGAAAGAGCGTAAACCTAGTCTGAAGCCGGAAGCAGGAAAAACCACGGAAACTCCTAAAGAAGAGGCACCTGAAGCTGCCGGAACGACGCCCACGATTAAGATCCGCAAACCGGCCCAGGAAGTCACCTTGGGTCAGCCCGTTGAGGTAGAGGTGACATTCACCGGCGAACCGCGTCCCACTATCTCTTATTCTGTCAACGGTGAAGCCATTCTCCCATCGCGTCGCATCCGCACAGACGAACCCAAGCGAGAGATGAAGTCCACGTTCACAATCACCAAAACCGAGTTGACCGACTCCGGCACGTACGTTGTGACCGCCACCAGCCCCGCCGGCACCGCCACAGCCGAATTCACGCTGAAAGTCTTAACAAAGTCTGGACCACCTCGCAACGCTGAATTCACGGAGATTACTGAGACCAGCGCAACCATCACTTGGGATAAACCGGAGAATGATGGCGGTGCGCCGATCAAGAATTATGTCGTGTATAAACGGATTGTCGGGAAGTCGTGGCAACGCGTAGTGACAACGAAGGAAACCACCTACACATTTACTGATTTTACGCAGAACACGCGATACGAAGCGAAAATCGTCCCGGTCACCGATCAGGGTGATGGAGAAGCCGCCGAAGCGGGACCGGTGACGTTGAAAGAGGCTCCGCCCAAACGGAAACCAAGTGTCCGAGACGAGGTCACGGTAGAGGAACCGAAGAAGAAGCCTGAGAAAGTAGCCACCATCCCGACACTGCGCATTCGCAAACCCCTGGAAGAGGTCCCAGCCGGATCGACCGTGAACGTCGATGTGACCTTTACCGGCGAGCCACGCCCGTCCGTGGCATTTTTCCGCAACGGTCAGCCACTTACCGAATCCCGAAAGCTGCGCATTGAGGAATATCAACGCGATTTGCGCGTCACGTTTTCTTTGAGGAAAGTCGATATAGAAGACTCCGCGACGTATACGGTCACCGCCACGAATACTGCCGGGGAAGTCAGTGAAGAGTTTACACTGAAGGTACTAACCAAGCCAGGACCACCGGAAAAACTGGTAACCGAGGAAATCAAGTCGACATCCGTCACCTTGACCTGGTCACCGCCGGCGTCGGATGGCGGTCGACCGGTCACGCAGTACAATATTTATAAACGTGTCTCCGGACGGCAGTCGTGGCAGAAAGTGACGACCACCAAATCCACCACGGTGACGACAACAGTCACCGAACTTCTGCCGAACTCTTTAAACGATTTCCGGGTTACTGCTACAACCGATCAAGGCGAAGGAGAGGGAGTGGAGCTGATCGCTGTACGGACAGCGGCGCCGGCACCGGAAGAAGGTAAACCACCTAAACCAGTGCGACCCGGTATGGTGGAAGAAGCGCCGGTGAAGGAAGCTGCCAAACCAGTGGCTACCAAACCGACCATCAAAGTTGACAAGACGACGGTTACATCGAATATCAATCAACTGGTGCAAGTAACCGCCACGTTCACCGGTGAGCCACGTCCGACCGTTACCTGGTACCGCAACGATGAAGTCATCACAGAAACCCGGCATGTCTACATCGAGGAGCGCAAGCACGATATGGTGTCTACGTTAAATATTGCGCGCACTGAACTGACAGATAGCGGCACGTACAGAGTGACCGCTAAGAATGAGACCGGCGAAGCCAGTGCGGAATTAACGATCAAGATCGCAACGAAATCGGGGCCACCAGTGGATCTGACTTTGTCCGAAGTAACCAGCACGTCGGTGAATCTAAACTGGAAGCCACCGAAAGAGACAGGTGGTACACCGATCAAGCACTACATCATCGAAAAGCGCGTTACCGGCCGGCAAACCTGGCTGAAAGTGGTAACGACCACCGACACCACGATCACCATTATGGAACTAACGGAGAACACCGGATACGAATTCCGCGTTAAAGCGGAAACCGACCAAGGCGAGGGTGAACCGGCGGAAGTGGGCTGTGTTACACCAAGATCCAAGGAGAAATCACCGGTCGATAAGAAAGCCGGTAAAGCGGAACCGGAAGCCGTCGGCCCCACCATCAAGATCAGTAAAGGCGACATCCAGGTGGGCAGCAACCAAGTCATGCAGGTGGACGTTACGTTTACCGGACAGCCACGCCCCAAAATAACATGGACATTCAACGGGCGCCCGTTGGTGGAATCCCGGCGGATGCGCGTGGAAGAGCGCCGCTCGGAGATGGTGGCGACGTTCTCGATTAAAAAGACGGAATTATCGGATTCCGGTGTGTATACTATCACGGCTAGCAACAGCGCCGGAGAAGCCAGTACCCAGTTGACTTTGAAAGTCCTCACTAAAGCGGGACCACCAACAAATTTAGTTATCACGGATATTTCTCCAAAGACCGCCGACCTGAAGTGGGATGCCCCGTTGAACGATGGTGGCAGCCCGGTGACGCAGTATATCGTGGAGAAGAGGAGCGCCGGGCGGACGACGTGGATGAAGGTCACGACGGTTAAGGAGACGCAGTGTACCGTCAAGGATTTGATCCAGGGAAGTAAATTTGAATTCCGCGTCAAGGCCGAGACCGACCAGGGCGAAGGCGAACCAGCGGAAGTGGGGCCGGTGGTTGCTGATTATTCATTCGGTAAGAGACATTTGCAAATGGTCCCGTTTTGGAATGGTCACGTTTATGATCCAACCTTATTTTATATGTTGCGTTAGTTGGTTTTACAACGAGTGCGCAATAAACTGTGTTGTATTTACAGATGTGCCATCGGCTCCCGCTCCACCAAAGGTCACCAACATTACACCGAAATCCGTATCCTTATCCTGGGAACCACCTTTTAAAGACGGCGGTAGTCCCATCACTGGTTATCACATCGAACAGCGCGCCGGCAAATCCACCTACTGGCGCCGAATAACCAAGACCACCGTTACCGTGACCACGCACGAAGTCACCGAAGTAGTCGAAGGGGAACAGTACGAATTCCGCGTTATTGCCGAGAACAAGAAAGGCCTTAGCCAACCCAGTGAACCGAGTGAACGTGTCAAGATTCCGGCGGCTCCGGTGGAACGCAAACCACCGAAACCGGAGGGACTGCTCAGACCACGAGTCAGCGCATCGCCCGCACCCGGTCGCCGCGACTTCCGTGCACCTTCCGAATTGTCAAGCCGAGCACCGTCACGTGAACGCGAACTCAGTGAGACCATCGGCTCGGATCTCGACATGTCAGATGAAGAAGCGGAAATGCCGGAATTCGAGGAGAACATGAGCCGGCCACAGTTCACCCGGCTGCTGGAGGACGTCCGTTGCACGGAAGGGGAGATGGTCGCCCTGACTTGCGAGATCATCGGCAACCCGGCGCCCACTACCCTGTGGTATAAGGATGGTGAAGTCATCCGGGAGAATATGGGATACCAGCAGATCGCCAACGAGAAGGTCCACAAGCTTCTCATTCGAGAGGCCTTCGTGGAGGATAGTGGAACATACAAAGTGGTGGCACTCAATGCCGCCGGAAAGGCCGAATCTAGTTGTAAGCTAAAAGTCAAACACCGCGAGCAGGTGGAGGACCGTGGCGCCGGAAAACCGCCGAAGATCGTGCAGCCGTTGGTCGATAAGGTCGTTAGCGAACGGGACCAGATCTATCTGGAGGTCAAAGTAGAATCGCAGAGTTTTGTCACATTCAAATGGTCAAAAGACGGGCAGGAGATTTCAGAGACCGATACGAAATATAGCATTAAAACCATTGGACGGATATCGTACCTGGTTATCAATAACTCAAAATCCGTTGATACGGGACGATATATGTGTACCGCACAGAATGTATCCGGAAATGCCAATACTTCTGCCAGTGTCACAGTTCAAGGTATGGTAATTTCATGATTTCCTGAAGAACTGTTGCTATAAAAAAGTTTTATGTCTTGACGTTTGAAATATTTTTGCCATTACAGCATTACCGGCAAAGAAAGCAGAAGTTACTCAAGAACCTCCAACCTTTATCCGACCATTGGAAGACACTCAAGTCCGCGAAGGCGACTCCGTGACTTTGGAATGCGACTTCCGTGGAGTCCCCATCCCTGAAGTAACTTGGTACTTCCAAGGCCGGAAGATCTACAACAGCACCACGCGGCGCATCGTCTCGGAAACCACCCACACGAAACTAACGATTCTCGAAGCGACCCTTAACGATGCCGGTGAATATACTGTGGACATCCGCAATCCGGCCGGTACGAAGAAGACCGCCGGCAAACTGACCGTCCGACCAGCCCTACCTCGGGAGCCGCCTAAGATAGAAGGTGCCGCCCCGCGGGTCATCGAACGCCTGGCCGATGTGGAGATCATGGAGGGCTTTGATATCAGTCTCAGTTGCAAGATTACAGGCGACCCGCAGCCCAAGGTTCAGTGGCTGTTCGATCGGAAACCCATAACCAGCTTCTCCGAACGGATCCAGATGGTCAGCACGGAGCACGGCAAGACCTTTATGCTGGTTATCAAGAACGTCACGCCGGCTGACCTCGGCATCTATTCGTGCAAAGCGACTAACGAGCACGGAGAGGCAACTACATCGGCGTTCCTGAATGTCTTAGCCGGTGAGCGCTTCATCGAGATGACTGACAAACATGCACCCATCAGCGCCCCACATATCACCCGCGGTCTACGGGACACGGAGGTCATCAAAGGAGAAAGTCTCCAGCTAGACTGTCGCGTACAATGCGATTCCGAATATTACGTTCACTGGTATAAAGACGGTATTGAACTTGGTTACGAAGATCACCGTATCAACCGCTACCAGCTGCCCAATGGAAAAGTCAGTCTGGAGATCCGCGATTCCACGCTGAAAGACACCGGTTACTATAGCGTGACGGTTTATAACGGTGCCGGCAAAGCTACATCATCCGCACAGGTCACCATTGATGCGCCACGCTTTGCCGCCGAACCGCGACGTAGTATTGACGAGATTCGGTTAGAAGACCGCCTGCGGCGCCGTATACAACGCATCCACGGCATGCCGCCGCAACCCATTGAAGAAGCCCCACAGGTCGTCAGTCACGCTCCGGGCTACTACAATGTCGCATGGGAACCGCGTCCCTCCGAGTTTGAACCGCACGTTCCGACGTTCTACGTCATTGAGATGCGCAGTAAAGCGGATGCGGACTGGGTACGAGTCCAGCAAGGCATCACGTCAAACCTGATTACGGTGCAAGTGCAACGTCCCGATGAAGATTATTTCTTCCGCATCCGCGCAGAGAACATCCACGGCACCAGCGAACCCTCCCCGGTGGCGTTTACCAAACACGAAGCTGATGTGGACACACGCACCAAGTTCGTCCTCTTCGGCACGGAAAAGAAAGCACCGGTGCGGGCAGCCCATCCCATCTACATCCCGTACCATGAACATCTCCACGCCGACTTTTCCGCGCAGTTCGAGCATGAAGAATTCGGTCAGCCGCCCAAGATCTTCTCCAAAGCCCCGGAAATCCAGTACGTCCCGGAGAATCATCCAGTCATGCTGGAAGCCTGGGTATCCGGGCATCCGACACCGTTGGTCAAGTGGTTGTTCAAAGGAAAGGAAATCACCACCGGCGGCCGCTACACCACCCGTGTCAACGCTAGCGGTCACGTGCAACTGTTGATTGACCGTATGACCTTAGCCGATGCCGGGGAGTATCTTGTTCTGGCCCAGAACAAATCCGGTCACCACGTCCATCCCATCCGCATCGACGTGGCCGATCCACCGGTCTTCATCGAGCCGATGATCGATACCACCATTGTCGCGAAACGCTCGGCGCGATTCGACTGCCGCGTGGATGGGACGCCGTTCCCGGAGATCCGCTGGATGAAAGACTGGGCGACGGTGGTCGACAGCGCCCGGATTAAAATCGAACACGCACCGGGCGGATACACGTCTTTAATCATCACCGACGTGTTGGCACGCGATGCCGGATTGTACACGTGCGAAGCGAAGAATGCCGCCGGCACCGCGCTCTGCACCATCAGCGTCCATGTCGAGCAGCATGCCACGACCTACGCCGACACGGACGTGTTCATCCGACGTATTCGGCCCAAACGCAAACGCCTAACCGACTTCTACGATCTCCATGAAGAGATTATGCGCGGTACCCAGGGTGTGGTTAAACGGGTTGTGGAGAAATCGTCCGGCAAAGCGTACGCCGCAAAGATCTCGTTTGCCGAACAGAAAGACTTCCCCATGCTGGAAAATGAATTACATATCCTTAACGAGCTCAGTCATCCTAATATCATTGCGGTACACGATGCCTTCGAAGGCACAAAATCGATGACGGTTATCATGGATTATGCACGCGGTGGTAACATTGTCAATCGGTTGACCAGCCGCAAAGCTTACACCGAGCGACAAGTCGCGGCGATCATCCGGCAGGTGGTGGAAGCACTGGAACACATGCACAGCAAAGACATTCTCCATTTGGACATTAAACCCGAAGACATCATCTTCGCCACACCGGACGGTGACCGCATCCGCCTGGTGGATTTCGGTCTGGCGCACAAACTGCGCCCCGGTGAGCGGTACATCAGTGAATTCGGTCACCCCGAATTCATCTCGCCGGAGATCGTGAATAAGCAGCCAGTGACCGCCGCCTCGGATATGTGGAGTGTCGGAACGTTAACGTACTTGCTGTTATCAGGCCGATCGCCTTTCTTAGGAGAGACCGACCGCGACACGCTTTTCAACGTACAAACCGGCACTTGGAATTTCGATCATGCTTTCAGTAATATCAGTCAGGAAGGAAAAGATTTCATATCACAACTGCTAAAGATGGATCCCGGACAGAGAATGTCAGCTGATAATGCGCTGAGTCATCCCTGGTTGATTGACCGTGCGGATCAGGGTTACATCAAAGTGGACAGTGGTCGGTTAAAACAGTACCAATTACAACGACGCGAGAAGTTGATGCGAGCGGTTGTACATAAATTCGCTCGCTTCAGACCGATCCATGCCGCATTAATCCATCCACAGGTAAAAGCTGATACGATTTATATGCTGTTTCGCTTGCTAATGCATTGTTTCGTAGGGAATACTGTATCCACCGGAAGTCGAGACGTATGATGAGTTCGATACCCGCATGCGGTCACCATCACCTGAACCGGTAACATGGACAGATATGCAACGTTCCCGCCGAGGATCCACGCCTTTCGGAGGCGCACCAGATGAGATTTCCGTCAGTTCCACTGGCAGCGGTGGTTTGAAAACGGCCACCGATTCTAACTACCAACAAGGTCCGGATTCGGAGTTACTGCAGCTTCGTGACCCTGATTTACCGGTATGCGCACAATCCTCAAGCACTGTACTCATATGGCGTAAGCGAGGTACAAAGATATAGAAACGATTTTTGTAGGTTCGTATTCGTCAGTATCGTCGTATGGCAATGGATCCAAAGGGCATCGCCAGCGTCAAAAGTCAGATGGAGTTTAAGATGTGGGGCTACAAACCCGCCGTGAAAGAACGTCGTCGCATGCACGATGTCGTTGACGAGGAAGGCACGGCCGCCGTGCAAGAATACGCTGCCGAACGGTTCGCCGCCCGACGTAAACAGAAACGCGTGCAGATGGAACAAACCGAGAACTTCCCGCCGGTCTTCCGGGAGAAACTCAAGGATCTCGCTTTCGCTGAAAACAAATCCCTCGTTCTGCGGGTAGTCATCGACGGCAACCCGGAACCGAAGATCACCTGGTACCGCAACGAAGCGCCCCTGGAGCGCAATCCCCGCACCAGTCTCCATCATTCCGCGGAAACCGGCGTCTACACGTTGAACGTGTCACCGGCACTGGCCAGTGATGCCGGTGAATACAAATGTATTGCCCGCAACCGCCTCGGCGAAGTAGCTTGCCGTGCCCGTATCGAAGTGGGCACGCCACCCGATCCACCGGGCTGGCCGATTGTCGAGAAGGTTGGCCATGATCACGTGCACATTCATTGGGAGTATCCGTCTTTCGATGGTAACAGCGAGGTCCTGGCGTATAAAGTGGAATACCGCAGTCGTAACGATAACAGCTGGAATACGTACAGTGAAGAGCTGATTAACGAAAAGGTCACCGTGCGGAATCTCCAGCCGGGAACATTCTACCGCTTCCGGGTGGCAGCGCATAACATCTTTGGCTGGAGTAATTCTAGTTATTCGTCGGAAGAGATCCGCACACTGCGACCGGATGATCTCCATGGACACGATTTGGATCTGCAAGCCAGTACCAGTCTGGCCTCGCCCCAAGTTGTTCCGCACCACACGCATATTCGGCGGCCGTCGGGAACGGAAACGGCTTCCCCGGTTGGTCGGAAACCGGTGGAGAGAATGCCCGGATCGTTCGAGAAAGTTTCGGTCTCGATGAGCGAAGGCGATCCGAATGAAGTTTACGATTTCCGAAAGGAAATTGCACGGTAAGCCGTCATACAAAAATAATGTTCTCGAGCAATACTCATGAAACACCAGCTAATTTTCCTGATTAAAAAGTTATTATTTCACCAAGGTTATTATTTAATTGAGAAGTATTATACAATTTAAATTTATTTAAGGTAAAATGTTTAAAAAATAAAATTTGTTTTCCCAACAGCGGTCAATATTCCGTAATATTCCGATGTATGGACCGCAAAACCGCCAGTATATACGCCGCCAAGGTCATCGATTCCTTCGCGCCGGACGCTCTAAATGAATACGAAACCTTGCGTTCCCTCAAACACGACCGTATCGCCGAGCTGTACCGAGCCATGCGCATCAACAACGAGTACATGGTGCTGATCATGGACAAACTTGACGGCATGGACATCTTAACCTATCTGTGCCAGCGTGACCAGTATTCGGAAGAGGACGTCTCCGTTATGATGCGTCAAACGCTAGATGCCCTGCAGTATCTCCACCTTCTGGGCATTGCGCATCTCAACCTGCAGCCGGACAACATTGTACTGGAGACACCGTGGAAAGCTAGCATTAAACTGATTGACTTCGGCTCAGCCCGACGTGTACCGGTGGAGGGCGTCATTGTGCACAACCTGACGACACCATTAGAATACCGAGGTACTTGACTACATATCATATATCAAGCTTGTGTTGCAGTTTTTCACTGATTCATCTTTTTTAGCTCCTGAGATTGTTAGCGACCGTTTGACCGGCGTCCAAGCGGACATTTGGAGCATGGGCGTTCTTGTTTTCATTCTGTAAGTAATACAACATTATAATCCGCCGATGGTTAATTCAAAATGGGTTTCTCATTTTTTGTCATGTTTCTAAAGGTTAAGTGGTGTGTCACCTTTCCGCGGAGAGGATGACGAAGAGACTACGATGAATATCCGATTTGTTCGATACCGAATTGCTGAATTGTATCATGGTCTGACGGCGGAAGCTTCTCGCTTCATAATGCAAGTTCTCAAAGCAATTCCTGGGTAAGCAACACCGTAACTTTCGGCCAATGATAGCCGAAGTTTGTGACGTCTTGGTGTCGTCTACTTTACGTGTTGTACCGATTAAATTCTTATGTGCATATATTACGATAATCAGTGATTATGCATAACTGATTCTTCTAATCCGCCAAACAAATTGTGCGCTAGTATTTATACATAGGAGTAATTTTTTTTATTATTATTACTCGGATGATTGTTTATACAAGCGTTATAACATTGTTAGAAATCGTCTGACGGTGGACGAATGTCTGGAGCATCGCTGGATCACCCCAACCGAGCTCAACGTGATTAAACGCGAGAAGACCGTCTTCAATGTAATGCGATTGTCGCAGTTCCGTCGCGACTACGAGATGCATCGCCAGCGCCGGCAACTGGCCTCGGACACCATCGCACAACTGTTCCGCCCGTCCAGTCCGCCGAGCAGTGCCGTTAGCGAAAGTGTCCGTCTGTAAACTGAATCCTGGAAGTGCTCATTCTTACAAACTCCGAACCGTTAAAATGCAACCAATAGAATGCTGGCTTATTCTCATTGCAACCCTTGCATAAAATTAGTGTTTTTGTTTGCTTGCTATGCTGCAATTTCCGGCCATTTTTGTTGGCTTGGAAGAATTCTAGAGGCTGTATGTGTTGTAAAGAGCTATTGTAATTTATGTATCATGGAATTTTTATCCGCTTAATTTGCCTAATTTTATAGCTTGTTTATTATGCAATAAAACTAATATAATACAATCAATACAGTCGATTACCGTAATTTAATAGTCGAATCGAGCATACCATATTGACTTTGGATTCCAATGAATCAGCCATTTTGAAAAATTCATGCAACAACGTTCATATCATTCTATCAGAAAGCGCTCTCATATTACGCATTATACTACAGTACGTAACATGAAGTACAAGGGTACTTTAAAGAAAGCGAATTTAATTACCTTTTTAAAACCGAATATTTCTAAAACTCGACATTTTTGAAACCCGAAATCGACCCGGCTTTGCGACCCATTATCTGGAAAATATTATCAGATTCTGCAGAATCATTGTCATAATACTCGTATGTAGTATCATGAGTACCACTTAATATATAGGTAAATTATACGAGTAAATGTTTCCGAAACGTGTTTCTCGGTAGACTGCACAATGCGCACCGGTAAACGCATTTCGGAATTAATTATGCCAAAACACCGTCTTGCGAGATAATTAAGATTAAAATCCTTTGTGCGGCAGAATAGCCGTTGGGTGTTCGGTCAAAGCTAGCAAGAACGGGTTTAAATGTTTGCCGCGCCATTACCACACCTTTATTTCGTGAAATTTTTTGACCGTCTTGTCTGCATTTTAAGTAGGCAGCGGCCGCAGCCTGAGCAGAAATGTAGGTATTTGCGTCGTCCACAAGATGATACAAAGTTACTGCACTACTTTGGTGTGCCTGCAACCTTTGCAATGGTCGTTTGTAGCGTACGTTGTCCGCTGTGAGTTGCCGTTGCGAATGCTGCAGCTGACACAAAGCACCAAAACATCCCGTCTAATAATGTTCAAGCAAGAACGTTAATTTTTGCTGCTTAAACTACAGAGCACCTCTGAAGCTTTGATTGGAAATGTAAGAAAGCATCATTTTGCATTAGCAGTCGTCCGGAGCCAGTAGGTCTGCAACATTCCTTTGCCTTTGACATGGATGGTGCCGCGTTCTTCGGTGTGCAACCTGGAGTACTTTCTTAGCAAATCCGCGCAAGATTTGCTAATATGCACTCTCCCGTCTTCGCCACTGCTCATCATTCTGCTGGCGGTGTTTATGGTGTCACCAAACCTAACCGCATCGAATCCGTTTTAAACCTTCCGCAACACCAGAACAACGGATTCGCTTACAAACAATATCGTGGAGCTTTGCGACCCACAACGCCGGCAGCCACAGCTCCGCTATGTATCCCCGCCCGCAAAGTGGTAGTTGCGTTAAAGCACAGTGCAAACATCGTAGAGTACGCGGCCATCATCGACACGACCAAACAGCATATTTCATTGGCATGCCGCTCTTCGTTCCTCCTCGGCACGCCGCTGGACACCTACGTAAAGGTCATGACCAAAAGCCTACTCCGATGATTATTCAATCTGCAACTCTGCATTTACCAGGTACGATTCTTTGATCGTTTCCACTTTGTACACATCGTACTGATCCAGCAACTCGTCGAATTTCATAAACACCTGCATCAGATGATTGGCAACGTGTAACGAGTAACGTGATATGCAGCGGCGATTTATATTTGTTCGAGTACCTCATTTAGAAATACCATAGCTTCTTCAGGCTCAGTCTGGTAAAGAAGAGTGCCGAATCCAGCAATTTCGCTGCATTTAAAACGATCGCAGAAGAAAATACAGTTTGTGCGTATTACTTGTATTGTTACAAATACTGTAGGTCACTTACACGAACATAATCGTTGTAGAAGTGTAATATGCTGCTTCCGGTGTGTTGCCTTTTCTAAGTTCATCCACGACCTCACTACAAACCGGCACTTGTGACATCTTTTGTAAATTATGCTAACTCCATTGCAACTGACCTTGGAAGCATGGCCCACAATAAGTAATCGCATCGCTTTCGTTCTTCCAAGAGGTCGTGCGTGCGCATTGCCACTTGGTGGTCCAGTTCGTCGGTGTAGGCTTCCAGACGCCGAATAATTCGCTGCGTCAAGGAGGATCCTTTGGCATAACTTCGTAGGACAGTGGTAACCCGATTAACCAGACGGTGGATGTCAGGCCGGCGCGTTGGGTCGTCGCTCCAGCATGACGAGAAGATTGGCAACAGGGCAGCCAACCGTCCTATGGGAAAGCTTTTTCTCTGGGTCAGAGATTTTTCCACTGACACTAGCGGCACAAATCCAACAGGTTAGTATTGAGTATCGACTTTACTAGTCAAAAATACACAGCACCAATTGCGCAGAATAGTAACGCTAACCTAAATTCGTAATGGTCTCGAAACTTTCATCTTGAAATATGATCTCCAGTGCAATACGCGCAATCACTGTTACATCATTTTTCGCCTGTGCAGTCGGCTTATCCTTTTTTCCCTGGATGAGAGTTCCATTTTTCAACATATCCCGGGAATAAGAATATCGTAACTGATGGAAGCCAACGGCTCCGAGTTTCAGAGTGAAGTGACTGTCGATCAAGCAACAGCGAGCGCTGAGGTGGCCGTGACATTGAAGGGCCGATCGGTGAACTGCCTGCAGGCCCTGTACGATAACGTCACTTAGCATATTCGTAACGTACTCTGTACCTCCCTGATCAATATACCTACCTTCAGCGCATCCAGTATCAAACTGGCTTGAAAATCTACATCTAAGGTCATCCTGCTGAGCAGTTCTGGTAGACTTCCACGAGTACAGTATTCCGATACCAGATAGCAAAATGTCGGTGTTGCGGTCACGCCGATTAGACGGTTAATGTTGGGGTAGTGTATCGCCATTACCTTCAGTGCCACATTGCAACCATCGGAACATTTTGTGCTGGACGATGCGTTTTTGTACGTACGTTTTTCAACAATCTGAACATTGATCGATTTAGAACAAGTCGAGTAGAAGTTTGATGGCCACGGTTGTCCGATATTAATGGCATTGCACCCAACGCGGACAAATACACCAGGCGGTGCTCTGCGATGTACAGGAGGACTTCTTCGTGTTGGTTTTTAATTTCTGGCTAAAAAATCAAAATTTCCCCATAAACCAAAGGGTACGGAACAACAACTGCCAGTAACTGTTGTTCTCATACTTGCTGCAAATGATCATCTGGAATCTCCCATGAGAAGGCATTCATCAGATCTCGAAGTCTGGCTCGCCTGTTTTAAGTAATATGAATCTTACGCTAATTATTGCTGAAAAACGCATTGTGTCATATCTTTTTGGAGCAGGAAGGGCGACGTAAACGCACCTTAGATAAATCGTGGTGACAGTGATCACGACCAGAAGCGACATCAGAACGGAACCGTTAATCGTTGCTAATCTACCTGAAAGAAAGACAGCATCAACAGTCTGCAATAAATCCTGTGGAAACAAGAACTGCTTTTTGTGCAGAATATTAACCATACCTTGAGGTAGGCATCCTCGAAATCCACATCCAGGTACGTCAGGAGGAGGCCAACGGCTGGGCCATTGTGGCTCTGCGACGACATCCAGTGTCATGCTGCCGGCTCGTTGTACGAAAAGCGTCTAGACACAAATTGTTGACCACTTAAAGTGATCACAGATGATAAAATAGCGAACTACCTATGTACCCGAATGGCAGAACTGTTCCAGTCTAAGTGATTGACGTTGATCGTAGGATCGCGCTGTCCACTGGGATCGATGTATGTCTCTCCCAGGTCAGTAAGAAATGAGCGGTTCATGAACTGCCTGGCCAGCTCTTTCCCTGACTGCCATACTTCTTCTTTATCCGATATGCGCAAATCTTCCATCACCTGGGGAAACGTTATAGTAGCAAAATTAAAAAGATCTGAAAGGCACACTACATAGTTTGTGGGTCGATCCCAATTATTTACCTGCGCCAGTATAGTCAAGGAGTTATAGGTTCCCGCTACATGCGGCGTTACCTGCAATTGAAATTCCAAAACTTTTATAAGCGTAGTACTGTGATGAAAAGCTTCAATTACAAATTTACAGTAATTAGCTTTTACCGGCTCGAAGGGTTTATAAGTGTAATTGTAGTCCACTTGGGAACGGTTAAGTACGTCCGCATAATACTTTTCCTGTACATCCGATGTCGTACTGCCGTACACCGAGTTATCCGGCTCGATGATCAGGACGGATCGATAAGCGGCTCGCGCCATATTGTCATCCTTATCACGGTTTTCCCATGTCAGGTAGCCGGCGCCCGGTCTGTTAGTAAATCTAAAGGGCGTCATGACGACATACACCTATTAAGACCTGGACAATTTGATTTTTTCGAATAATTTCTTTGAGCATTCATCTTAATTAAGCCCTTACGTGTTCCCCTTTAACCATGTCCAGTTCCCACGCTTTTACCTGCAAAACAGAATTTCGTCTTCCAGATTTTGTTCACGTGTGCTTTACAAAAGCAAACTGAAAATAAAATTGGTATGTACGGTATTACGCATTTTTCCTCATGGTGTTATTTTATAGGCCACTGTTTTCTGCTCCTTACCAGCATTCTGCGAAACTCGACAGGATCGCCAAAGTACAGATACACTGAAAAAAGCAGATTGATAACTTAGGCGGTATGCTATCGATGTACATAAGTTCCCTGGCCTTGGTTACATAGTTATTTAATGACCATTGAGCACATGCCTCGGGACAACGCATTGATTCTATTGAGTATTTGAGCATAATCCGGTGCTCCCGTTCTGGTATTGAAATTTTCCTGATAGATCTGGTATCCACTGTTTCTCCTGATAAAATCGCCATACAGAGTTCTGGAAAATTCTGAAAAAAATATATTGGCGCCCAGATCTGTAATGATGACCAGCGTTTGCCAGAGAAATTTCTCTGTTAATCGGATGTACAGGTGACTGTAGGCTGTAAGGGAGTTACAGGAAGTGGAAATCCATGTTGGCGCCTTTTTGCCAATTACCGGCGTGTGCCCCGCCACGCTACACAAAGAACTTAAGTTTGTAGATGTACTGTAAGATTTGTACTAAAAACATTTTATTGTACAAAGAAAACAATATACTCGTAGCTATTACGATTCACGGGTTTTCGGCATCTGTTTACGATGCCGTCGCTTGAATGCGTTCACCTGCTGATTATGAGTAAATCCAGTTGAGTCGCCAAAGGATAAATTTCCCACATTTCCATGCATCCTGAGAAGCAAAACCAATGATGTATAAGCAATTTTGCCTTCTCTTACAATGTGGAAGCGAAATTGTGTGGTAAAAGATTACGGGAATTGATCAAAAATGGTTAATAGGCCTAATTCGAGCACAACGGCGCAACCATGTTAACATTTAAGCAACAAAATTTCAGATTTCATAAGCCAATCCATTTGTGTATTAAGTATGTACCTGGTAAGACAAAAACGGTTGCACGACAGCGTCGGCTGGAGGAATCCAGAGATAAATTTTTCAGAACGGCAGCCGACCAGTCGACACTATCGGCCGCCAGATCCATGCAGTCACGATATTTTTTACCAGTCAAGAAGATCTGATTAACCGTCACTCGTGGGTACACTTGATCTATTTTCAATAAAGCCAAATCATAGGCTGGTCCCAGGTATGTCCGAGATCCCAATATTACCGGAGGCAGCATGATTAACGTTAGGATATCAATGTGCACTTCGCTGCAGCGAGGCTGGAAGCTATTCAGTGCCGCGATGTCAACTGCTAAACTTGGTGTGACGTCTGGGCCCATATTTTAAGCTAATTGACTTTCAAAAATAATTGTTGTAGTTGCGACAATTGTAATAAATTCGGCAACGCATTTATTAGTAATGAGTCTAAGCGCAAGCGGATTCCTGACAAATCCCGCGTGGACGACTAGCGCAACAGGAACAGCGGAGTTGTCTGACAATGTCATCATATATAGGTATGCACTATGCATGTGGAACGTTAATGAAATGCAATCCAAAAGCCGTTAGATATGTTGACATCATACTTATGATACGAATAATATGATCCGTTAAGTATCAGCACTTTTTTAATTATTTACAAAACCATAGGTGCTTTTGACTGAAGTGGGAAGCACTGACTGAGATGATTAGCGTCAAGCGAACAAGTCCGGAAAGTATCCCGGATCGATCGACGCATTTAAAAAGGAACTATGTTCTCTCCACCGTGTAACTGCAGCATTGTTTTCTTTTACAACCCACGCAGCATCACGGGAAAGCAATTTTCTGGTATTCACAGTTAAGAGCTACGGATGTTTGCTATCTGCGCTGATTGTGTCGAAGGAAGGCTTAGGTGCGGGGTCTGAACGGCGTATTCAAAAGGGTTATAGGATCATCTTGAAAAAGAAAATGCGCTACATCCTATTATGATGAATTGTATATTATTTTTTTTATCAAAGAAGCTTCATTATTTTTTACAACATCGTTGAATTCCACACATTGTAATGATTGTAGTTTAAGTACTCCGTGCGCGTAATACCCGTACCACAGCCCAGTAATGCTGCTATGTACAGTATACGTGCCCGTACATTGTATTGTAATAATCAACTATAAGTTTAACGAGGAATAAATAACACAATTATGGAAGTAATCCACTGCTTTTCAGTATTAATTTTCAAACAAGTTTATGCACCAATATTGCAACAACCTAGCTTCGTTTGTCAGGGGTCGAATTTATGCGAAGTCCATTTCTGAACACAAAACTGTAAATGACAGCATTTTCAGCAATTCACCGGCTCCCAGTACAATACATACCAAAGAATAAGAAAACTATTCAGAAAACTATAATTGCGATGACACTTTTATCAAAAAATTTTATTTAGCACTGGTTTTTGGAAGGAAAATCAGCCAGTAGGTCTGCAGTATTCCTTTGCCCTTGACTTCGATGAACCCACGCGGCTCGATCAAAAATTTAGAATGATTCTTCAGCTGGTCAGCTACGTTGTGACTGATGTGGATTTTACCATCCTCGCCTGTGCTCATCATTCTGCTGGCTGTGTTAATAGTGTCACCAAACCTGCAAAACTTAACTGTCATGAGTGATGCTTGCAACATGCATGGACCATAAATGCGCAGACTGTAGAATCACGAAAAACTACACACGCTCGGGGTATTGTGCGCACAAAGAACAGCTTACAAGCAGTAGCGAGGTGCTTTAAGGCCGACAACGCCGGCTGCAGCAGCTCCACTGTGTATTCCAGCCCGCAGTGTTGTTGATCCGTTATAACGCATCGCAAAGGTCTTCAAATAAGCCGTCATCATAGAAACAGCTAGGCCACATACTTCATAAACATGACGATTTTGATTCCGTCTTGGCACACCACTGGCAACCTGTTGTCATAATTATAAAAATCTAATTCAGTCCAGATGGATTTGTCCCAACACGTACATATTTTGAGTGCGTACCAGATACGATTCTTTGATGGTTTCAACCTTGTACACATCGACGTTGTTAAGAAGTCCATCAAATTTGTAGAAAACCTGTTTGATTGAATGTCAAACCGCAAGCTGCTAATCATAGAAACTAATTATATATAGTCACCAGAGCGCACTTCGTTAAGAAATGTCATCGCTTCTTCGGGATCGATCTGGCTCATGAGTGCACCAAACCCAGCAACTTCCCTAAAGTAACGTAGCAGTCTTTCATGTATACATGTGGGCTGGTTAACAATACCGTAAGAGCCACTGATATGAAATACAGATTCTGACTTCTTTACTCACACAAACATGATCGATGTGGACTGATAGTACTCGGCAGCTGGTGTGTGACCTCTTCGAAGGTCGTTCACAACATCACTATATTAAAGGCCAACAGAAATTGTGTTATGGAACACTACAATTCTGGGCTCTGTAGATCTGATCAGCACTGACAACTCCGACCTCGGTAACATCGCCCATAACAGGTTGTCACAGCGCTTTCGCTCCTCCATGAGGTCAATGGTGCGCTGCGCTACTTGGCTGTCCAGCTCAATAGTGTATACCTCGAGGCGGCAAAGGATTTTTTCAGCTAAAGATGATGCTTTGGCGAATGGACGTAAAACCAGTTTAGCAGTTTTCCGCAGTTGATCGAAATCTGGAAGTTCGGACGGGTCACTTCTCCGACAGGAAGTTAATAATGGTACAAGATCGGCAAATGGACCCGTCAAGACGCTCGCTTTCTGTGGATCGTTTACCGACTCTGTTAACACAAGAAAGATATGTATGTAATTGTTATGCTTGGGGGTTTGTGGCCACATCTTTGCTAATTTTCAACAAGGTAATGGTAACACAGGTGATGTCCAGCGTCTTGCTACAATCGTCAACCTGGATTCGTTGCGTCTTCCATGATGTCGTGCTGAAAGATGATGTTAAGCATTATGTGGGCGATGTCTCGCACGTCTGCTTTCGCTCCGGGGATAGACGCATGCTTTTCGTTTTTTGCCTGACCAACTTTCTGCTGAATGCCCTGAGCATGATAAAGACGAATTTGCGCGAACCCAACTTCCCCTAGCTTAAGGGTAAAGTTTTTGTCAATCAAGCAGGAGCCAACGTTAAGATTTCCATGATATTTTAAATTGGACCGATGCACAGCCCGTAGTCCCTGTAACAAGATTCTGAGCGTTATTGTAACGTTTCTTAAGACTAAAAGCGCTTAAGTAAATATTTTGCCTTCAGGGCATCAAGCATTAAACTGGCTTGGAAATCAGCATCTAAAGCCATCTTGTTCAACAACTCCGGCAGGGAGCCACGGGTGCAGTATTCCGAGACAAAATACCAGCACGTCTGTATTATGGTTAATCCATCAAGGCGATTTATATTTGGATGATCGAGTCCCATGACCTTGGAAAACAAAATGGTTTTGCGAGTTTTATGGTGTGACATTGTTTGATTTTTAAGCTTCTTCATACATCTCTCAGAATCCCGGTTCCCCGCTCACTAAACTGAACCGGACGAGAGTGCGGCCTGCAGAAGATATCGACCCCAGAAGGAATTCCTTGCAGTGGAACGAGATATACCATGCGTTGCTCTTTGATGTACACCCTCACTTCTTGCTTTTTCGGTAAATTCTCCGCCTAGAATCATGCACCGCCACATTTGTTATTGCATTCATTCGTTGTTAACAATTTACATATTTAGCAAATGGTATATTATGCACTCCACATGACCAGCGAATAAGCGTCGTCGTGCTCGTTTAATTCCGCATTCCCAGACGTGTATCGCGTAAATTAAGCTTCGGTTCCATTAAAATAATAAAAGTTTCATATACCGGTTGGAGCTGATCGGCTGATATTTCCCAACAGAGAAGCAGGTTCCCATATTTGACATAGCTAAGCAACAAATATGGAATATAGATATTTTTACAAATTCACATTCACTGCTCAGCGGATAATAAATTTTATAATATTATTAGTACTGTACCTTAAACGGAGCGCTGCAACAATAAACGCCACAAGTGTTGCGACTGTCACAGAGACGGCAATCGTGACCATATCTGCAAAGGTTGTACATTTATTCAGGCTTAACTATAAATCTCAGGAGGATCATTTGCTCAGAAAAATTGCATTTGCAAGAAAACAGAATATCCGTTGGATATACCGGTAGTTGTAAAAACATCTGCCATGGAATAGGTGCGGCTAAACGGAAATTCAAAGGGACGACCCGGTACACGAAACCAGTAATCAACACAATCACAGAACTGTTGCTTTCGCGCATACAAAAATACTTTTTTTATATTCATCATTCTGCAAACTAGTGATTGATAGGTATTGACCTGACAACTTTCTGTTCGCATAACTTGGAGCATAACATCCGGTTGCCGTATGCACGTAGCGAGTACCCTTTCTTAAGGGAAGCAGCAGTGAAATGTTCATCCTTTTTGTACGTAATACAGTTTTCGGTGATTTGCTATTTGTTAACGGAAATGGATTCCGTTTTTTTTACTAAAACATTATGGACGGAAAAATTGCATTTGAAGAAGAAAATAAACAGAAAAAACAAGAAAAGAAATGGAATGAATGGAAACGGAAAACTCGGATTACTGGAGCAAAAAATTTGCAAGGATATGCCGTTTTGCCATTTAAAATTCTGAATGGTCACACCCCTTTGGCCGTAGCAGACGAAAGATTTTTGTGATCGGAGGAGCATCCAGTGATTACTATGTCTTCATGATCGACCGTTCCTTAATCACGTATCCCTCTCATATCGGTCGATGAACAGCAAACTGCAACCCGACCAGGTCGGGCAATAGTTTTGTCTGAATTACCAACGAATCGTAGTTCTGTTACTTGCGTGTGGATTGCACGTACTCACCCTGTGGGTTACAAACAGGAGCGTCCCCTCGGAATCCACATCTCGGTTCGTCGAGAGGTGGCCAGACGCCAGGCCACTGGATTCCTTGGATAATTTCCACCTTTGAACTGCCGAATCGTTGAGCAAATACAGTCTACAAAGCGGTCGATTATTACATAACAGTGACTTTTTACCAAGGATTTCATACTCGAATTCGGGATGTGTTCCAGTCCAACTGGTTTACATTAATTATAATCTGGCGCTGTCCAGATGGGTCCATATATATTTCGCCCAGGTCAGTTGCAAAGGTCCGGTTCGTAAATAGTTTAGCCAATTGTCGCCCAGACTGCCAGACATTTTCGGAACCAGATAAGCGCAGTTCTTCTATCACCTGGTCACACGCGCAAACAGTTTCTGTTACGTACGAGCAAATGCCCCTCTCATAAAGAAGGTATTGTGCCCTCATAACGGAATTCGCCAGAATCGATTAACGCAGATTTTATAAGGAAACGACGAAATGGTTGCTCGAATATAGAAATTTCCTCTGGCTTTGATCAGGTTTACTCCCGTATATCCACATTATTATTACAACAAGACGGTTTTTATCTTCACTTTCTTACGGTTAGCAAAGCATATGCATTGTACGTACCTCAGCCAACATGAGCATCGAATTGTATGTAGCGGCGATGTGAGGTGAGAACTAAAATTAGTTTGTCTCGGTTTTTGTATTTATCAGCTCTTTGAAACAACTTAGATTTCTAGAAATTACCGTTTCAAACTGTCCGTACGTATAATTGTAATCCATTAGAGAGCGAGTTCGCATATAAGCATAAAACTGATGCTCGGTGTCCGTTCCCGTTCTGCCGTACATCGAGTCATCTGGCTCCATAATGAGCACCGATCGGTACGCAAGTTTAGCGATACTGTCAAACCGATCGTGGTTTTCCCAGGTGAGGTAGCCTGACGCCGGCTTATTTGTAGGTCTTAAAGTCGCCAGGATAATGAACACCTGCAACATCACAGTGATATGTTCCCTGGGTCAAGCATGCGGTGCCTTTTTCCTGCAGGTGCGACCGCACGCAACCTTACGTGTTCGCCGTTAGTCATGTTGAGTTCCCAGGCCTTTATCTAAAAGGGCACCTCACTACATTAGCAGGTGTAAATATGTTTTTGTATAAGTGATTACCTACCATCATTTTCCGAAATTCCAACGAATCGCCGAAATAGAAATACACTAGAATTAAATTTTAAGCAGCATTATCAATTCAGAGTGTTTGACTGCTTTACTGTTAATACAAGCTATGAAATAAAGAAATTACATCACAATCCATGGAAGTAAGCAACGTCCTAATTGAGGAACTAGCGTACTTATATCGTAGTTGTGAGAACTTTAACTTTAAAAAAGTTTTTCAACCGCCTACCACGTGACACTGCGTTGAACCGAGTGAGGAGCTCTGTGTAGTTAAGAGGTCCCGGTTTAGAGTCGACCGTTTCTGCATAGATTTGATAGCCGGTATTTTCTCTGGTAAACTCCATGGATAGCGACCTCCAGAATTCGAGGAAGAACCCATTAAAGTTCATGTCTCTGACCAGAACTAGTGACCGCCAACCGAACATCTTCGTCAATTGCACATAGAAGCGAATGTAAGCGGACACGGGCTGGCTGGACAATGTGATCCAGGTCGGTCCCTTACTGTTGACTAGGGTCGCAAAATTTTCAAAACCGCGGACACTGAAAAATTATATCATCAGCAATAGTGCCATGGCATTGCATTTAAGTACCGCAGCCCGTACACCACTCAATACGCTGAAAACTCCACCAGCATTTTACCGGGCTCGTAATTTTACCGGATAGCAAATCCAAAGGTCGTCGAGCGGCACGTATGTGACTCGGCACCATCAGCACCATATCACATTACTAGTGTTATAATCTACCGTAAAATTTCCATGAAGTATTATTAGAAGTATCGGTATTAACATAAATATTCACATAATACTATCCAAAAGTCCTTCCATCAGTAATAACTGGCCGGTTGCGAAATTAATTGGTTATGACATCGATTATTTTACAGTAACTATCAATCACTGCATACGCAGTGATGTTTTACGTTACTCCCTTTACATCGTGTACGAGAACACTTAAATGGATACACTGTGGCAGGTACCTGGTTATAGTAAGCAGATCCAGCTCATTTGTCAGAGGATACACTTCCGGAAAATCGCGGCACCTTAAAAAAATTCCGAAACTGCATGGAACATGTCTAAGTAATCATTATTGATAGACACAGTTTAACTGTAAAATAAGTTGATTTAAAACAAATCAGATTGATTAAGTCAGATTTGATTTGTCTCCTAGTCCCATACGAGTATATACGATATTCAGAAGATGCAGTAATCGTCTTCGATCCATTTATGTCGGCTTAATACAGTCTCCTAGTCCCATACCCTTACAAAGTCATAGAGTCCCCTGAACTTTTATCTGTGGGGTCGAAATTAGCTGTTTAAAAATTATTTTAAATAGTGTATTTTTTTGTTTGTTGAAGCTTTTTCGGACAATTTTTACTCGGTATCCAAAAAAATTACTGTTGCTGCATACAAAGCGTAATTTCAACCCACATTCTTTATCGATCGATGTAATTCTTGTGTCTTTGACGCTATTTGCGGTTGCATCGGGACTTTCATCGAAAATCCTAACGAAATCTATACTGTCCTTCCTATCCCCCGTAATACAATCACTATGCATTATAGTCCCCTCACGAAGGCAAAAATTTAGAAACTCTGGGGACTAATTATCCCGTAAGCCGTAAGGTATACTGTATAGCGATAAAAAGATTCCAGCAATCACTTTTTCAGTAAACATACACGGATTTTACGAGTATACGATATGCAGAAGCGGAGAATTACACGTACGGTTGATGTTCAAGACAGCGTAAATCTGTGAAAGGACTTATCTGGATAATGAAAGACGGTTAAAGCACACGGATCACCGTGTGACTGTAGTGAGAGGTTGTAAATGGATTCAGCTGACCACCGGACAGAGTTGGCAGCCATATCCCAGCAATCAAAGGGACTGCTATCCGCGAGCATACTTTGCTGAACCTTAAGTTGCGGGTAGAGCTCAGCGATGCGTTGCAAGGAGAGCTTATATGCTGGGCCGAGACGTGGCAGAGATCCGACTATTACGGCGCGCAGCAGGATCATCGTAAGGACATTTAGGTGCACCTCATTGCACCGTGGTTGGTTTAGCGATATGCCAGATGCAATAATTTTAGTAAAGTTGACGCTGGAAATACCGGTCATAGACATTTTCGATGGTCATGGACAGAACATTTCTGCGTAGAAAACGTTTGATAATGCAAAGTTAGCGACAGCACATGAAGAGAAGGGAATCTGGGAAATATCTGCGCAAGTACTGTAACCGTCCGCACAAGTTAGACCACAGAGTGTGGTGTACGGATATATACTCCCACGGGCCTCATTGCTCGTGTGCCTTGTAGCTTGTGCAATGCAAGACAACAGCCTAACCAAGCAGTGGTCTATCTTGTGCGGACGGATACAGTACTCGTACCGTATTTGCAGAAGCACTAGCACCGTAATCACTTACCGGTTAAGCTTACTTACAGGTAAGCTTACTTCTGTCAGTTAAGCTTCAATTACTTGGCATATATTTTTGCCCCGCACAGGAATTTCATAAAAGAAAGTAAGACGCGCGTGCAAGTAGCGAATTTTGAATCAGTGAAGAATGTTGGCGCTGATGTAGCACTATGCCTAAATCCTAGTTCAATGTCGGAACCAGCCAATAACATGTTAGAACGTGACCCACCAGACACCGCAGTAACCTGACATAATTTTGCTAAAATCGGACCAGAGATCGATTTAAATCTCCCCAGGTGCGCTACCTAACTCTAGTTACCAATCTTATTTTACGAATACGAAGTGGCATTATAAGCCACTTAAACGGTTTTTCCGTTTGTTTATTATTTCGTTTGAAAATCAAAACCAAGATTTGTCATGTAATATCTTCAAAACATGGGCAATTCATTTGGTAATTTGGACTGAATTCTACACTTTCTTTTTAATCCAAAATATAATGCGGTGATATCCCGTAATACCGCAAATATGCACCCAAAGGTTAACGGGAGTTTAATTCCGAGGAGTATAAAGGATGGATATCGGTAATCGGTATACATGTACACAGGAACCGCCTGCAACCATTCGCAGTGACCTTTCGAAGCCAACCGGCATGAGTGTTACTTTTCCTGTTGCCACATAACGCCACTCGCCATATCCTTTATTTCAGTAGCTCAATAACAATATCGGGGTCTAGTTACGATTAAACAAAACAACATTTTCAACAGTACCAATTACAGAAGCGGCATTACCACGTTGAATTGCTAAGGAAATATTCGGTTTCAAATACTCGCGACTACGAATCTCGCCGATTTGTAGCGACATTCTCTTTCCGATCTCCTTAAAATCATCTTTCCCGATGTACCCCAACTGCCAAAAGTTTCGAAGCCGACATCAGCAAACTCGTATCGTCCTGACAGGAAGCTGTATTTCCTTGTTTTCTCGGCTTCAGCCTGGTCAGCGGCCGCTCCGGCCTTTACACTTGTATGATCCAAGTAAGAGCGAGCGACCGTGTCGACAACTGTTGCATCCCATGCCAAACAGAGTCCCCTTGACCATGGGAAGGTAGTGATTTCGTCAGGGCGTGTTTCGGTATCGTGGTGCATGCCTCTTGGTTCCGTTCGAGTGGGGATACGTGCCGAAACCAGTGCCCGGCGCAGGGTGTCGTTGATGCAGTCGTGTCTAGGTCGTCTTCCCGCCGAAAACTTCCAACTCAAAGCATGATGACCGTCTGCGGTGACATCGCTTCCACACCTGCACTGGTAGTCGGATGCTGCCGGTGCGCCAAGCCGAATAGCGACCACAATCCGAAACGATTCGTCATCCAACAGGTTACCGATTGAGGCCGATGCAAGTGCGTGTGTCCAAATACCTGTCTCCGGGTTGAAACAGCCATAAGTCGGGCTTTCCGGACGGGATTTAGAGCCTCGTGCAGCATGGTTGCCTGCTCGGGTAAACAGTGCGGGGCATCCCATTCGCGTTGCAGGTGTTGGCTTTCGGGCAAAGGAGGCAATGCGTCGTCATACAAGTATCTACAAAGGGCCACGTGATCCGTTGCGTCAACTCTTGCTAAATGCGGCAGTAACCGGTAAACAAAGTGTTTGAGTAGCGTGAATCGAGGGTTCGTCTGTATAATTACGTTCGTCTACACGGGTATCTACTTCCAGAGCGGAGGAATTATTGAATCTTCCTTGTTGTCTTGTGCACCTATTTTTTGTTGTTATGGATGCGGGTGCGTTGTATAAAGCCCGATAATGTGCGCGTGTGGAAATCTTTGCAGGTATTAGCCACTGACGTGCATAGGGCATCCCTCTATATGTACATACACATCTTGTACAAGCTTGTCCGGTAATTTCTGACGAATCAATACAGCGAAATATACAAATTCATGACGTAGTGTAGTGACAATTGCCATAGCGCTAACTACGCGCTAAATATGTGCTGTCAGTACCTTTACGTAGGAAATTACCGGACAAGCTTGTACGTACTTTCCTTCTCTACTTCTCACTGTCTGTCTAAGTCTCCTCTCGCGATCTCTTACAGTTACTGTATATCTGTAATTCGGTATGATAGTTTTTATTATGTATGATAGGTACACGTAGTGTAACAAACGGCTGTTGTTCGTGTTCTGGATGGTATTTCAAGCTCAGCGGAGCACTAGGGTAGGATAAACGTTTTGTTATTCCAGCAAGCTCTGATCTCACGGTGTGATTACTTAGACTCACCGGTTGCTTTGGTCTACGCTTTCGAGTGAGGTACATCGTACAACTTTAGATCTTTGATAGCTTTTACTCAACTGTTCGGTTCCCATATGCATTTTTTCACGGGCATTGCGCAGTCACCTGTCGGACTATCTAGCCGTGTAACGTGATGATCTCTGTTTCTCACTTGACCATGCTCTTGCTTCGCCCTTTATTTCCAGTATTGTCTATCGCTTCTGTTTTCGTCTAGCGTTTCGGAGCAGGTAAGTATAGCACGTATTCTTGTGTATGTCTCATGTTTTCAGTAGGGATTCCTGAGGTTCAGCAGCTCCTGTCTTGCTCCTGATCTTCTTCGTAGTTAGCTGGGCTGCTGGGCCATCCCCAGGACTCCAACCAGTTTAAGAGGAGTCTGCTCCTTTTCTGATTGTATCGTGGTCGGTACTCTGACTTCCATGACAAATAACAAAATTGTATCGAAAGCGCAGTCACTCTGCTAAGCAGCTCAAATATTAAAATTAGACACTTACCAGTTAGCAACAAAAGGGCAAAAAGGAAAGCATTTTCCAGAGGTCTGAGTCGAGTATTCAAAGGTTATAGAATGCACATTGTATTTTATCAAAAGCATTTTTTTATTTTTTACCACGATCGCTTAGTTCCGTACAGTGTACGTAAATGTACACGGGCAAATTTCATTGTATTAATCAATTTTATGCTTAACCCGTTCCCGACCATCCCTGTCAAATGGCAGGGTGGCGGACTTAATTCCTGTAGCAACCCACAACGCAGAAACCTCGTAGTTAGTGATTTTATTCCACAGTAGGGATGTTGTCAGCCATTTTAAAAATTTGGCTATCATATGCAGTATGGTTGGGGCACACAGCAAGTGACCAAATGTCACCAAAATGGCACTTTTGGGGTTCGCGGAGGTCTTGGCCGTACACACGACCACCCGAGCAACCAATAATTCACATATAATTCATTTAAGCCAGCCCTGTGGCAGACATTGCAAAAGTATTGCATGGTCTGCAAAATAGCTAGACAGTGGACAAGGATGGTCATTTAAAAATTTCCTGCCACGTTTGACAGGGATGGGCACGGTGTTACTTTAACAATAAATTTTACAAATTCTACATAAAATCTTAGAAACATAATAGGAAACCGGACATGTAATCAGAAAATTGAGAAAAAAGAGTAGGACAAACTCTAGTGTTTTGATGGTCAAAAACTTGTACCACTATATACGAACACAGTGTAAATAATAGAAGTTAACGCGAATTACCGAGAGATAACTGTTTTTTGTTTTTTTGGTATCGAAATTTCAGAGACTAGTCCGAATTTACATTCAGAAAGTGAATGATATGCGCACTTTACCTAGCCCGGCATACGGCGGAACAGTATCATTTAATTAATGTGAACGTAATTTAGGTATAAACGTAGTTATACAGCTTTTTGAAATTGTACTTAGTTGCTGCATGCTGCCGGCGTATCGGTTTTGTGGAGTTGCCGAGCTATAGCGGTTGGTACCGGAAATGACCATGCGGAAATGAATTATCCGCCAGTGTGCTATACACCATTCACTGTTAGTTGTGCGGTGCGGATTGTCGCTCTGGTTATCGCTCAAAGACTTCTTGTAGGCTGCGTAGACTGTTACTGATGTACCCTTTACTCACTTAGAAGTCCACCAAAAGTCAGCTTAGTCAGCACCAAAAGTAAACGGCAACAACGAAGAGAACAACAGGTTCTCAACACGCATGTAAACGCGTGCTTAAGCGACAACCACCGCAAATTCACTGGAAAAAATTGCATTCTGTCGCTTCTTTTCTGACTTAAGATCATTCTAAAAGGTTTTCTATGTAAACAAAGTAGACACTGTACCTTTTTCAACAACTAGCCGCCAAGAAATATATATTTTCACAATTTTCTGCGTTACTGACCACTGGTCATCTCGATGACCACATTAATGTCAGAGAAGTGTAGGGCGTTCTAAAACGTTTTGTTTAAGTGGTCGTGTTCCTCAGTGCCCTCTTCCGGTAATTTTCTACAAATTTCGGCGCGTGACCTGCCAAATGGCAGGATGCCCATCCCTGTCAGTTTGGCAGGCTATCGCCCTGCTTGACCTATGGTCACGGAAATTCCCAAAAAATTAATTTTTCTTAATTGAAATATTTTACTATGAACTGCAAATTTTCAATTTGATATTCGCACTCCTTCGGGTGCCTGACTTCGGTAGGTTAACTGTAAAGAAAATAGATAAATGACACAATCATGGAGTTAATACTCCGCTTTTCAGTATAAACTTTCAAAGAGAAGTTTGGATACGAGAAATCGCACCAGTCTAGCTTTGTCTGCAAAAGGCCGAATGCATGCGCGGTCAAGGTATTTTTTAATGTAAGTACCTACTTAACACTGCAAAGGATAGCATTTTCAGCAATTCACCGGTTCCCAGTACATATCAAAGAACAATAAAATTATAAGCGCGATTCTACTTTCTTAAAAAAAATTTCGGTTAGCATTGGTTTTCGGGATCAAAATCAGCCAGTATGTTTGCAGCATTCCTTTGCCTTTGACTTCGATGACCCCGCGCGGCTCGATCACAAATTTAGAATTATTTTTCAGCTGGTCCGCCGCGTTGTGACTAATGTGGATTTTACCATCCTCACCGGTGCTCATCATTCTACTGGCTGTATTAATGGTGTCACCAAACCTACAAAAAGGAATTATCAAGAAAAACGCTTTCAACATTAGGCTGTTAATGTTCAACGAGTACAGTCATGTCCGTGGTACGGTGCCGTCTGTACATATAATTACGAGTACTTAGAGCAGCTTACAAACAGTAGCGAGGTGCTTTTCGCCCGACCACGCCGGCGGCAACCGATCCGCTATGTATTCCAGCTCGCAGTGTTGTCGTTCCGTCAAAACGCAGCGCAAAGGTCTTCAAATAAGCGGTCATCATAGAAACAGCAAGACCACACACTTCATAAACATGGCGACTTTCATTTCGTCTTGGCACACCACTGGCAACCTGTTGTAGAAGCAGAGCTTCAATTCCGTTCAGAACTGCTCATGCTTATGTTTGAATACCTACCAGATACGATTCTTTGATGGTCTCGACTTTGTAAACGTCATGATTGTTAAGAAGTCCATCGAACTTGCAGAAAACCTGTTTAATTTAAATGTCAAATCACAAGCCAAGCGACTCACTAATTCTTTTGGCGTTTATTATGGAACTCAATTGCAGTAACCAGAGCGCACTTCGTTAAGGAATGCCATCGATTCTTCGGGTTCAATCTGGCACATGAGTGCACCAAGCCCAGTAACCTCCCTACAGTAACGCAAAACCGTCCTTCACATAAATTCGGTTGACAATAGTGGTCACCGCTTATTGTTAGAAAATTGCATTTATAAATAAAACTCACACAAACATGATCGATGTGGACAGATAATACTCCGCATCTGGTGTATGACCTCTTCGAAGGTCATTAACAACGCCACTATAAACCAGACCGGTAAAAGCTGTGCAATAAAAAACTTTAGACGATGCTGAAAAATTTATCACCGCCGACAGCCCTGACCTTGGTAACATAGCCCATAGCAAGTTGTCACAGCGTTTTCGCTCCTCTTCTAGGTCAATGGTGCGCTGCGCTACTTGGCTGTCCAATTCGTCAGTGTATGCTTCGAGGCGACGAAGGATTTTTTCTGTTAAAGATGATGCTTTGGCGTATGGACGTAAAATTAGTTTAACATTTTTCCGCAGTTGATCGAATTCTGGAAGTTCGGACGGGTCACCTCCCCGACAAGGTGTTAATAGTGGTAGAAGGTCGGCAAATGGACCCGTCAAGACGCTCGCTTTCCGACTCGTGGGATCGTTTACTGACTCTGTCAACACAAGAAGTCTATCTAGCACATAATTGTTAAATTTTCTGGTTTGTGGCCTTAGCTTTGCTAATCTTCAGCAAAACAATGGCAACACCAGTGATGTCTAACGCCTTGTTACAATCGTAAACCTGGATTCGCAAAATCTCCCACGTTGTCGTCTTGAACGATGATCTTAAGCATGACGTGAGCGATGTCCCGCACGTCTGCTTTCGCTCCAGGTATTGACGCAGTCTTTTCGTTTGCTGTCGGATCTCCTTTCTGTTGAATGTCATGAGCATGATGAAGACGGATTTGCGCGAACCCAACTTCCCCAAGTTTAAGGGTAAAGTTTTTATCAATTAAGCAGGAGTCTACATTGAGATTTCCGTGATATTTTAAAGTGGACCGATGCACAGCACGTAGTCCCTGTAACAAAACGCTGAACGTTATCGTAACGTTTCATAAGATTGAAGGCGCTGAAGCAAATATTTTGCCTTTAGGGCATCGAGCATTAAACTGGCTTGGAAATCAGCATCTAAGGTCATCTTGTTTAATAACTCCGGCAGGGAACCACGAGTGCAGTAATCCGAAACAAAATACCAACACATCTGTATTATGGTTAATCCATCAAGGCGATTTATATTTGGATGATCGAGTCCCATGACCTGGGAAAAGAAAATGGCTTAGCGGATTTGATGATATGAGCTTGTCTTGTTGTTACGGGTATTCGTACTTCTCTCAGAATCCCGATTCCCTTTTCACTAAACTGAATTTGACGAGGATACTGCTTATTAAGCCCAGAAGGCACTCCATCCAATGGAACCAGATATACCATGCGCTGCTCTTTGATATACACCCTCACATTGTCTTGCTTTTTCAATAAATTCTCTGGCTAGAACCATTCAGCACCACATTAAATATGTTTCTTATAATGATATTAATTAATACAATCCTCCGTTTGGAATATGCGTTTTATCTGAGACATATACAGAATGCGCTTCACATCACCAGAGACTATACCGTATGTCCGTAATCGTATATACTGACATCAGGTTTTAATTACACTTCAGCTTTCAATAAAACTATAAAAATTTCGTGTACCGGTTGTAGCTGATCGGATGGGATTTCCCAACACAAACGCAGAAGCAAATTTCCATATCTGACATAGCTAGAGCAAGAAAATATGGATATTCTTATAATTCCGTGTAAGAGCTTTCATTTGGCCCTTCAGAGTATTTTAAAATTTCACCGGTAAGAAATTAATTTGTATATGTATTTACCTTGTACAGATAGCTGCAACAGTAGCCGCCACAAGCGTGACTGTGATAGAAACAGCAATCGTGACCATGCTGTCTGCAAAGGTTATATACAAATTAAGATATAGACTGACATAGCAATAAGACAGCGTTTGCAGGAAGACAGAGTAACCGGGTACCAGATATACCTAAATAACATTTCATCTGCCTGAATAATCACGGCCAAATAGTGAAAATGGCGCGGGTGATATCGGTATCGGGCGGTGTTTCGTGCACTCCGAAACACTTTTTTGAATTAAGAATTTTGTAGGATTTCACGACTATTAACTTGTACGCATTGGCCCGACAATCGTTTGTGCGCACAGCACCCGGCTGCAGTGCACTGGACCATTTCCTTATACAGCATGTGCAGCATTTTGCACTCTCTTTCTCCATGAATTCATTTCTGGATGATATATGATGGATGAGGTTTGCGCTTCACAACACTGTGTTGCCAAAAACTCGAGAAAATGAGATTGCAATATTTATGCCCATGTACAGATACTGTAGTGCAGTACGCATTTACAGATTTACAAACAGACATCAAACGTGCTCATCCCTTAGCGGTAATGGGTCCCATTGTGCCCCGTTTGCCGAATGTCTGACTTATACCAGAGTTTCGGAAAGTTCCCTAATCCGCAATCCATGATGACGACCTGGTCCGGCAATAGTTTTGCCTTGATTTCAAGCAAAGTGCAACAAGCATTCCATACGGATTTCAATCACTCACCATGTGGACGACAATCATGAGCGTCCCCTCGGAATCCACATTTCGGTTCGTCGGGAGGTGGCCAAACGCCGGGCCATTGTATTTTTCGAACAATTTCCACCTTCGCACTGCCTGGTCTTTGAGCGAACACAGTCTAACAAACGATTAAATTTATAACATACCGATTATTGACATTCTAAATAATTTATAATAGTGATTTCATACTCGAATTCGAGATGTGTTCCAATCCAACTGGTTTACATTAATTATAATTTGGCGCTGTCCAGTTGGGTCCATATATATTTCGCCCAGGTCAGTTGCAAAGGTCCGGTTCGTAAATAGTTTAGCCAATTGTCGCCCAGACTGCCAGACATTTTCGGAACCAGATAAGCGCAGTTCTTCTATCACCTGGCCACACGCGCATACAGTTTCTGCTACGTACGTGCAAATGCTCCTCTCATAAAGAAGGAATTGTGCTCTCATAAAGAGGGAGTTTGCCAGAATCGACTAACGCAGATTTCATAAGGAAACGACGAAATGGTTGCTTGAATACAGAAGTTTCCTCTGGTTTTGATAAGGTTTACTCACGTACATTCATATTATTATTACAACAAGACGGTTTTTATCTTCACTTTCTTACGGTTAGCAAAGCATAAAAAGTATATTTTTTTTCTAAATGCATTGTACGTACCTCAGCCAGCATGAGCATTGAATTGTACGTAGCGGAAATGTGCGGTGAGAACTAAAATTAGTTCACCCTCGGTTTCCGTATCCATCAGCGGCTTTCAAACGTAATTCTAACTTTCAGGAAATTACCGTTTCGAAAGGTCCGTACGTGTAGTTGTAATCCATTCGAGAGTGATTCCGCATATAATCATAAAACTGATGCTCGGTGTCTGTTCCCGTTCTGCCATACATTGAGTCATCTGGCTCCATAATGAGCACCGATCGGTACGCAAGTTTAGCGACACTGTCAAACTGATCGCGGTTTTCCCAAGTAAGGTAGCCTGACGCTGGCTTATTTGTGGGTCTTAAAGTCGACAGAATAATGTACACCTGCAACACGGTAGTGATGACGTAATTGGCCCTAGATCAAGCTTGGAGTCCCTTTTCGCTGTGAGTGGGACCGCACGCAGCCTTACATGTTCGCCATTGGTCATGTTGAGTTCCCAGGCCTTGATCTGAAATGGCATGTCACCAGATTAGTAGATTTGAGTAAAGTTTTACGTAACCTACCCACCCACCATCATTTTCCGAAATTCCAACGTAGGGCCAAAGTAGAAGTACACTAGAATTGCATTTTAAGCAGCATTATCGATTTATCGATTCAATTGTGTCTTGACACTTTACCGGTATGTTGTACGAGTGCAAGTTAAAAGGTAAGAAAATTATGTATGTCAGTAATGTCACTATCGACAGAAGTACAAGGAATGGCAGCGTTCTAATCCAAAAACTAGAGAATAACTACCCGTACTGGAGCTGCGATCATATTTTAGATAGTTTAGCAGCAGCCTACCACGTGACACTGCGTTGAAACGAGTGAGGAGCTCTGTGTAGTTAATAGGTCCAGCTTTGGAATCGATCGTTTCTGCATGAATTTGATAGCCGTCCTTGTTCATGGTAAACTCTATGGATAGCTTATTCCAGAACTCGTTGAAGAACCCGTTGAAACTTATGTCTAAGACCAGAACTAATGACCGCCAAGAAAACATGTTTGTCAGCTGTACATAAAAACGAATGTAAGCGGGCGTGGGCTGGCTGGATAATGTGACCCAGGTCGGTCCCTTGCTGCTGGCTAGGCTCGCAAACTTGTCCATACCGCGAACACTAAAACAATACAATATTAGCAATAGACAATAGTATAACGGTATTTGTATTCAAGCAGCGCACGCAGCCCGTTCATCAATACGCTGAAAACTGAACCGACATTTTGTATTTACAGGGTACAAGCAAACCCGAAGGTTGTCGAGCAGTAGAGTACGTGTGCGGCTCCACATCATCAGCACAGACACCATGTAACATTATTACTGTTATAATCTACCGTAAAATTTCCACAAATATGTATTAGTAAAAGTCGGCAACATAAGTAACATAAGTACATAAGTCGGCAACATAAGTATTATTATTTTTATCAAAGGTTCTTCCATGAGTAACAACTGGCCGGCCATGAAATTAAGTATTTATAAAGTATCATACTCGTAATTATCAACTAACCACTGCAAACAGAGTGCTGTTTTACATGTACATGTACGCTTGAATCCATCTGTCAGATACCTTGTAATCGTTAGTAGATCCAGCTCATTGGTCATAGGATACACTTCCGGAAAATCATCACACCTTAAAAAACGTCAGAAACGGCGTGAAACATGTTTAAGTTTACTGATACGCGCGCGTTTTAACTGTAACAATAAGCAAATCAGGTTTAAATTTTAATGTAAGCATAAGCAAACCAGGTTCGGCTAGGTCGCACTTTCCGTATTGTATGGGTTTATGTCCACGGCACCTAATGCATCCCTCGCTGTCCCTTGTCCTTACAAAGTTATAGATTCCCCCTTGTATTCTCTTCTCGGGATAACGATTAGCTAGTTAAAACTTGTTTTAGATAGTACGCTGTTTTTGTTTTCTTAAGATTGTACAAATAATCTTTTGGTATCCGGAAAATTTACTGCGTTACATGCATAACGTGTTCCAATGCTGCATCTCCTCATTTTGTCCGGCCACCCCAACGAAGTAATTACTGTATATACCCTCTATCCCAACCCCCCCCCCTACTACAACCACCAAAATTTAGTTTCTTCCCAATGCTAGCAACTAGGGTACTTTTTCAGTATATAGTACTATATTATACGGACTGATATGATAAGCAGAAGACGGCAATTAAGTGAAGTACACGGCTTGAGATACAAGACAGCGTAATGCATGAATGCACTTATCTGGATACTGGAAAACGATTAAAGCACACGGATCCCCCTGCGACTGTAGTGAAAGGTTGAAAACGGTTTCAGCTGACCACCGGACAGAGTTGGCAGCCATATCCCAGCAATCACGGGGACTGTCATCCACCAGCATACTTTGTTGGACCTTTAGTTGCGGATAGAGCTCAGCGATGCGTTGCAGGGAGAGTTTATATGCTGGCCCGAGACGTGGCAGAGATCCTATTATCACGGTGCGCAGCAGGATCATCGTTAGGACATTTAAGCGCACCTCACTGCACCGCGGTTCGTTTAACGATACGCCAGATATAACGTCAGTTAAGTTGGTGCCGGAAATACCGGCCATGGATATTCTTCACCGTGGCAAAGAACACTTCTCTACAAAAAAATAATTTTGATTAAGGCAGAATTTGAGACAACAACTGAAAAAGGTGTAATTCGGAAATTAGGCAAATATAACGTAGAAGTGCCGTAATTACTTACCGGCTAAGTTTACTTTTGACTTAATCTGTAGGTTAAGCTTTAATCACTCGGCTTAGATGTTTGCCCTCGCTGACACGTCAGGTTTATATGTAAAATACCCGTGCAAGTGACGGCATCTTCAATTAGTGAATGCTGGCACAAGTGTGACATTATGCGCAAGTCGCAATTCAGAGATGCTAAAGCTAGCACATTATATCAGAAAATTTGGACGCGACCACTAATATGTTACGGCACTAACACAAGGCGCCGCAGTAACCTGACCTAATTTTGCGAAAGACGAAAGATCGATTTCAGTTACCTCCGGTGCGCCGCCATTACTTTCGATCCACCCCCATGCAAAACGCGCGAAAACAATTACCGTAAAACGGAAAGTAATTGTCCACAGTGTTGTTTTACAGATGTGAAGATATAGGCATTATAAGCCCTTTCAGTTTTTTTTCACTCATTTGTTTATCATTGTATTTGAAAAATGTTGCAGTTAAAAAAAGACCACTCCGTATGTAGCTATATCAGTTTGAAATGAATTCTTGAATAACTTTCTCCTTAATCCACAAGATGGCAATGCGATATACAGTAATACCACAAATTAAATGAGCGCCCAAAGGTGACGGAAGTACATATATTTCCAAGGAATGGTTGGAATGGATGTCGGGATCCGTGTATTCATGAACCGCCCGCAACCGTTCGCGCTGTCCTTTCGAAGCCAAACCGGTCTGACCATGAATACTACATTCCTCCTGTCACGTAACACCACCCGTCATCGCATTTCTAGAATATAATTACGTTATTCTGCACGGGATCCAGCTCACAATCAGAGTTATAACAGCAGAGTGCGATTAGGAATCATTGTGCTCCTTTTTGGCTTGCGCAGCTCGCGGTGTTTTTGGCTACTCGTACAGTCGTACACAACACCATAATAATATTGTTATTATGGTCGTACAAATGTACGTGTATGAAAAGTCTGTACACACAATAACCACTCAGTTACTTTATTAACGAGAAAAGTGCACTCGCTTTTTGCGGGCTCTGCATAACCATTTAAAGCGTAGCAGGACTACTGTACGAGTAATATTGGAAAGGGTGACTGGCAGGGCATTTCTTGTTACTCCGTTTTACTGCAGGCAGTCCTTTTCGATTATTTAATGATCGCATTCCGGTTGGTAGAACTGATAGCATAATGACAAGTGGAACACCTGGTCTTTGGCCCCGGTCTGCATGTCTGTACGTAGAATTTGTGAATAAATGTTTTAAACCGTAAAAACATATTTTATTCGGCTCTTGTGGATAATTTAATGTCTCTTTATGCAGTGCTGTGCGCGATCACCCCCACAAATGCACATAAGCACGGTGGTGTTTGCTACCCAATGCGGTCTAAGTTGTTGGTTGTGGTAACGCCAATGGCAGGAAACCGATTAAACCTTTGACCGTTGACCGTTTTTAAAAGGAAACTGATTGACCTAAAAAGCAACTTTTGTTTATAGGTCCTTTATGTCATGAATCTAGCCAAACGGTTACCATTTACATACTTAGGTGACAGTGGCAAGGAGTACGACAAAAACGTCCGTGGGAACATGTCACAAATGCCGATCTTTCTAATTTTCTTAGGTTTCTTAGTTTTTCATAGGTGGCACAAATTTCTGATGGCCGAAGTGGATGTCCTGCCAGAAGTGTCAAGCAGCCGTATATGAAACTGAACGTTGTTCGCAACATCCAGTTATGACACAGATTCTAAAATGTTAAGCAAAAACGGGTATATTCTGCTGATATTGTCATTATGAACTACCCATTCTGATAATGGTAACAAAAACCATCGCTTGTGACTGGCAAAAAATGTCCCCGCGGACGTTTTGGCAGTGTTCCCCTCCCAGCTTTACCACAAACGATACAAGTAACCATTTAATCGTGTTGGTGACATCAAGGATTCGCACGGGAACTGTCACCAGCATTATCAAATCCAAAATTCACACTACATTTGGTAAACAAAATGCCGTTAATTAATGGTCATGTGGTGGCGATGACCGTATGCACAGACACCATGAGTTATGTACAAGTAACGTATAAACATCGGAAACGTTTCAGGTTGAACAGTTAGCAGTTGTTACAGTACAGAGCCAATACGTCGGCAGCATTCCTTTGCCCTTAACTTCGATGACACCTCGTGGCTCTGCTACAAATTCAGAATAATCTTTCAGTTGGTCCGCTGTGCTATGGCTAATGTGGATTCTACCATCCGCGCCGGTGCTCATCATTCTGCTGGCTGTGTTGATAGTGTCACCAAACCTGCAAACAATTAATTAACATAAAAGACTCTTTTAACGTAGACTATAAAGTGAGTACGCAAAAAAGTACTAGAGTAGAAAGACCCGTTGTAGTGCAATTGTTTACTGTAGGTATAGGCTTATAGCTTACAAAAAGTAACGAGGCGCTTTGCGGCCGACGACAACAGCTCCGGCGGCAACAGCCCCGGCGGCAACAGCTCCACTGTGTATTCCAGCTCGCAGTGTTGTCGTTCCGTTAAAGCGCAGCGCAAAGGTCGCCAAATAGGCGTTCACCATAGAAGCGGCCAAGCGACACACTTCATAAACATGGCGACTTTCATTTCGCCTTGGTACACCGCTTGCAACCTGTCGTGGAATCGCAGTACAGTCCAACCTAGATCTGGTTATCTTTTTATCATTTGCGTACTAGATATGATTCCTTGATGGTTTCCACTTTGTACACGTCATGGTTGTTAAGAAGTCCATCAAATTTGGAAAAAACCTGCACGATTTAAATGTTAAAACAAGAGCGACTGCTTATGATTGTTAAATGATTACAAGAACCAGGGCGCACCTCGTTCAAAAATACCATTGCTTCTTCGGGTGTAATTTGGCCAAGGAGAATACCAAATCCAGAAACTTCTCTAGGTAACACGGCAAACTTTTTTTCTTTTAAGTGTGGTTGGTTATTAGGAATTGCTTAAAAATATCGCTTGCACTCACACAAACATGATCGATGTGGATAGGTAATATTCCGCTTCTGGTGTGTGCCCTTTTCGAAGGTCGTTGACAACGTCACTACAAAAAAACCAGTAATGCTTCTGTTATGGACGTCTTTTACGGGTACACATGGAAGACTGCGCATCGCACTGCGGCGTTGACCAATTGCCGAGAGTTCTGTCTGACCTTGGCAACATAGCCCATAGTAAATTGTCACAGCGCTTTCGCTCCTCCATGAGGTCAATAGTACGCTGCGCTACTTGGTAGTCTAATTCATCGGTGTACGTTGCAAGGCGACCAAGGATTTGTTCTGCTAGAGATGCTGCTTTGGTGAACGGACGTAACGCAGGTTGGACATTCTTCAGCAGTTGATCGATGTCTGGAAGGTTGGACATGTCTATGCTTTGGCAGGAAATTAGTAATGGCAGAAGATTGGCAAATGGTCCTGTCAACGCGCCTGCTCTTTGCGCCGTGAAATCGTTTACCGGCTCTGACAAAACGAACATCCTCTATGCGAATTTCCTGGAGCTATTGGTGAGTTTTACTATGCAGCGCTGTCCAAGTGCTCGTTACAGTTTCACACCTGAATTTAATACGCATTCCTTGGCGTTGTCTTGAAAAATGATCTGAAGCATTATATGGGCTATGTCCCGCACGTCTTTTTTCGCTCCAGAGGCGAATGCTTGCTTTCCTTTCTCATTTTGAGTCCCTTTTTGCGAAATGTCATGAACATGTTGGAGGCGTATTTGTGCGAATCCAACTTTGCCTAGCTTAAGAGTGAAATTCCTATCAATCAAGCAGGAGTAAGCGCTGAGATTTCCGTGGCACTTTAAAACAGACCGATGCACAGCACGTAACCCCTGTAACAAGGGGTAAGAGGATACAGATAAATTTTTGTAAAACTAATAGCATTAAAGCAAACACTGTACCTTTAGAACATCGAGCATCAAACTGGCTTGGAAATTAGCATCCAAGGTCATCTTGTTTAACAAAGCTGGCAGGGAACCACGGGTGCAGTAATCCGAAACAAAATATCCGGACATCTGCATTATTGTTATTCCATTTAGGCGATTTATATTGGGATGATCCACCTTCATGACCTTCGAAATTAAAAGGATTTTACAAGTTCAAAGTTTGTGAACTGCGGTTAAACTGCCTCATTATTGCGCCTTGTCGTACCTCTCTGAGAATCCTGAGTCCCGGCTCACTGAACTGTACCTGATGAGAATGCTGCTTACTGGCCAGTATTACTGACGGCCTTTTTTCCAATGGAACGAGGTACACCATGCGCAGCTCTTTGGTGTATAACAACACTTTATCTTGCTTTTTCGATGAATTTTCATTCTGAAACCATTCAGATGCACATTTATTTTAATGCAGTCTTTTGGCATTTACTTAGCCCTTTTATATTCTCCACTTGAATAAAGAAAAACTAAATGTGCAGTGCATACTGCTCGCTGCATGGGTTAATTAATTAAAACTGAAGCTTCTGCTTGCATTGCAGCACTAACGAGAACTTTTATTATTTCGTATACCGGTTGCAACTGATCGGATGGAATTTCCCATGAAAACTCCAAAAGCAGGCTCCCGTATTTGACATAGCTAATGCAACAAACATAATAAAAAACATTCTGATAATTCTGAGCGAGGTCATTTAGGCTGCATACTTATACTTTAATTCCATGCGGCATAAAACTTCATGATTATCTGTACGTACCCTCTAAGCAGAGTCATAAGGCTGACCACCACAAGCACTACGGTTGTGACGGAAACGGCAATCGTGCTCATGTTGTCTGCAAAGGTTACACGTACATTACATGGTGTATTACGTACAAAGGCTTGGCCACTAAATTCAGTTTATCGCTGTTAGATGCATGAGGACTAGAAAAGAGTTGTTCTAGAAATTCACCTTGTGAATTACAAACAGAAGCGTCCCCTCGGAATCCACATTTCGGTTCGGTAACAGGTGGCCAAACGCCGGGCCATTGCAGTTTTTGAGCGATTTCCAACTTCGAGCTACCGGCTCTTTGAACAAGCACAGTCTAAACCGATTAATGATACGTACAGTACGTTATTGGATTTTGAACAAAATGTTAAGAAGACAATTTAGATGTTGTTACTCTGATCTGGGACGTATTCCAGTCCAACTGGTTAATATTAATTGTAGGCTCGCGCTGTCCCGTTGGGTCCATATATATTTCGCCCAAGTCATTTACAAAGGTCCGATTCATGAACAATTTAGCCAACTGTTTCCCAGACTGCCATATTTTTTCTAAGCCAGACGTGCGCAGTTCTTCTACTACCTAATCACAGAAACTACCTAAGCCATTTTGTTTCTTATTTGACGGATTTGTTTGAATCACATACTCTGTAATTATATGTCACATCATAACTACGGTGTTACAATAAAAAGTGGTGTCGTTTTTAAATTTTATTCTAAACAAAGTGCGGGTTTACCTCAGCCAGCATGAGCATCGAATTATACGTAGCCGCCATGTGAGGTGCGAACTGTAAATTTAATGAAGGTTCATGAACGCATCAGCGGTTTTATAATGCAATTCTGACTTTCTGGAAGTTACCGGTTCAAAAGGTCCGTACGTATATCTATAGTTGTATTCAACTCGGGAACGATTTAGCATGTAAGCATAAAACGGATGCTTGGCATCCGCTCCCGTTCTGCCGTACACCGAATCATCTGGCTCTATAATGAGCACCGATCGGTACGCAAGTTTAGCGATACTGTCAAACTGATCGCGGTTTTCCCAAGTGAGGTAGTCTGATGCCGGCTTATTGGTCGAATCTGAAGGTGGTCATGGACAATGTATACCTACAACATCAGGACAGTGAAATTATTATAGTAAATTAACGTATGTCAAGCTTGGAGCGACAGCTATATTGCAATTTTTGGGAATAGACATACATGTTCGCCATTGGTCATATTGAGTTCGCAGGCCTTGATCTAAAAGGACAACCAACAGACATAGCTGACATGGGTTAGATTCACATGTGCGTAATTTTACGCCGCTTACCATCATCTTCCGGAATTCCACTGGATCGCCAAAATAGAAGTACACTGAAGATAAACTGAGTTTTTAGTAGCATTATCGTTGCGGTGCATGACTTCTTTAAAGACACTTGTGTATAAAATAATAACGAAATAGCATTGTTTTGATATTTGCTCCCGACGTGTTGGGAAAGAGTTACTGCAAACGTGAATACCATTAGCCTACCGCGTGATACTGCGTCGAGACGTGTGAGAAGCTGTGTGTAATTAACTGGCCCAGGTCTGGAGTTGACGGTTTCTGCATGAATTTGGTAGCCGCTATTTCGAACAGCAAAATCTGCGGACAGCATCTTCCAGAACTCGGGAAAGAACGGGTTAGAATTCATGTCTCTGAGGAGAACTAATGACCGCCAAGCGAACATGTTTGTCAACTGGAAATACCGAACAAACGGATGTAGGCGGTCACGGCACTGGAGGACGTTGCGATCCACGTCGGAGCTTTGCTGCCGACTATGGGCGTATGTCCGGCCATACTGTGAAAACACTGTCATTACCATCGACAACAGGAGCAAGGTATTCCCGTTCAAGCAACACAAGCCGGGTACAACATTGCGCTGAATAGCGTAGTGCCTCCGGCTAAGGATTTTACCGGGCCAGTAGCAAACCTAAAGATCTGCATATTAAATACTAAGCCTAATATCTTGTTACGTATTACTTTAAAAGTCAGAGCCCGCCAATGGAATTTCGAGCTCGTAATACTATCACCATTTTGTAATATCTATACAATTCAAGGCTAAAGGTTAACGTTGAGAAGATCGTGCAGGATCGCTGTATGTAGTATCAATAGAGCTTCCATAGTACCGGAAATTAATATCCAAATCCTAACACAAGTAATTACTAACCTGCTGCTAAATCACTGGGTCGAAACCCGAATACAATTAATTACGAGGCTCTTGTTGTTTACTTTAACGAATGCTGCCATCTACTGTTTCAGGTACCTGGTAATCATCAGAAAATCCAGCTGAGCGGCCAGTGGATAAACCTCCCAGAGTTCGTTACATCTTGAAAAAACATCACAAATATATTTATACTAGTGGACCCCGCGCAAATTGCGCGAAGTAAATCAGCGGCTGATAACTACACGAACATTCAACTATGGAGATCTACTCGCACAATACTTATTAATTTTCGTTAATACACTACGTTCGTAATAAATACGTACTTATCAGCAGTCAGTGCTAATGACCAGTCAGGGGAACAACCAAAAACCACTTTCGCGGTGGCACCGTTTAGAACATTTGAGAATAACTTATTAATTTGACCACTCAGTTCACCACTTTTGACCTTTTCATTGCCTTTCAATCGTACTCGTATTTCTGTACAATACACAAAAAAGCTTTGAAACTTTCGGAGTTTCGGTACTCGTACTACTTTTCCCTCCGTTCATTCCGTTTACTGCCTGGCCCAACGGTTCAAGTCAAAATTTCCTTCGCTCGACATTTGCATTTGCTTTCACCACACTTGCTTGTTTTCAAAATAGTGCTGTACTGTACTCGTACATTCACTTTCATTTGTCAAGATATTTCTAAAGTATAATTTTCGTAAATGTCCGAAACATGCTGCTACTTTAAAAAGTCCGACAAAATACCAATTACGTTGTCGCGCTGTGAATTTCTGGGCATACAATTTGGAGCAATTTCTGAATTTCAGAAGAATTTATTGCTGGAATTGATAAGAATAATAATTTCCGGAATTCAGTAATATGTTACAGTAATGCGTACATCTTTTCAAACATAGCAAAATTATTGTGCAGGAGATACACTGCAAAAATGTTTTCCCACGTCGGACCTTAAGGGACGGTAAAAGGCGAAAATCGAAAAGGTAGTTTACCGGTAAATTGTGCTCTTTACATACACCATGTGCATGTAGTGCACGGGGTAAAAGTAGGGCCCACGCTCAAGCTCTGACTCTGATTCTGACCATTCAAACTATGACTCTGACTGCTCAAAGTCTGACTCTGACCTCAGCTTCTTTGACCACCGAAACTCTGATCCAACCTAATTCAAACAGGTTATTAGGTTTATTCTGTAATTCTTAGGTTACTCTTAGGTTCCTAGGTTTCTTAGGTTTTTTTAGGTTTCTTAAGAATCACCTAAAAAACTTAAAAAAACTCAAAAATCTAAGAATAACCAGAGAAACCTAAGAAACGTTAACCTCAGAATAACCTAAGAAACCTAAGAATAACCTACGTTTTTGAGGTTGTTTTTAGGTTTCTTACGTCACTAGGTTTTATTAGGACCTAATAGCGTTTAGCTTCTTTGAGCGGTTAGAGTCCGACTTTGAGTAGTCAGACTTTTTGCAGTCAGAGTCAGAGATTGAGCGCGAGCGCGGGCCGGAACGTAGTGAGATCGGTCGTGAACCAAACGAAACGATCAGTCGTGAATCGTGAACCATTTGGCCTTTACTGTGCCACGGAATTGTGAAGCACTACGCAGAATGCTTGCTTGTTGTTCCTCGAGAGCCGCACGTGTCGTGTCGTTCCGTGTCACCTGCCCGTGAAACTAACAAATATGGTAACATGAGGTTTGAAACCCGAACGCGGTGTAGCTCGCAAGAAGTTTCCACACTGACAAAAACTAAACAAAGCATACGCAAAATTTCCCGGTTTTTTATAGTTTCTGTGTGTAGTGACGGAATATGGTGTACAGTAGCAGCGATGTACGTACTTCTAGATATATGTACTCGTACTTTACCGTTTACGGCTATATTTTTGTACTTTCTCGCAGTTTCTCTTTTGTTTCGGTTATACTTTTGGCTTTTCTAACCGGACGCGCTTCACGCCTATATAAGTCCGAGAGTTGCAGTATTTGGGTATCGGTTGGGGCATTCAAGTTTGGCAGTGTCAGGTTTTCGATTAAATATCGTCGGAATGCAGTGTGAGATTCTCGCTTCGCGTAGTTCGTAGCTTACACATATTTCTTGGCTACCACATTGAAATTATCAGCTCATTCTCTGTCGTTGAGTCAGGTCGGTAGGATTGATATTACGGTATTATCCTATCGTACTCATCTCTCCGTCATGGCGCCCACCGTCAGTTCAAGAACCTTTCCTAAGGCCTAGCTAAGTAAACATGTGAAATTGTGCGAATTAACATTTCCCGGTGCTCAGTCCGGGTGCTTCGGTACCGACTGGACGGATGTCCGGGCAGTAACTGCCGACTGGACGCCTTAGTAAAGTAGTCCGGGTACTGGCGACAGGTGGGTTGGTGGTGAGAATTCTCCTGTGCCTGCGACCCGGACGAAAACCTAATTGTCCGGGAGCTTTGCTCTGTCTGGACGCTGTGCAGTTTGTCCTGCCAGCTGATCGATGCAGGGTTAACCTGTAGATCGATCCTGAGCACAAAATTGGGTAAAATCTGATTAAAGTAGGGACTCAATTCTCCTGGCCAGAGATTGATGTTCCCGAATAATTCTTAGCCAGCGAACAGACGTGTTCCTGGTAAATCTAAAGTGAAAGTTGCGCAACGAAACTGCGAGTAGACAGAGTCGAAAGCAGTATTTTTAAGCTAAAGTACGTATGCTGAGAGCAGTGCCGAAGCATACAAGTGTGCACACAATCTTGAGCGTAGCTAAAGCGTAGACAGCCAAAGCAGTGCTTGAGCTGTACAAAAGAAGCCAGTGTTAACGAACACGGAGAACAAAAGACATAGCTGAAGTATCCGGGTGAAACAAAAGAAGTTTCTCGGATTTAGACAAAAGAAGTCAGTGCAACGAGCGCTGAACAAAGAAGCGAAGGTAAAAGCGAAAAAACCTAACAATGGAAAATTCGAAAAGCGCGGCGTCACAGCCGGTAGTGCAACCGAAGTTTACGCGACAGGCAGTAAAGTAAGGTGCAGCAGAGCTGATACCGGATAAGTTTATCGTGCCAATTGGCGTTAAAATCGAAGCATTCCTGAATGAACTGAATGTTGCAGTCCCTAAATCAGGAATATGTGGCAAAGATTTCGTTACATATGACAACGATGAAGCCAAAATGGGAAAGCCACCGACAGGTTGGCGAGTGTGGTTGGAACACAGAGAGCTGCCGACTAATATTACGAAACTGTTCACTGTTGAAGCGTACAAAGCTGCAATGCAAAAGTTTACCGTGCAAGTGCAAGCTGTTCAAAGTGCAGCTGCAGATGCGTATGAAAATGCTGGTGAAACTGTGGAAAAGGTTGTTTCCCCTTTTGCTTTTGTACAGCATAATAAGGAGCAGAAAGTTGATAACACAGCTGCTACCAATATCGAAAAAGATATGAATGCGAGTATCATTGATGAAGATGTGCCAACTGGTGGCGTTGAACCACTATCAGCACAGCCGTTCTTTCAGCGTAGTACAGTTGCTCCCGGTCAGAGCGACGAACAGAATAAAACGATGGACGTGATCCATCCGTTACATGCTGCAGTGAAGCAGTTTGCTCTTGATCAAGAACAGTTTGACAATACTGTACTGGCATGGGAAGGCAGAATAGAAAATGAAAAAGAATTTGGCGAAATGAAAGAAATGGCCAAAGCCGGTTTAAACGCAACGGAAGAAATGCATATGAAGTTTGTAAAGGCTAATACGTGGTGTCATACGTTAAGTGATGACAACGATGCCTTGAAGGAGGATGTGAAAAAGCGTGACGATGAAATAAATGATTTGAAAGAAAAAATTAAGAAGCACGATGAACAGTGCAAAGAAAACGTGAAAAAGTTGAATACTGACATCTTTGATTTACGTACTCAACATGACAAAAACAAAGATGAAGTGGACCGTGTACGTAATACAAACAAAAATCTGGAAAAGCAGTGCCATGATTCAATGGTCAACAGTGGTAAACTGCAACGTGACCTTATACGTGCGCAGAAAGAAAGAGATGATCTGCGTATTAAATTAAAAGCAGAAGAATCTCGAGTCGATGCAGAACTGAAAAAAGAACGTGACGATCTGCAAGGTCAATGGATATGCATTGAAGATGAATTCGATAAAGCGAAAACGCGTGAAAAACAGCTGGCCGAGTGGGAGGCCAGGCTGCAGCAGTGGGAAGACAGTTTGAAAAATAAAAATAGAGCTGTCAGTGAACAGGCTGAATCCCGGCTACATGTAAGTACTACTGAACGGGAAGCGGCTTTCGAGGCAGCACCGAAGCTGACCTCTGGTCAACAGTCGCAGGCGTATGCCGGCCGTCGGGTTGATTTCAGCGAAACTCACCGAAATCGGGATTACGTACCTGTGCGTGATAATGGCTACGAATATGAGAACGATATTCGAAGAGCGGAAGACGCACAGTGGGATGATGCACAGTACGATGTACATGAACAACCGCGTGAAAATACTCGTACAAACGAGTTGATTGAGCGCAGTATAGCGCTGATGGAAAAGTTTGAGAAGAGTGGTAAAGGTACGAAAGAAAAAACTCACTATCCACAAAACTATAAGGGCACGCAGGAAAGTGGAAAAGTTGAGAAGTTCATTCTTGACTGTGAACGCTGTCAAGACTTAAACAGTTGGGATGACAAACAGCTTATCGATAAGGGTTTGTCAAATTCATTAAAAGACGATGCGTATTTGTGGTACGCAGACCACAAAAAGAAGAATCCAGATAAGGACTGGAAGTACTGGAAGGAAGTACTTCTTAGTCACTTCTCTTCGGAGAGTGATCCAGCCGAAATACGGCAGGCAATGTATGCCCGTGTATTTACTGACGCGCATACAGTGAACTCGTATGTGGATGGTTACCTTAATTGGTTCAACACGTTAGGTACAAGTGAAGAAGAGCGGGTGTCAATCCTTATTCAAGGATTAAAACCGCATAGATGGCGCTGGTTTGAAAAGTTAACTGAGTCCAAACCAAAAACAGTTGAAGAAGTGTGTACTCAGCTGAAGACTTTTTACAGCTTGAAGTCGCAACAAGTTGAATACAATAACACCAGGAATCAAAACAACAACAGTTACGGTAATAATGGTAACCGTGGACGCGGTGGATACCGCGGTAATAATAATCGTGGCCGCGGTGGCCGAGGCGGATATGGTAATTA